TCCTTCTTTGCATGAGGGCTATGGTCTTCACCTCCATTCATCAGCTGTATCCATGTCCACCTCACCAAACACCTTTGGTGTGTGACACCACATGTAATGAGGTAACTACACTATTGGTTGAACAATAGCAACACATGTCCTAAGCATGTAATGAGAGGGAAATGCCAGTGGTGGAAACAGTGAGCCATTGGATCAGAGAGAAGACAGCTCTAAAAAAAAAAGTGGTCCAACAGACCAAACACAAGGTAAATGTACAGTGAAACAAGAGAAAACAGGGGTGAAATGTAACACTTTGTTGATCATCCTGCTTGTCTCATTTGCCAGAGACAGTGGCTATGTATATCTGCCAGGCATTCCCACCAGCTTTCATCCTGAAGCCCCCTGGTTCATCCCATCATTGTCAGCCCCATCTCATCCCATGCAGCTTGGTCAGTGTGTTCTCCTTGTCAGTATGACTTCCAGAAGGATGTTCTTTGGTTGCCTTGGGTCTCTCACATGGTTAGAAAGGTCTTATGTGGTTGTTTCAGTCTCCCCACTTGATGAAGCATATGGATCATTCCTCCCTGCTCCCTGCACCATCTTTATTCCAGTCTTGTCCATCATTCTCCCCACATTGTGACAGCTGCAGCATAATCTACTGTTCTCCAGCCTCCTGCTCCATCAGAGCCCCATTCATGAAGCTTTTGTTAACTTTGCTGAGAGGATGAAAGGGTGGGAGACACAATCACATATGCTCCCATTGCCCCATAGACCCCCAATGCCCTAGCCCCTTTGATGCCTGACTCATGCCCTTCAATTCTGGAATTAATACTTCCCTATCTGGAAACATTGTCCATCTGTTATGCCATCTTTGGATCTAGAGATGTCTCCACCAAGATCTGACTTGCTTCACCACCCCCTAATGTGATATCAGTGCACTTACTCAGTTTCTGACTCTATGTGACTCATTCTGTGATATTTTGACTGTCCTTGACTTGTTTATTGCCAATACTTACCAATCTTCTTTGCTTGCTTACTTTTCAGTTCTCACTTACTCATCATGATTACTCAGTCCTTACTCATTACTTACCAAGCATTTGTGCCTTGTTTGTCAAAGGTTGTGCTCCTCCCACAGTATGTAAACCCTCATGTACTTAGCTACACCCCAAGTGAACCAGAAGCCATTCACTCAGCAGTCAGTTCAGTGCATAACTCATTGTCAACAGTTGAGGCTCATTCAGAAGAGTCTATCTGTCACCATCCATCATCCTTGGTAGTTGAGGCTCCATCAAGGGTCTATCTACCTCCATTCCTTATCTGAAGCTTTCTCCACTCTTAGTCAGCAGTCTTGCTTAGTCGTCCCTCTGCTCCTGCATAACTCATCATCAACTTGCACCAGGAGCACATTCTATTGAAGTCCATTACTCCCAAGTACTTTTGGCTGAACACCTTCACTCTGTTCAGCATCCCCCCATCAAGTCATCACTCACTTGGCTGCTCTTGTGTAACTTGTCATCAACTTGCACCAGGAGCACCCTCTATAAAAAACTCCCCCACACATTAGGTTTTTCTGCCCTCCTGGTACCACAGAGGCACACCACCACTTGCCTTTTTATTTGTCTTTGGTGTTGGATTTGGTTGGTTTTTACTGCCTTTCCACACTTTGACTCACAATGGGTTGTCACATGACCTGCTATCATGTGATCTCTTGTCATGTGACTTGACCACCACCTCTCAACACTACACTTTTTGTAGTCAATTGTAGTCAAAAATGTGCACTACCAAAATGTAGCATAGTCTATACTACACAACACTAATCATAATGAAAGTTGTAGCCCCTGATTGTGCAATCATGACAGTATGCTTATCTTATCAGAAAGTGGAAGATTGCATGAGAAAAACACAAAAAACATGAGTGTTTATGCAAAATGTCACTGGACCTCAATGTCAATTAGGACTGGAGAATCCCCAGGAGCCATGGAGAATCTCCATCATGACATGGAGAATCCCCAGCATGCCATGGAGAATCCACAGGGGCCATGGAGAATCTCCAACATGACATGGAGACTCCCCAATATGACATGAAGATTCCAAGTGGTCTAATAGTCTACACTGCATCTAATGATGTCTTGATATATGCAGCACTTTAGTGCTCATTGTCTAACATCATCTAATTCATGCTGTCTTACTGACACACTTTTTTTTCTGTGGTCCTAATGTGGTCTGTAAGTGATTTATTGATATCTTCATGCCACTATATTACTGAAACTCTTGATTCATGGTACTCTATAGAACTATATCTGTCTTGCTTAATTCACTTGCTCTTTATGTTCCTTGGCATCCATTCCACTTATACATCTACCTTTCTGAGATAAGTTGTGATTAGAACAGTTAGAACAACCACTGTTTTCCTGATGCATGGAGAATCCCCACCAGGACATGGACTGAGAAAGTGGGTCTATTTAGCCTGGGGAGAACCCAGGTTCACCCTGGAAAGGGGTCTATTTAGCCTATGGGAGGCCCATGTTCTGCCCAGAAAGCAGGTCTACATATTTACCCTGGGGAAAACCCAGGATCAGCCTAGAATGTAGGTCTATTTAGCATGGGGAATGCCCATGTTCAGTTGGAAAGCAGGTCTATTTGGCCTGGGGAAAGCCCAGGTTCAACCTGGAAAGGGGGTCTATTTAGCCTGGAGAAAGCCCAATGTGGACCCCAGCTACCCTTTTATTTGATGTATAGTTTATATATATATATATTATGGAGAAAACATTTTTCCCAACCATATTAAATTGCTGCTCTGGAGAATCTCCAGGCATGGTGGTGGAGAATCCCCAAAAGTTGGGAACTCCCAACAAAATGACACCTATTAGGTTAATACATCTATCAAAATCTCCAGACCTAATAGGTCTCTGAAGGGGGTTAACTGAAGTGACCACTTCCAGGTTGATGGCCCATGCTTAGGCTACATCAGCCAACACCACTTCCAGGGGCTCACTCATGTTTAAGTAAGGTCAGCCAAAGCCACTTTCAGGGGGCTGGCCCATGCTTAGGTGTGGTCAGCTGACACTACTTCCAGGGAGATCACCCATGCTGAGGCTGAGTTGGCTGATACCACTTCCAGGGGACTGACCCATGCAGGGCTGACCTACTTTCAGGGCCACCAGCTGATGTCAGTTAGGTCCACTTTGATGCCAAAATGTACATTTCAGATGTCCTGGTTTCAGGACTATGGTTGACTAAATTACATATGCGTGTCCCTTGCAATTTTGACTCAGTTCACATGGGCATGATGAGTACTGAGGCTGATAGCCATATGAAGGTGCTGAAGTGGTGAACAAGTTCATGCTTGGCTTGTCCACAATTGTATGAAGGATGATGGACAAGGCTTCCATTGTTCTATCACAATCCAAGAGCAGTAAGAGATTGCTTTGTCTTTTCAAGTTCAGTATTGGGCAAATACTGCTATATTCAAGATAGAGATCAATTGTCTGGTAGTTACCACAGCCTGCCCTTATGTACATGTTTCCCTAGCCACTGCAAATCATCCTGCATGGAAGTACTTTGAAAATTGAGAGCAAAGTGTTGAAATTATTGTAGAGGGACTTCATCATATTTTAAATGACCAGATTATCAGCTGAAAGGATTTTATAGATCATAGCATGGGAAACACTGTACATATGCACTCACATAGGCAATTGTCCAAAATGATGTGTAGAAGAGTCCAACATAAATCTTTCACATCATGACCATGCTGCTGAACAGCTGATTTGACAGCCTGGTGGATTTTGGCTTCAAAACCAGATCTCTTGTACTCCTTGACAGCTAGAGGGATAATATCTATCTTTGTAGGTGCTTCAACATTTTGCAATAAAACGTAACAGTATTCAAAAATGAGCAGGCAATCTGAAGTAATGAGTATTGCTGAAGTAGAGGATGACAACTACTTACAAACACCATGCTCAGTTATTGAGCAAGTGGTGACCTCTTGTGATGGTGCATCAAAGTTGCCTTCAGTTGAAATGTTTGCCTAGGTTTGCATATCTGTCATTTCAACAGGATCAATCCCAACACAAAATGGGATTCACCACCTGATGTCACAGCAGCAAAGAAGGCAAGGCAATCATCCATATTGATATAGCTTTGAAGGCAACTCCAATGATCATATCACTCACATCCTGGTGAATGATGACCATAAGAATGGCAAGAATAGTAAGTCAGCAAAGATGGAGTTGGCATGCCATGGAATTGCTTACAATCTGAGACTACACCAGGAAGCAAATTGTGTCTGAATTCACCCAGCAGATACTGATTATCTGGCATCACTCACATTCTACCATAACACCAAGGACAGAACAGGTAGACATCTCAGCACATATCCAGCCAATTCTGGCATGAAATCACTCACAAGCTGTCATGGCACAATCAAGCACAGTGCAAGTGGAGCCAGTCAGCAAACATCCAACCAAACCTCCCATGAAATCACTCACAGGCTGTCATGGCACAAACAAGCACAGTGCAAGTGGGGCCAGTCAGCAGACATCCAACCAAACCTCCCATGAAATCACTCACAGGCTGTCATGGCACAAACAAGCACAGTGCAAGTGGGGCCAGTCAGCAAACATTCAACCAAACCTCCCATGAAATCACTCACAGGCTGTCATGGCACAAACAAACACAATGCAAGTGGGGCCAGTCAGCAGACATCCAACCAAACCTTCTATGAAATCACTCACAAGCTGTCATGGCACAACCAAGCACAGTGCAAGTGGGGCCAGCCAGCAGACATCCAACCAAACCTGCCATGAAAGCACTCACAGGCTGTCATGGCACAAAAGAGCACAGTGCAAGTGGGGCCAGTCAGCAGACATTCAACCAAACCTCCCATGAAATCACTCACAGGCTGTCATGGCACAACCAAGCACAGTGCAAGTGGGGCCAGTCAGCAGACATCCAACCAAACCTTCCATGAAATCACTCACAAGCTGTCATGGCACAACCAAGCACAGGGCAAGTGGGGCCAGTCAGCAGACACCCAACCAAACCTCCCATGAAATCACTCACAGCCTGTCATGGCACAAACACACACAGTGCAAGTGGGGCCAGTCAGCAGACATCCAACCAAACCTACCATGAAATCACTCACATCCTGTCATAACACAAACAAGCACAGTGCAAGTGGGGCCAGTCAGTGGATATCCAGTCAAACCTTCCAAGAAACACCTCACAGCCTGGCATGCCACAATCATGCATACCATACATGCAAGCTGTCAGTGAGCATCCTGCTAAACCTGCCATGCCATCACTTACAAACTGTCATTCCACATCCAGATCCAGATATAATGCAAGTGACACAAGTCAGTAGACATCCACTTTCATCTGCCCTAAATTCACTAACTTTCTATATCACATGATATGCACAGTGCAAGTCAGTTCACAGTGTGTGGATCACCATGCCCTGAAACCCCATACTTCCTGTTATTTGAATTCAAATGAGGTCAGCCAATCTCCAGCCAACCTTATATGAAATCACCCACAACCTGTCAGGTCAAAAAATTCAAGGCATTTATAACACCAGTCAGTAGACAATATAGCTACCCCAGTTATAATGTTACTCACAATCTTTTATGCCAAAGATATGTGCAAAAGATGTGGGGATATGCACTGCATTTGGAAACTACTGTGGCACCACAATCAGACACTCACATCAAGCTTGGGAAACCATCTGAGCAGAAGACATTCAAAAGCTTTTCTGTCATAACTTTCCCCTCTTTCAATTACTTTTCTGATCATTCCTCCCACACCCCTTCCAAATATCAGCATTTGTGATGAGCTCACACTGCTGGCTTACCAGTGTACAGCATATTCAATACATAATCCAATGCTTGACTGCTGGGTTGATAGAAGTAACCTCTGCAGGCCTTCCTCATTCAATGCAGATGCTGTGCTCTGGATCAAAGTAGTGCAATCTGCACTCTCATTATGCATCTCTGTTCAGAATTCTTGCATCAAGCATAACCATCAGTCATAAATGCAGTACTTACTTGTCAGTGGGAGATACATCTTTGGTGGGAATTTGCACTTGTCTAGTATCTGTTTGATGTGTGTCTGCCACTTTTCTAATAACAGAGATTCCCTTTCTGTGGCCCTCTCTTCTGCTTCCTCCACCTCCAACTCTTCATCCAGAAGTTCCTCCATGGCAGCAAAATTCAATGCATCTGCCTTTGTTAGCAGCACTACCACTGGAACTATGCAGTTCCTAATCAGTGACAGCCACATTTCCAGAAGAGAACATACCATGTCCTGTGTCATACTCATTGAAGAACTTCTGTTCAGCTGCAGTGACTGTCCTGTGGTAGTCAGTCATGGGGATACAATACCTATGTATACCTGATGGTCAGTTGAGTCAGTCACTACTCCCAAGGTAATTCTCACCAAATTGCATGGATACACTTCTTCAGCATCCTTGCAGCTGCATGGTCTATAACAAACCTCTTCATCTCCTCAAACTGCTCAGCAGATCCTGCCTCAAACCCCAGAGTCATGGAATACAAAGCCTGGGTTGCTCTTGAACACAAGCTCATCATCGATTTTATGGTAGCCATGCTGGAGGTAAACAACTGTAACTTCAGTTGCAGTAATCCAAGAGTGTCTTACCCCTAAAGTGCCTTGCACAACATCATTGTTGATCTGCAAATTGTTAGACAAGTATCTAGAAATCCATATCAATATACCTTATTTCCTTCTCCATCAAAGACATCAGGTTCATCTACACTGTTGCAGACCCTCTGGAGGATGGTCGTTTTGCCAGCATTTCCTCTTCCGATGACCAAAATCCGAAATTTCTCAATATTTTCCAGGTACTTCTTGGCCTTTTCAGGATCCATATGAAACGTAGCAGGTGGCGGAGTGGATTCTATTTTTCAACATCAAACACACCCACATCCGCCAAATAACAGTAGTCATACTTATCGTAGTGCCCAGGCCAGTCATTTCACCAGTGAGACTGCCGGGTTCCGCATTTAAATCTTAGGAACCAATTGTAGTAGATGATAATAAGCAACGACAACAACAGTACCTGCACTGGCTGTGTCTTCAGCAGAATGCCTGGTAACAGCAACCGGAGCGAAGCTGCTCATATCACCAGTTGGATTATTAGCATCTGCACTCAAATTTTAGCAACTAGTTGGCCGATCGTAACAAGTAACTATGATAGTACCTGTAGCTGCTGTTTCAGTGGTAACCGGATCACCGTGACTCTTGTGGGGGCGACGAAAGTGAGCGGCTCTGGCACACAGCAAGGAAGCCAGAAACTTCTTTACACGCCCGGGAGCCATGTGGATTCGAGAGGTACAAGTCTTCGAGATGTTACGGGTGAGTAAGGCCTGCAATGGATTAGTGACGAGCGTTGTTTCCGTGAGTTTCAAGTTCGACGACGACGTAGAGACTCGAGAGACCGATACTATCAGAGGCGTCTATCTGTTTTGAAACTTCCCACCTACAGGAGGTATGTCTTCTCACGTGCCTGCCACTGCGCTTTGGTAGCCTGGTAAATATGTGGGTCTGTAGCGAATGTGAAGGTGACTCGGACGACACCATGGCCGACTCCGAATAGGGCCTCCAGTTGCTACCGGTATCTAGTCCAACTTTGAGCGGTGTGCCACCACCCCTACGTAGCTCGTGGAAGAACCTGCTTATCAAATCGCGCCACAACATTGAGACTTTGACCCAGAGAGCACCCCGTGTCGACCCACATGTGGATTGTTGAAACCGTTCGAAGTTAATGAAGACTGTACCTACGATGCTGACCTTAGATTCAGTTTGAAGGAGTGAGATTTAGGAACTGCCGGGCGTTGTGCAAGCCACAATTGAGCTGCTGGGCTAACCTAGTAGTGGAAGTCCACGCCACCTGTGACTCCCTGTGTTGACCCAACGTCAGCCCTCACACACGACCACCACGATGACCTCCGCAGGTAATACATCCAGCCAGCTGCCGCCATCGACGGCAGACCTTGCAACGACATGGGCTTTTCTCGAGGAGGGCGTCGACCACATCATGACCAAGCTACAGACTGGCGTCTCATACACCAAGTACATTGGCCTGTACACAGTAGCTTACAACTACTGCACCTCATCGCGCATGCACGGCGATACAGTCCCAGCCCCTGGATCTCGCAGTATGTACCCGCGCTTTCTATCCGGCGTGATGTGCGCAGGTGACATCGCACGAGGCTAATTGCTGATAGCAGCGGGTGCTAATCTGATGGGCTCTGATCTGTACAATAATCTCATACGGTACTTCGTAGCGCATTTGAAGAGCCTACGAGAGGTATATATTCATCCTAACGTCCATTGGATGCAATGTCGGGCTGATCGACTTCTCCTCAGCAATCCGATTCTTTACTGGACGAGGCGCTCTTACGGTACTACGCCAGGGAGTGGGACAGATACACAACAGGAGCCAACTACGTCAACCGACTTTTTACATATCTTAACCGACATTGGGTGAAGCGCGAGCGAGATGAAGGTCGAAAAGGCGTATATCCCGTTTACACCGTAGGTGTCTCTAGTCTTCGTGCCCCTTTATTGCCGCCGATCTCCATTTTGTATGCACAGCTCGCCCTCGTGCAGTGGAGAACGAACTTCTTCCTTCACGTTCAAAATAGAAATGGAAAGCTAGCCGGCGCGATCCTCAGACTTATCGAGCGCCAACGAAATGGAGAGACGATTGATCAGGGCCTCGTAAAGAAAGTCGTGGACTCGTTCGTCTCACTGGGTCTTGACGATACCGATATCAACAAGACCTCCCTGGATGTCTATAAAGAACACTTGGAAATTCCTTTCTTGGAGGCTACTGAGAAGTATTACGAACAAGAATCCGAAGCATTCTTGGCCGAGAACAGCGTGTCGGATTACCTCAAGAAAGCTGAGGAACGTTTGAGGGAAGAGGAAGACCGAGTTGATCGTTACCTCAATGCTGAGACCAAAAAGCAACTCATTAGCAAATGCGAGCACGTTCTTATTCGTCAGCATGCGCCTCTCATGTGGAAAAGCTTCCAAAACCTCCTCGATTACGACAAAGATGAGGATCTTCAACGAATGTATGCTCTACTGTCACGCATCCCGGAGGGACTAGAACCGCTGAGGAGGAACTTCGAGGAACACGTCAAGAAAGCTGGAATGACTGCAGTGTCGAAGTTGGTTGGCGAGGGAACCGATAGCACAGACGGCCTAGATCCCAAGGCCTATGTCGACGCTCTATTAGAGGTTCATCGGAAAAACTCGGACACAGTCACGCGGAGCTTCAGAGGAGAAGCTGGTTTCGTCGCCAGTCTTGACAAAGCTTGCAGAGAGTTCGTTAATCGGAACGCCGCTACCGGCACGTCGACAACCAAATCACCTGAGTTGCTCGCCAAGCATGCTGATATGCTCCTGAGAAAGAACAATAAGATGGCGGAGGAGGAAGACCTCGAAGGTGCACTGAACCGTGTGGTATGTCTGCTGTTACGGTATTGATCCTGATCAAATCGCTGATGCTTCCGGGTTCTAGATGATCTTGTTCAAGTACATAGAAGATAAGGACGTGTTCCAGACGTTCTACACCACGAAGTTATCAAAACGTCTCATTCACGGCGTGTCAGCCTCGGATGAGGCGGAGGCGAGCATGATTTCCAAACTGAAGGAGGCATGTGGCTTCGAATATACCAACAAGTTGCAGCGAATGTTCACCGGTATGTGATATGATCCACTCATACGATTTATACTCATGAACATGCACTTAGATATGAGCCTTAGTAAGGATTTGACGGACCAATTCAAAGAGCGTATGCAACAAAATCACGATGACATGGACATCAACTTCAGCATCATGGTCCTTGGGACAAACTTCTGGCCACTCAGCGCTCCCAATAACGATTTCATCATCCCACCCGACATTTTCCCGACATATGACCGGTTCTCGAAGTACTACCAAACGAAGCACTCTGGTCGGAAGCTGACTTGGCTCTGGAACTATTCCAAGAATGAGCTCAGAACCAACTACTTGAACCAGAAGTATATCCTCATGACGAGCTCGTATCAGATGGCAGTTCTTCTTCAATACAACAAGCATGACACGCTCTCACTGGATGAGCTCATCGCTGCGACTGCTGTCAGCAAGGACATTTTGACACAAGTTCTTACGTTACTCGTCAAGGCCAAGGTACTAATCAATGAAGAGAGTGACCAGTACGACCTGAATCCAAGTATGTCTATAATACTGGCCACCGCCAGCTGGGAGTCAACTGACCTGCCAACAGACTTCAAGTCAAAAAAGATACGCGTGAATCTGAACCAACCTATCAAAGCCGAGGTCAAGGCTGAATCGTCGGAGGTGTTGAAGACGGTCGACGAGGACCGCAAGTATGTCATTCAGGCTACCATTGTCCGGTGCGCCTCTTGCCACCCTGCTTTGAGTACATGCATGGGTACTTACGGGGACGATTTCAGGATCATGAAGGCCCGAAAGACGATGAAGAACCAGCCATTGATACAGGAAGTGATTTCGCAGATCTCGCAGAGATTTGCTCCGAAGATTCCGGACATCAAGAAGGTACGGACTGCGCCTCTGTTGTGGACCAGTTCACACACTAACTTTCCCTAGGCGATCGACACACTGCTGGAGAAGGAGTACATCGAACGGGTTGAGGGTACGAAAGACACATTCGCTTACGTCGCATAGATATCCTGGCTCTTGTGACGCCCCATGGTTCGGAGGCAGCTTTGCTTGTACTGTAAGGATGTAGCCATAATATATTGCATGCATACATAGTTGCACGACGTTCAACTCGTGGTGGTAGACGCCACTGCTTCGTCTTTACGACCAAGGCGAGATGCACTTGCGAGATGCGCTGTTGGCGTCGCTGGCCAACTTGCCAGGCTCTCGCGAATTCCACCTCCATGTACTTGTATCGTCGCCCCGGAAACACTCCAACTTGTACCCGTTCGCTTCTCAACCTCGGCTCAGGACGTATTTGCAGGACATTCTCATCCTGCTGTCTGAACAGGCGAACCCGGATGCACGTAGACTGTTCGTCTCTGCCATAGAGGCATCCGTGTACCATATACCATCCACGTCCAGCGCCATCGTGTATGTCTCCAAGGTCGACTCGACCGGCCAAGCAACAGCACCATCGCCAACTTCTACTCTCGTCCGCGCCTTTCTGTCATACTATACTAATCCCTCAACCAGACCTCTTCCTGTAGACCACCTATGGGTCCACTTGTTCGCGCGTGCTCAGAGCCAGTATCTTTTCCCCAACTCTGCCGAATTTCCCGGGAAAAAACCGCTGACGGATGTGAAACTTTGTGCTTGGTGGAAACGCCAGCTCACTGGCGTAGCGGAGGAACTGGAACTGAGCGCCAAAGCCAACGGTACAGGTACAGTTTCTACGAGACTGTACTATCTGCTGCCTGGCCTGGGCGAGTTGGAAGCTTCTCACTCGCTCGAGAACGCCTACGCATCTTCTTCTTCGTCGTCCGTGACTTGGATCTATGGGCACCCATATTCCCAAACTGACGTCCCACTGCCTGGTGTCTCGAACCGAAATACTGGCACTGCTGCACCTCATATAGGCCAGATCATCCCCTGGTTTGATGATGACCCCAAAGCCCGGTTCATAGACGATATAGCATACACCACTGAGGTGGACGGCGTCAAATCTCCAGAACGAAAACGACCCCGGATAATCGAGCGCAGCGGGTCGAGGGTTGTAGATGAGGAAATGCAGGACAAGCCCAAGGTGGTGGACAAAAAAGACGTGCACAGCCAAAAGGAGGAACAAACTACGAAGGTGCTAAGAAAGGTGTCTGTAAGCGAATTCTGGGAACGAATGTCGTTCCGTCAGGAGTGCATTTCAGGGGCGGTTACCGGTTTCTTTGTTATGGCAGTATTGTCCAATTTCCCTCAGGCCACGACACGTAGCGAGCCATCCCCATTGGCACCGCAGCCAGGCCAGGTTGCTCCTCAGCTGATTAAACGCGTGTTAACTTCCCTCATGACTGGACACGAGTTTCCGTCTGTGGAACGGGCCGCATGGTCTACAAAAGTCCTGGAAGAGTCTATCAGAGGGCTTTGCGACGGTCTGAAGACCCTCCCAGTGGCAATCGCTAGCGGAAATGTAGCTGGTTCGGGCCGTACCCCGCCGGAGCCTACTCTAACCTGTGCTACCACCCCCCAAACGCCTCCCCCCCGTCTCATCCGTCCTCAAGCATCCCATCGTTGACGTGTCACCGAACCCGTTTCCTGAACCAGTGACTTCGCTAGAGACGTACAACGCGTATATTCACGGTTCACTTATCGTCAACAACCCCTGGCTACCAGCGTAAAACGCCTGTAGATGGAGGTGATGATGGCGAAGTCAAGGTTACCGTCTTGACTGTTCGACGGAAGAAACGTGCGAAACCTTAATTGCGTCCACGGTGACTACGTACATACTTTACTTGTTACAGTAAGGCTAGGCTATCAAGTTGTGGAGCACACCCTGATTTGAAGGGTAGGTCTCGATGCACAGTTGACATTGCGTGTGTCGCTTTGGACATACTTGTCATCCCTACTCTCATGATTGCATCAACTGTAAAATATGGCATCCCACAGAAAGCCATATTTGGGTCGGAAATGTCAATAAGATGAGGGGACAGACCTTGGCGCCCGGTCATATGAAATCGATTAAGCCTATTCCGTTATCAGTTGCCAAAATGGTAATAGGGACCCGCCAAGGGGTGTAGGAATGAATGGGAAAGAGGAACTAGAAAGCTCCATTGCTACCCACGAAGGTTACGTAGGGAGGGGACAATTTGAGCCACTGTCCCATATCTGAGAGTTCTGCTTTGGGATATTGGCCAAGGAAGCCAGCCAATTCGCGTGGCGTACTTTCCCGCTACGCCTCTCAAGGGTGAGATAATGTGGCCCAGACGACCATAGCCGGATAAGGTGGTGGTTCGTTCTGGCTCGGCGACTGCTGTACTTTGCTGTCAGTTGTATTTACGGACCGCTGCCGTTACTGCGATGACGCGGAGAAGCCATAGTATTGAGAAGCTATGGAGCCTCGAGGACTCATCGTCCGTGGTGAATTGATCGGATGGGGGCAGCAGTAATGGTCCGGTCACTCGGGAGTAGTGTGGTGAGTAAGGATCAGACGTTGCCAGGAGGAACGGCTGCGAGGCATAGCCAGGGTGAATTATACACCCACCCTGTGTCTGCAGAAGCAGGGTTACGGAGAAGAATCGACACTGTTTTGATGGAAGAGATAGACGGTCATGAATAATTATGCATGCACGTACCTTTGTCAGTACAGTATAATGCAATGCAGCGGCAGTGATGATGAATGCTGAATAGCCATGCTGCATGGTACTGGAGTGTAATACTAGTGGCTTAGATTGCGTGCACTCCAGCACTGCATGCAGCTATCCTGTGCCGCACAAAGATGCACTCAATGCCGAGTCCCTACAGACGGCGAGGACTGCCCAGCAGTGGGTTCACCGCTGATCATTGACGATGCCTGTTTGCTGTCTCGGGCAATGGACAGGTGTCTGCTGATTTTCCGATCAGTCACAGAACTGAGCGCCGGGCCCGTACTACAGACATAAAAAAGTAAAGAGACTCGCGACGGCGTTCCCAACAAACCAAGCAGTTCTTGACTTCCCACCGCTGATATTGTAAATAGCCCCATCGAACCTTGTTTGAAAGAGCGAGCGAGTTTGGTTTGGACTTTGTTGCTTACTGCACTCGGCTTATTAGCTTTCTACCCAAAGTGGGTGTTTTTTTCTTTTCGTGACAGTTCGCTGCCATCTCAACTGACAACTTTCCATTCGGCTCCGCGACACGACCAGCTGGCGACGGCGACCACACCAGAGCCTCAGTTCGTCGCTGGCAAGCACTGACGGATACTCTTCGTGTTGTCAGATTGGTTTTTTTTTTCTTCGGTTGTTGTCTTCTTCGCCGGCCTATTACCCTCCCCCGCTGCTCCTCTACACTCCTGTGATGTCCGTCAATCACGCCGCACATATGCCACAGTCACTGCCCCCCTTCGCGGAGGCTTTCAGCAGCTCCTCGCTGAGCAGCAGCAACGCGCTACCCCCGATACAGTCCCAGTCTTACGAACGCACACGCCAAGCAACCCACTCCCCCGCCAACGACTCGTGTAATCCAACCGTCGAACTCATCCGCACCGCAAGAAAACGTTCGCGGGAAGAAGGTTCACTTGCTACCCTCACAGAGGCCAACTCGGACAGGTGCGTCCCCCCTCTTACCTTCATCTTGCCCACTTTTTGACAGCCATATGCGCGTTTCTTACCAGTCACGACATAGACGACGCTCGTCAGTCCCCCAGGGGCCTCCGCATCAAAGAGGAGGACGAGAGAGATGCACCCTCAGAGTCACCGCACTCTCCCACCGTGAACGAGGACGTGTCCCATGACCCTAGTCCCACTCCCAGCACGCAGCCGTCTCCGAAGAAACGACGCGTGACTGTGAGCGGCCCAACGCAACCGCTCGATTCCACCACTAGACCCGCACTCGATCAGCCAGCGTCTACACCAATCTCTCCGGTTATTATTAGTCTTACCAACGTGGACGAGCCGAATGGCAGAGAACGATCCTTATTAACGGTCAAACCGCAACACAGGTCTCTCCTCGAGCAGCGTAGGGAAAGTATTACCGGCGTAACTCAGGCTTCTTTTCCTTCTGGGTCTTCCAGCAAGTCCCCGCCCGAGGATCATCTCTCTGCATCCAAACTGTCGAACGTCCCCCGGATTGGACGGCGCAGTCCCAACGAGGCCGCTGGCACCAGCCGCTCTACAGGCGGCGGTGCCCAAGCGATTAACTCCTCACAAGTGTTCAGTCCACCCCCCATGATCGTTCCGAGCCAGCAGCCCCTCTCCCTCAATTCCCCGCAGGTTTCAGCCGAGTCCTCATCTATAGCACGACAGAGCCCAATTGCACATTCACTACCTCCCCCTTCCATCAGCTTTACGACACGTCGTACCGCACAATCCGGAGGTCGTAAGAAGAAGCCTGCAGATATATTGATTAGCCCACGCGGCACGGGCCCATCCGACCCACTTCTGCCCGTTGTCCAGAGTGCCCCTCCCGTGGCTGACCGGTTCCCGATGGCGATCCCGCGCCTACCATCTGCAATCAACAATGCTACTCAGACAACTCGGAGAACGGTCAGCAACGTTCCGCCCACGCCCACCCGCTTCGCACTGCGTGATGCTGCAAGCTCGTCTGTCAACTCGACCGGACGAACCGGCACGACTTCTTTGTCACCGCCAAATGTCTCGGTCCCCATCGCTAGTAGCTTGGCTCCGCATACACCTAATGCCTTACATCATCCCGGGTATTCGGTGGACAAGTCCGCCTTTTTGGCGCCTTTTGAAACGTTTTACGACGCCCTTAATGGTTCAAAACAGCTGAAGGGTTGGCTTGCAGATCAGCTGCAGAAGTCGAGTGCCCTCATGCAATCACTGAAACAGCAGCAAGAGAAGATGGACACCATGGTGGAGGATTTGGTGGAGAAGCGGACGCGTGCATTGAGGGAGGAAATTGCGGCGTTACGTCAACGCGTGGAGTCTCTTGAGGAAGCCGTGCAAACAACTCGGGGAGAGGGCTCAACGAGGGGCCCTCAAACCAACGGTGGGTCCGGATATCTGCATAATATGGCAGCCCTCCAGAACAGCTCTCCTCCAGGATCTGAACCATCCACGACATACCGATTTCCTGCACCGGATCAGCGAAGATCGGACTTTACGAGAGCGGTTCTCTCTCCTGAAAGACCGCAGGATAAAGAACCTCAGAGGTCGCCACCTCTAATAATAGAAGCTTCCCGCCGCATCTCAATCTCTGGCGGTACTCGTCCAGATCCAGCAAGAATGATTAACGTGGAAGGTGGACAGCTGCAGGGATCTCACCCCTCCTTCGGGCCCTCAGGGCACCATAGTCGTGGAGGACCGCCAGGTTCATCAAAAGGTACACCACCTTTGCGGCCTCAAACCCTCCCTGAGCGCTCGATAAACGTCCGCCAAACAGACCCGGCGCCGCGTTCAAGTAGCAGGCTCGTGTACCCTCCACCTGCGAAACCGGATGCACGTCGCAAAAGTAATGCCGCTCTTGAGGAGCGTTGACCATTTTTTTGGGTTATTATTTGAGGACGGAAAATCATGCTACCCTTTTATTCACTCTCATTATTTGGCGAGAATCCGTTGGACTGACGTTTGGCTTTGAACATACTTAACCTTCTCTTATCTGACCGTCAATCTGCATCGTCCCATGCTGAATCTCGGACTATGTATTTGTGATTTATATCGTGCATCCTTGTCCTGGTTGCTTTCGATCACCTTCGTCTCTCGCCTCTCCCTGCATCTTCTACTTAGGATCAGTATCTCTTTCGTTGATTCCGCTCCCGCTTCTCCACACCTTGCTTTTTCTTTTGCTCGTTCGACTGTACTTATATAAAGTGCTGTAAGATACATAGACTTGGAGTGGATCATTTTGCCCCCGAATTCCAGTCATTTTTCGGCGGGCATCATGTAATGGGTCACGTGTGGTCGAAGCGGGTTACGACAATTATAGTCAACATCAAGTGAGTCCACACTAGTACTGCAATGTGACATGACATGATCGCCCAAGGAAGTTGACGTTGAAGATAAGGCGAGGCACTGTCAGGATTCCCTCTGGCTATGGCGTGTATAGGTTTGATGCCATGCGACCGATCATTTACAGCCTCCTTGACCCGCAAAACGGCCAAGTTACGTTGCCACATACTACAAGACTATGAATGGTGAGCTCAAATTTGTGGTTGTCCAAAAGCTACCTTGTGTGTTGATTATGGTGTCGTCGATCGTCTGGACAAATTTGAGTTGACCGGGGACCAGATTCATGCGCCATCAAGCAAGGTCACCCGACGCGCAGTCAAGTATTTACAGAGAATCCTGATGGAGCTGAGACTCGACTGAACCCCGTTCGGCCCCGTGAAACAACAGCGACAACGTTGATAGGGTGTGGAAACATTTCCGTTTGACACCGTTGCTTCAATATCACGTATCTTGTAGCGACTGTGCCTTGAGATTCTCTCTGAAAAGAACGTGGTGCTAGTGGTGTTGCAGTGCAGTCGACGACCAATAGGCAAGCTTGAAATTAAATTGAGGCTGCTTCTAAGGATGTATAAATGGGCACACATGTGCCATAGGCATCCCTGGGCTGGTGCAACGTATTTCCAAAATTCGAGAAACGTTCCACTGGGCAGGCTACAAACCAATGGATGCCTTCATCTACTACGGTGACGGAGAAGGAGTGGTCGCTGTGGATCGGGTCTTGCATATTGATCCGTCTGATATCCAGCTGGTCAATCTGGTGGCGCCTCATGGGATGGTCAGGCAAAGGGTATTCGTTCTTGTTACAGATCGAGCGTGCTGGTCGCCAGAGTGTTCGATTGTAGCATCAAGAATAGCCATATCGAACATCCCTCGAAAGAGACGGTGCCCGGAAATTAGTCGCACGTTGTCCTTGCTGCCTTCGAGTTCAGTGGTAATGAGTGTGGGAATAATAAGACTAAATTGGTCGAAATATCTTTTCTTCCGCGTGTTCTTTGCGCACGGACTCCTCCGCCACATGTTCAGACCACGATTGCCTTTCGCTCTGTCGTTGTGTTGTCGGACGTACGCGACGCGCAGACCAGAGAAGCCACCTGCACGTTTCCCGGATCCGCTGAAAAACACTTCCAATGCTGTCGTCACCACTCTGCAGGACGACAATAATCTGACGTTCATCTACCGTCCGCCTCCTAGCGTGCCGTCCCCTCACTCGACGACGTTGGACCCTGCTTCGCCACTGCTCAAACCACGGATACCCTCGAATGGCGGTGATAGTGGTCCTTTACCGCCTCTATTGCGACCATCGAGCTATAAGGCGGAGCCGGAGCGGGTGTCCCGGGAAGTCATTGAGAAAATTAGGGCGCTCAGGCTCTCTCAGCCGAGGACACACAGTCGGACTAAGCTGGCGAAGATGTTCAATTGCACCCCGAATTTCATATCAAAAGTAGCTGCGCTTCCGCGTCCCCAACGAAAGCAGTTTATGGGGGAATTGAAGGCCGACCACGCTGCGGTCCGAGGGCGGTGGGGAGAAAGGAAAGCTACAGTGGTCGCTATTAGGCAGAAGCGGCGCGAATTTTGGTAGTGGTTCGGTCAGCGATGTCCTAGGTTTGATGGACGGCCGTGTTGTGGCGTAAATGACTGACTCTTCTTTTTCGTTCCATAGGGATGGCACGATCTGTCAGTGATACCGTATTTCTTCGGAACATGTCGTTTTTTTATAGTTTATAGTGTCTTTTTTCGTTCGCTTTCAGTAAACTGGGGTGACTCTTCCCCACCCCGTTCCGCTCCGAGGATTGCCTTTAGAGGAAATCATGGGGTGGTCCTGCTGAGTCATCTTGCCATATAAGGCAACATAGAATGGAAAGCTCCCTGAAACAACGCCCCTGTGATTTTTCGTGGCGAGACGGGTACATATACAAACCTTTTTATGGCGCCTGTTCCGATCGCTTCGTCTGCAAATTCTCCTCTCTCCCAGCTAGCTTTTTAGTAGTCTCCTCGCAATGGCCATCGCCCGATTTCCCCCTTACCTGATTACATCTGACCACCGCGAACGCTGTCTCGAACAGCTGCGCTCCAAGTCAGCTCCTCTTGAAAAATACATCTACCTCAATGGTCTCAAGGAGCGTGACTCGAATCTATTCTACGACCTCCTGCTCCAAAACATGAAGGTGTTGTCATCCTAATTTCATACCGTGCACGGGACAAGTGAGCTCATATTCCGTCAAGGAAATCATTCCTTTGCTTTATACCCCAACTGTGAGTCTTCGTCGCGGGTCGTGTGACTTCTCGTGCTGACTCTGTAACAAGGTTGGGGAGGCGTGTGTCAACTACTCCCACATATGGAGGAGACCGGAAGGTCTGTATGTCTCGATCGAGGACAAGGGTCACATCCGCGACATCCTCTCCATGTGGCCAAATACCATTGACAGCCGCATCGCTGTCGTCACAGACGGTTCGTTTCGGTCCCGTCCTCGTTCGCTTCCGTTGTTCAATCACAGGCAACAGGCTCGCGCATCCTTGGTCTTGGTGACCTCGGCGCTAATGGCCTCCCCATCAGTATTGGAAAACTGTACACGCATTTTTTCCATCTTCTCTGGACCTCGCCGACTGACTGTGTATCAGAGATCTCTACATTGCAGGTGCTGGAATCAAACCTTCATCGACTGTATGAACCATTACTATCTTGCAACCTCTCAGTCCGTCATGTTTCCTTTTTTATATAGGTCCCCATATGTTTAGATCTTGGGACAAATACCCAAAGATATCTCGACGATCCTCTCTATATCGGCATCCGCCGGAAGAGGCCAGAGCCAGAAGAAGTCAGTTGACTTACCCCATTCTTTCGTGGTTGACTCGCTAATGTCTTTCCAGATGGACGAATTCATGGACGAGTTCATAGAAGCAATGAAAGATGTTTTCCCAAGCTTGATGGTTCAGTTTGAGGACTTCTCGACAGACAATGCCTTCAAGTATCTTGATAGGTACCGTTATAAGTACCGGGTGTTCAACGATGATGTGAGATTCCCACGCTCTCCATATCCTTCGGAATCGATACATACCCCCGTATAGATTCAAGGAACTGGCTCTGTTATCCTGTCTGGCTTCATCAATGCCGCGAACCTCTCATCGGCTGCCTCGGGCAAGCCGTTGGCAGACCACAGAATCCTTTTCTTCGGAGCAGGCTCTGCTGGTATTGGTGTTGCAAAGCAGCTCCTATCCTTCTTTACCATGCATGGCTTGACTCCCGAAGAGGCCAAGGCTCGGATTTGGGTGCGTTTTTGTGATCTTGTGTCGTCTTGGGATGATGTGTCTCAGTCGTCGCCGTTATAGACTGTCGATTCCAAGGGCCTTATCACGGCTGACCGCAAGGGCTTGCAAGAACACAAGAAATGTGCGTGCAGGTTTGCAATATCGGTTGCAGTAATGCTTACGCGCATTTATCAGTCTTTGCTCGTACCGACTACAACGGCCCTGCTCTAAAAGATCTGGTGGATATCATCAACTATGTCAAGCCCACTGCTCTTCTCGGTCTTAGCACCCTCAAGGTCAGTGTTCCTCTGATGTCGCTACCGCATCCAGCTTATAATGCCCCAGAATGCTTTCTCGGAGGCAGTGGTGAAGGCTATGGCTGCCATCAACGAGCGTCCTATCATCTTCCCCCTCTCAAATCCCGTTAATCTCAGTGAGCTTGAGTACCACGATGCGATCGAATGGTTAGTATTCCCGACAGGGTTTTGTGCACAGACATGCTTATTCGGTCCCTTGGCAGGACGAATGGAAAGGTCATCTTCGCATCGGGAAGCCCGTACTTCCCGGTGACCTACAAAGATATTACCTACGAACCCGGCCAAGGCAACAACATGTACATTTTCCCTGGTCTTGGTCTAGGTGCTATTCTGTCCAGGGCACGCCACGTTTCGGACGCCATGGTTGAACAGGCATCAATTGCGCTCGCGTCTTCTCTGACTGATGAGGAAAAGGCTGCGGAACTTGTGTACCCCCGTCTCAACCGTATTCGGGACATCAGTGCCCAAGTCGCTTTGGCTGTCATCCGACAGGCGCAGAAAGAGGTACGTCCCGACCGTGCAGAATTTTTTTTAATGTGTAAAAATAACTTGTCTTATGCATAGGATTTGGATGCGAATAACTACCTCCGCACTCTTCCGGATGATGTTCTCTTGAGTCTCATTCATGATAAAATGTGGAGGCCCCATGAACCTACCCCGCATCTCTGACTGCAATTGCACCCTTAAGAACAGTTCGTATACTATGTCTTGTGGATGCGTATTTCTACCAACAGGCGTCGGCGCATTGCCTGCTTTGTGGCACCTCAAAATATGGATCATTTGCTAGTTGTCCATGGATCCCTCTTTGCGTTATGTCCGGGATAATGTTTTTGTACCATATGACCATTATATGTTGTATATTGTCTACCTTGTCTACAGCTGCTTCGATGTGCAGGAAACCCTGGTTAAGATGGTGTGATACAATAAGATTTTCTGAGTTGATAATAAATGTCGTTTAGTTGATGAGTAAACCTGCGGCAAAACTCGCAGTCGATAATACTGAGATGGCTGGTTGTCAGGGTTTACAGATGCTGAAGGTTGTTGCGACGTGTAGTCGGTTTCAATTCTCTGCAGCCTTTCGTCCATGCCCAGTGTGAAGCAGTGCATATTGTTTTATTACATGGGGCTGTTGGGTCTCAATGGCCCTCGCTACCTGTGCAGATGACAGAGAGAACCGTCCACAGGTATCCTACGATCACGGCAACTTGATCATGACCTATCAAGTGATTAGTGTAGTCTGACACAGGGCCTTGCAGCCAGGTTTCGCACATCGTACTGCCTTAACCCAGAGTACCTGTGACCATCAATGAACCCCTGGCGCGTCTTCGATATCATCGTTCAAGCCTATCAGCTCGCTATCCATGGGATCAAGCATCTATTTCAGAAGCAAGGGAAATGATATCATCTTCCCCAGCATCGCAATCGCCTTTCCAAATGGCTATGGTAAATCGATGGTTCACACCCTTGAGCGCTGGTATACACGCTGTGCCGCCGCAACCGCCAGTCTTTGGCATGGGATACAAATAGAAGACTTCCTTCACCCTCGAGTGTAGCAACGCCATCGAGCACATGATACACGGCTCGTGCGTGATAAAGAGTGAGAGACCAGTGAGGAGGTACTGAGTACTATTTTGAATTTGAGTTAATCCTTCCTCTCGCGGGGGGGTTGGTTGCGTGACACGGAAATCGGCAACCTTGCGGATGACATTTAATGCAGCATGCCGGAGGGGATGCCGTGTAGAAGTGCGCGTGTCGTGTGCGATAAAGGATTGTGACAGGTTGTTCTCGTCGTCGTATGACTTCGGGACGTAGGCGACAATGGGGAGCTATCATCGTTATCGATCCATCGATCAGTTCGGGATAACAATAATGATAAAGGCCGGAAACTTACTTCGCCACTTGACGCAGTAATCTCGTGACTTTCTTTCTTCAGGACATTGACGGCGTCATGCGCCCATATTAGTTTTCTTCTAGTCCACTTCTCGGGTTCCCACTTCCTTCGAGGTGCTAAAATAGTCGGCCAAAATGTATTCTTAAGATGTAGAGAGGTTTGCGTCAAGGCGGGATTGCACGGAACGGGGAGCTGATATGGTGTACCAAGTGCAACGTTGCTGGGGAGAACCGGGGGTCGTATTGATGTACCCAGCAGAAGTGTGGACGTCTGTTCTTGTCTTCGGATACGTTTGAGGTGTGACAAAGCTTCTATGTCTAGCCCAGAGCATTTAAGCCATCTGTGAGCGGTAATATAGTCATATTGGAATGATCCGTGTGAGACAAAAGATATGCTCACTTAAGCATAGCCGTAATGTGCTTCTGGTCCGGAATGTCGACGACCCATGCCTGGACTGTAGATGCTGGAGTTAGAAGGGAGAGCGGCGATACGACGCAGTAATCAATATACCGAGTTCTAAGTCACTAATTTCCTCCTCCTCCTTGTCAAGTGATAACTTCTTCCAGGCAAAAGGAAGCTCGTTTTCATTTATCACGTCGTCCATGGCGCCGGATAAAACAGGCATTAAATGGTCCCGAGCCGCATGAGGGTCTTCCTGTATGTTCGTGAGACAATCCCACCCATCGAGCATCGTCTGGTCGGGTGCTTCAAGCACAACTCGAGAGCCACTCTCTTTAGGCACGCCGACGGGATCAAACCAAAGATTGTGGCCGTAAAATATACAGAGTTCTTCGTCCGCACAAATCGCACGTGTTGACGTGTAAATGATGCAATCGCATGCAATGTCAATCGAATATGACACGTTAGGTCGCTCAGAGTGGTTGAAGAGTGAGCCTGCCAGTGAGGGATGAAATCATAATGCAAAGATCAATAAATTATTATGACAGGCGTACAGACGATACTCACCTAGCCCGAGGGCGAGAGCCATACGCCCATCGCGCCAACTAAAGGTGTAGTGATCGAGAAGAGTGTGTTTCCCGTGTGTTTGGTACTCGTCCTTGGTAAACAGGAGGACGGGACTAGTCTCGATGACCGTCTGCGCTGGTATCGCGCGTGAAGCTGGTCAGTGCGATCAGTAGTCATCCTATAGATGTTCGTGATCTTGCTTTACCAAAGACACCCCGGCCTTTGTCTTGTATCTCTTTCACATAGCACTGTTCGCGATTCAGGGTGATACGATGGTCGGTGGTGGCCGTAAAAGGAAAACCCGCCATGCCACGTGGTCTGAGGCCGGGGACACGTCTCCTCCAAAACAGCCAATCCGTTAGACGTCGGACATGGCACCAGCACTGGGCCCGCGACCACTGCCCAACGTGCTCCTCGCATCCCTGATACCGGTTGCCATTTGGTTTGTTATCAGACCTCTCCTGGACCCACCACCACCGCTTCCTGCCTTGCACACGTCAGTCGGGTTCTCCATATTCGCGTTCCTTGCTGCCTTGTATCTCGTACCGGCACTGGGACCGTCCTTTGTCAAAGCAAATCTCAAAGGAAGAGACTTGTTGAAGGTCTACTCCGATCCAATGTGAGTGGCTCGATCATCTCTCTCAGTCCTGTGCCCCTCATTCATCCGTACGTGTCCAGACCCGAGAGTCAGGGGTTGATTTGCGCCGCGATTTATATCCTACTGTTGATCCTGTTCATTCCGTTCCCTTTCTCAAACTCCATAGCAAACCTGCCCACGAAGGGCACTCATCTAGAGGGTCTACTCGGGGCCGCATCTCTGCATCATGAAGTAAGTGTCGCCTGTCAAAATTCTAACGACGAGGCTCATTCGTCACGAAAGCTCTCTGTATACTTATCCTCGCTTTTGTCCTTGTTAATGGCCACGCTCCTCGGATTCTTGGACGATGTATTTGACATTCGATGGAGACACAAGTTGCCTATACCCCTCATTGCTGCAATTCCTCTCCTGATGGTGTACTATGCCGAAGGAGGAAATACGCACGTTGTAGTGCCAATTCCACTGAGACCACTCTTTGGAGTTTTGCTCAATCTAGGCATGTTTCTCGGATATCACAAATGCGACGTGACTGATATGATCATCAGGCCCGCTTTACTATCTATACATGGCACTCCTGTCTACTTTCACCACGAACAGTATCAATATTCTCGCTGGAATTAATGGTTCCGAAGTCAGCCAAGCGCTGATCATCGGCACATCCGTCATTCTGAACGACCTGCTATACCTCCCATGGCCTATAGACTTCCGCATACCCCTTCACCTTCTTGGCAGTCAGGCCGAGGTAGACGTAGGAGGGCCATGGCGCGCCGGTATGGCGTATGGGAGCAGTCAGCTCGTCTCGAGGCACCTTTTCAGCCTGTACTTCATGCTGCCATTAGTTGGTGTGTGTTTGGGTTTCATGTACCACAACTGGTGAGCCGTCAATTCAGTAACTGTATTGGAGCTGACGATCTTTCAGGTACCCCGCTCGCGCATTCCCGGGAGACACCCTCTGTTACGTCACAGGCATGGCCTTCTCAGTTGTGGGCATACAGGGACACTTCTCTAAAACATTGCTCCTGTTCTTCATTCCACAAATTTTCAATTTCGTTCTTTCGTGTCCACAGATATTCGGGCTGGTCCCGTGCCCACGACATAGAGTACCAAGGTCTGTACTGAGGGCTCGTGCATTGCGCCTGCCGTTAATGTCATTTTTAGGTTCGACTCTGATACCAATCTCTTGCATCCTTCGACCGCACAGTTTTCACAACCCCCATCGAAGTTGACCACCCTCATCCTTCGGGTCTTTGCCTCACTGCGCTTGACGAAGTTGAAATTCCATCCTAGTAACGGCACGATCGTCGAAGCCACTAATCTTACAATCCTAAACTTTCTCCTTGTGAACTTGGGGCCAATGAACGAGAAGGAACTCGTCCAGACACTCATGGCTGTTCAGGTAAGTGAGGATGGTGATGTAGTTGGATTTTGGATTAACTATGAAATCAGGTCTCCGGTAGTGTATTAGCGTTTGGAGTGCGGTATGGCCTAGCGGGTCTGCTTTATGATGGGGATAGACACTAGGTAGAGGTAATTATGTACGGTAAAGCACAAGAATGAAGAGGGTTTTCCGGAGCCGCCGCTCAAAATCCCATAACGCCGCGCACAGTGTAAGACACGAGGGTCCTATGGCTGTTCTCTCATACACATCGTAGTTGGATAATGGAGATAGAGCGTATTCACGAACAACGACAGGTGTGAGACGGCGTGGTGTGGCAACCATGACTCGTGTCCGAAATGAAACAGGTGCTTGTGGCGGATATCACATGAAAATTGGTCACACACTTCGTCGGCCCCTTCCCCGAATGCCAGTACTGAAATGCACTAACGGAAGTGGCTATTTTTTTTTACAACCTTGTTCTCCTTCCAACATGTCCAACGACGAGCGTGCAGTTTTCCAAGCCGAAGTGGCCGCTGTAGAAGAGTGGTTCAGAGTAAGCCCCTATCTTCTCAGAGAGGGACTCCTTGGCCTAACAAGCAACGGTACAGAATGCTCGGTTTGCAAGGGTGAAGCGACCATACACGGCGGCGCAGGTAGTTGCAAAGAGAGGGACAATCCCCATCAAGTACCCGTCCGACATTCAGGGTAAGAAATTATTCGCCCTCCTCTCGCAACACGCGAAGAATGGCACACCGTCACATACCTATGGAGCGTAAGCGTCGTCGTAGTAACCCTTCAACTCAAGGCAGTACGCATGGCTGACTGCTATGGTGCGTAGACTTGACCCCGTCCAGGTGACGCAGATGGCAAAATATTTGGAGACCGTCTATGTGTCTGGTTGGCAGTCGTCCTCCACGGCCTCCAGCACTAACGAGCCTGGTCCTGATCTCGCTGGTGAGTGTCTGTTTGGCTGGTATATGGGTTCCCGTTGCTGACGCTGCCCAGATTATCCTTCCAACACCGTGCCCAACAAGGTCGAACACCTTTTCATGGCACAGTTGTTCCACGATCGGAAGCAGCGTGAAGAACGGTCTAACATGTCAGAGTCTGAGCTCGCCTCCACCCCGTATTTCGATTACCTTCGTCCAATCATTGCCGACGCCGACACTGGCCATGGTGGTCTCACCGCTGTCATGAAACTCGCCAAGATGTTTGTCGAGAAGGGAGCAGCAGGTATCCACATCGAGGACCAAGCACCTGGAACCAAAAAATGTGGACACATGGCTGGCAAAGTGCTCGTACCTATCTCAGAGCACATCAACCGACTCGTAGCCATCCGCCTCCAGTTTGATATCATGGGTGTGGAGAACCTTGTCGTCTCCCGCACGGACTCGGAGGCCGCTACACTCATCACGTCAAACATCGACGACCGGGACCATCCCTTCATCCTTGGGTGTACGAACTCGTCCCTCCCACCCCTGGTCAAAGTGATGAATGATGCTGAGAAGATGGGGAAATCTGGAGATCAACTTCAGGCGGTCGAAGACGCATGGATTGCTTCTGCGAATCTACAACTTTTCTCCCAAACGTTGGCTGGTGCACTCAGCAATCAAGGTGTCCAGAAGGCTGCTGTCGATAGGTTCCTAGCACGCGTCAGCCATGCGTCGTGCCCGGATGCGCTATCTATCGCTCAAGAGGAATTTGGATTGAGGAATGTTCCTCACTGGGATTGGGACGTACCAAGGACCCGCGAAGGCTATTACCGTTACCAGGGTGGTACGCAGTGTGCCATCGTTCGCTCTATCGAGTACGCACCCTATGCGGATGCTTTGTGGATGGAAACCAAGAAGCCGATCCTGGCGCAGGCTCGCGAGTTCGCGCAAGGTGTTCATACGGTACGACCTGGACACTGGCTGGCTTATAATCTGAGTCCATCCTTCAATTGGGAAGCGGCGGGCCTTACCACCAAGGACATGAAAGACTATATCTGGGAGTTAGGAAAGCTAGGTTTCTGCTGGCAGTTCATCACAGTAAGCTGCTATGGATGTGGTGGCGAATTGTCTTACTCGTTTATTGAAGCTCGGTGGTCTTCACTCTAATGCCTATATCAGCGATCTCTTTGCCCGCGCATTTGCTACAGAAGGGATGAAGGCATATGTGGAACTAATCCAAAAGAAGGAGCGCGAGATTGGATGCGATGTTCTGACGCACCAAAAGGTATGAATTGTGGCTTGTGTAGAATATCGCCGCATCGGTTACTAATACCTTGGTAGTGGAGTGGTGCGGACTACGCGGACAATCTGATCAAAACTGTTACGGGCGGTGTCTCGTCGACAGCAGCTATGGGCAAGGGCGTTACTGAGGACCAGTTCAGGGCGAAGCTGTAATGTAATTTGCATGCAGTGTAGGCTATCTGCGGCCCGACCCAGGTGTGCGATGTAAATTTTACCCATGTAAGGATAGAATTATCCACCCAGGTTTACGACCAGACCGCAGGGTTACAGATTCCTGGCAATTTTTAAACGGACACCAAAGCATGACAAGTACGGAAAGGATGCTATGGCTACTATTCATGAGCCGGCAAATACACCTTTACCTGCTGTTAGTTCTGCTCCGAGCTTGTATCCCAGTACCTGAAGAAGATTTAGAAGGCGACAACCCCCGCATACAAATTCTCCTCCACTTGCCTTGTCCCAGTCTATCTTCTGACGAGTGAGCGGTAGGGCGCGCCTAAGGCCCTTGAATGTCTTCTCAGCCATTTCATGGTATGCATCATTGAAAGATGTTTGCAATCGGCTTTCCTCAACATCGATAAGCGCGAGAATTTTGGAAGAGGCGGAGCTGGGTTCAGCGTTAACGACCGCTGGGGGTATCGGTATTGCCAGATCATGCGATGTCTCCAGTTGAACCTGATAAAATCAGGAACTACGTGCACAAAAACGGGGGGATAAAGTCTTACGTTTCCTTGTTCGTAATAGTGGACGTTCACGAGTATTTTGCCTCGAATCATCTTGGTGTCAAAGTCGATATGGTAATGGGACCTCCATCTGCCTGACCTGTGTGGCCCGCGATGAGGAAAGAGAGGGGCGATGGGGAAGTTACAAATGCGCACCAATAGTTGGATGGGTTGTACTTGTTCGCGACTATTTGGACGACAAACTGGTTGGGAGGTTGCACGGAAAATACGGCGGCCACTCCGTCATGGTAGTGTGCAGCGAGATACGACAGAGCAGATGACTCGAGAGCAGTCCTGACGCCATCACAGTCAACCATGAGTAACTGGATAGATGAAATGCTTACCGCAGTGGCTCAGCTTCAGCATCTGATTCTTCAGGTCTCGAATCTGTAGCCTCCTACCAGTAGGCGATATTTCTTTCAGCTGACGCCAGTCCGTTGACAGATTCTACTGACCAAGCGAAGATGGTCAAACCTGAAGGATGTCTTTGAACGGGGATCGAGAAACCGTTCCTCGTCTTCGTCGTCGGATGATATCCGAGCAATATCGCTCACGATTGTCTATCAGGAATGAGACTCGTCCGGGGTTACGAGAATAATCTTCCAATACCTGATAGGAAGTACCTGGTACATCGACCGTGATGAATTGTGCCAAGTTGTAGTCTCGAAGAGCAGGCAGGATCCCCTGTTCTAACGACTCGTCATCGTTGACTATGACACGGACATCTATTTGTCAAGGACAGTTCGGTTGTGTTAGTCCAATACGTGTGCCGAGAGGGTTCTCTCTTTCTTTACCGTTAAGAACGTCGTTGATTTCTCCAGGAGGGGACTGCAGAACAAAGCTGGACACTCCTGCAATGCGTTCGTCAACTTCTTGGCTCATCGGAGATCAAAGATTGCAACGTTTTGCTTGTCTTTGTCGAAGGGTTGCCATTCCAACCCTAACCCAATTAGACACTAGCACTTGACACGACAAATGGCGCCGTGTCATCGCTGCTCACAGTCTCACAACTCACCACCACACGCTTTCTTACTGACGTGTCGCGGGTGTCATAGAAGCTGGCATCACAGTGAGTGCTCGGCGTTCAATCTCAACGTCCAAGTTCACGCCGGAGATCTTATCAATTAGGATGTCATATCCCCCCGGTGGAAGATAAAGAACTCATCCGCCGTATTCACGCCACTACTGCTGGAAACCAGGCGGAGGACTTAGCTGCGTGGTTATGCAAGCGATGCAAGAAACACAATGGCGATGGAAGTGATAACGCAGCAGCGTCCACAGCCATCATATCAAGTGGGATAACCAGTGCGACCAGTGCTTCACCGACGGTCGCGACTCCTTTGGAATTACCATCAGCGAAGAAATCTGTGCGCATAAATTCCTCCTTGAGGCCATTTACTGAACGCGTCGAAGGATATAATACAGGCGCCAGCTCCCCCACAGGATATTGATGTCGATACCAGCCGTAACAACAATGCTGTGCGCATGAATTCTTCTTTGGGCTTCAGCCGATTTATTGAACGTTTTAAAGGACGTAACGCACACACCAGCTCCCTCGCAGGATGTGGAAGTCGGTAACAGCCGTAACAACAACAATGATGATGATATTTACGGACCTCCTGTGGAGCGCCGTGTCATCCGTATTTTCCCCTCCCTAGCAGAAGAACTACGAGAAAAAACTCCAGCACAGAGAGATGTGATGTACAGTGGCCATCATGAAGCCAGCAAGGTTAGCTCCTAATGTTTGTTTATCGTCCTCATGATCTTTGAGCTGGCTCAGCAGGCTTCTTCAACATCAGTTCTCGAGGCTCGCCCAACAATTCACACAAGGAAAAGGTTCAAGACTAGAGCAAAAAAGTTTGAGGGCTCTTCTGAGGATGGTTGCCATCCATTCTTTTTTCTTATTGATGACTGGTTACGAGAACGTCGTCGTGATATTAGCGCCCGCCGTGTAGCATAATACCACTACCCCAGCTCAACCTGAGTACTATAGTGACTACTGAGCCAATGCAGCAGTTTGCGCAGTGTCCACTCTGTCGACGGCTTGCCTCATAGACGTCTCTGGTCACTTGACTACTAGTTGGTGCCCATCACGGTCACGGTGGTCTTGAGTCGACGAGTCTTTCGTGTGTTGCTACCACACCATGGCTGCTACTGTGGATCTGCCCAAGCTAACAGTCTCCCAACTAAAAGCACTATGCAAGGAACGGGGGATTACTGGCTACTCCAAGCTAGCAAAAGCCGCCCTTATCGAAAAGTTGGCGGCGAGTTCCAATGTATCATCAAAAACATCATCGACGGAGCAGTCTGGCCTATCACATGGCTCTCTCGCATCTTCCACAGCTCAGAACGTGGCAGAACGCACGGTCATTGGCGCAAGCGATAGCGGTGAAGTGTCTAGAAGGCAGTCGTCACAGGGTCGTACCGTCAGGCAGCTTTCCCCACACCAGACTTCGCCGATCGGGTCTGGTTTTTCGGTTCACCGAGGCCCTCCCGATCCCTGCGGGTCATCTCTCGCTGCTCAAAAAACATCCCAGGACTGTGTGCCTAGCAGACGCCCTGCGCATACAGCTGCACCACTTGGCCAAAAGCGTGTCAGGATCAGCTCACCCTCTCAATACCACACCACTCCAGAGCACAATCCAACCCCAACTGTCCAGCATACTGTTATTGAGCCCCTGCCTGCTTTGCCCAAAAAGAGCGAAACGTCCTTTGTAGTCAAGACCAATTCACGTGAACTGAGTGTTACCGCAAGCAGGACTCGCAGTCTTCCGGCACGAGCAAAGGGAGCTGGTCGCTTCAAACCGCTAACCATTCTTGGCCCACAAAGTTTAGGCGAAACACCTCTCACAAAGCGCCAACAAGATTCTCAAATCGGTGCAGTACCGAGGTCTGGAACCGTGTTTTGTTCCCTACCAGGCATGACTTCGACTCCACCGACTCTTGTAAGCATATCATTACTGCCCAATATTTCCGAAAGAAGGCAGGCGCACCGTTGGGCGGTTATTTTTAGTGGTCTTGATGATAATGAAAGGCAAGTTTGCTCTTTCGTATCCAGAACATTCCACTATGCAGGTAAGAAATTACACCCGTGTGCGCCTATCGTTTAATTGCGTCGCCACACGTTGGAAACGATTGTCTATAGTTTACCTCTCCGCGACGCATATACTCGAAAGGAAACACCACGGGGACCTCCTGGACGCAATATTCCGAAAGTATTCAAAAGACACGACGAATATGTGGCCGTACCTCCGGTCTCGCGAACGCGAAATTTTTCAAAGGCGTCGAGCGTTCAAGGAGTCGTTCCTTGGCAGATTACTTTCTTTTGATCCGCTTACTGAGCGACTTTGGGGATGTCCAGATCATGATCGCCAGGTGGAGATCGCCCTTCGGTGGATCAGTCCCATGGGATATCTTATAATGCAATGGATACTAACCGAGCGTCAGATTTGTCCTCACTAGAGTGTGGTTCGCGGTATCTTTGGGTGCATATGGTCACAATTCCTTCGCTCTGATGACCAGCCGCGTCGTGGATGCCAGAGAAGTGCTAAAGGGAGAAGTTTGGCAGATCCGGACTCGGAACGGAAACTCCACAGAGAGCTTTTATGTGCTTGAAGCCACTTGCGAAGTTATCGGTCACCCACCGATGCCTAAGTCTTCTAATTTGACTGAAAAACATTCCCTTCGCGTGGATTGGTACGCGTATGTTGACTGTCGATTGTCGTGTTCATCCTCTATCGGAACATGCCTGCTTGATCATGTCCATTGGTCGGACCGAGAAGAATATAGCTGGGGCATCAGCAAAGTATGGTTACACCGTACCTCTAGAGAGGGATATATGGGTTATGCTAAAAGGTGTGTCGCTGAGAGGTACATTTTGGCCAGCGTGGTGGCGAACGGGTAATGCCAGACCTCTTTCCCTTCGAAAGCACTTACTCTTGACATTTTTTCCCCAGCGTCAGTGGAAGGTGGATGTCGACCACCTCTATGGCCCAAGAGTTTGCCGGGTTTCCAGGTTGCGGCACCATTCCCTCGAGACCAAAAGCACCATCCCTGAACATGTATCTTCCATCGTACGCCCCGTCATCCTTTAATAGAACACTTTCGTAGTTGACTTCTTCACGCAGGCATCACTATGTCGAAAGTGTGCACTTCACGACCTCCACAAAAGAGCACCTACATTCTGCTCTAGCAGTTGTACAGACTCCTGCGAGAGAGTACTACATCTTGAACGACAACGGCATGCATGTTGGATGCGAGGAAGAGGGTGTCGCGGATGTATGGGCGGAGATCCTCCAATGTGATAACAAAGGGCGGCCCTCGTAACGTGAGCAGTCGTTCAAAAGTGATACATCCGATACTGGCCTTGAGGCGACCTCTTTCCTAGTGGATAGAGTGTGGCTCTGGATTCAGAAGTGAAAACCACTTGCCAATATAAAGCGAGATTGCCTACACCGCACTCAAATGTTTTTGTGTTGCGTGACCACTCACCTTTGTTATACTAGGCGGGGAGCTAGGGGAGGCCCCAAAGCGTTTCGAAGTAGACTCTGCTTCTACCGTTGACCTCTTCGACAATAAGAAGCAGAACAGTTTGGAACTTGAAAGAGCATGCTTAGTGTCTTCCAGAAAATAACACCAGTGTCTGAATCCACGGAATCTTTACGGTTTCAACACTTTGCCGGTTCGCACTCACCCACTGAGCACGCTTCCCTACGGAAATGATATGCATACAGAACTAATGACCACCGAACTGTTGTTGAGAAGCATGTTGTCCCTTGTTGAGAGTACGTTTGAAAGTTTTCACTGTGATCTTGCTGCGATCGGCACTTTGCATAAGTTGTCAGTCTCGATCGTGTCTTTTTTTCGGCTGTGTTGACGACCACGTGCCACGGTCCCTCGTTGACACCGAAAGGTCTCAGGCCATCTGCAAAACTACCCGAGGGGATGAGCAGTGTATGGATGCCTCCGTTTGGACGTGACTTGTCGTAACCAAGTCATAACGCTCCCTTCGCGCTCGGTAAAACACTTATTGGCCAATGAGAGGGCTTGCTCAAGTACGAAAGGCTTGTCAACAGCCGTGTCGCGTAGCTGTTTCCCAGATGCAGTCACTGATACCCGCGGGCAGACTGCCGCAGATATACTGTGAGTAACGGTCAGTGTGGTCGACCACTGCCCCCTCTGCACTACTGGTGATTCAAGTATTCATCCCCAAACAGTTCCGACAGTGTCGTCGTCATGTAACAGTTGGTGCGCAGCTCGGAGGCACAACGGCGGCAACTTCTTCCGGCGATGGTAATCCGCGATGTCATTACGTAGTGTGAATTCGCCGTTCCGCCCGTGGTTGTACTTAGCCACAGTACCTCTATGCGGCACTTCACATTTGTCACAGCCAAGTGGCAAAGCCCTGCCGTTATTCTGCGGCCTCAAAATATATAAAAGGGTCTCATCCAAGGGCTAGTAAGTCCTCACCCATCTTCCCCCGTTGCACGGCTTGGCTTGGCTGGTTTATTCTCCACGCGATCATTGTCATCATGACCCATAATGAATTGTGGTTGTCCTACCACCAGGTGTCGCGTTCCAACAAGCCGGTAACCGCTCAGCTCATCGAGCTCGAGTTCCAGAATCAGAAGCTCGTGGACCTCGAGGACGTCCTCGAGCACTTGTTCCATCAGGGTTTCATTGAGGCCAAGTACAGACCTGTCGCATTCTGGGAGAATCACGAAGGTCAACGTGTTCATGGGACGCATGTAGTGGAAGAGTTGTTGAAGAACGGCGTCGGGAAGTGTTCTCAGACTGCTCTCCGTCTTGTCATTGGTAAATCATCTGTTCGACCGTCTTGACTAGCGTGTTAACGCTCGCCCCTTAAGCCGATACTCCTCCCGCGCTTTGGTTCAGCTACCACTACCTTCACAACCCCTCAGCTCCAGCAGTTACCCAGCGCGTCAAGCTTGGCACCCCGCAAACGAAGCTTGAGCTGATTGCTCACCTTACCAACCACATCTTTGCTAGTGGATACCTCGCTCCCCATCTGAGAACTAAAGTTTACTGGCAAGGATCCTGTGGAAGGAGGATTGAAGAGTATGAACACCTTGAGCATCTCCTCTGCGCCGGCGATGGGGTATCTGAGACTGCGTGTTTGCGTCTGGTCATCGGTCGGTTTCCTTTCTTCATTTGCGTTATCCCAATGTCTTACTGTGATCCGCAGATCGACAGGCAGGCCATTGCCTTCACAGATGCATTGCACCGTGTTCGCCGTGTCATTAGGAGGATGGTCCACTTGTGATGTCTACAATGATTACTGCATTGCTGGAGGCATGCTTGTACTTGGCTTTGCTACTAGTTAGGTGTGTCATACAGGTACTTGAGTGGTAATGATGATCCGCTTTGATGACGAATGTGGACGTATCGAAGTTCCATGGTAGTTGTAAGTGTGCATCGCTGGCAATCTTTAGTTTCGCGATAAAACGTTTGGAGGCTAGACCAGACGATCAAGGTGTGATGGGATATGAGAAACCCAGAAATGCTTGATTGGAGGGACTAACTTGTCGACCTCTGTACCGTTGGAATAGCTTGACACAATTTTCATGCGGTTCACTGTCTACAAGGACCACGTCTAAGCCGGAATGCGTGAGTTCACATCTGGGATAGTACTAATATCCCATTTCGCCCGTAGGTCGATGGAGTAGTCATCGTGGTCTCCAGCAAGGAACCTATGCATTGCAGCCCATCCGATCATCACTGCATTGTCTAGAAAACAAGCTTAGTTTCGTTGTTTCCCACTTTCAGAAGATATATCACCTGTACAGAGCTCTGGTGGTGGAAAGACGAGATCTATCTTCGCGTCTGGACTGTAGCTATCCAATGCTGCACGCAACCTACGAGGAATATGTAAAAATGGTGCCAGGTGCGCTAATAGGTAAGAATTAGCTTGCCTGGTTCTCAGGAACAAATTACTTGCCACGCCGCCGCTCACCACGACGTGACGTGGGTTGATATTTCGCAACGAGAGTTTCTCGAGCCCTAGTGTGAGCTTCTCGCACAACTGTTGAGCAGCCGCGTCCTGAAAAGCGCGGGCAAGTGCAACACGATGGCCCTCCGTAAGAGGCACTTGGGTACTGGCTAGATATCGCTCTATTGAAGAATGCAGACAGCTGTACGAGAAGGCAAGCTTCCCCGGCATAGGGACGGGAAATGAGCCAACGTCCGGGACGTCACCGATGTCCTTGCGGCAGAAATCTTCAAGGGCTGCTCCGGGACCCTTTGTGCCCCATGAGAGTGCCAACATACGAGCCACCTTGTCAAATGAACGGCCCACGCTTTCGTCCGCGGTCGTAGCAAGAATCTCGAAAGACGTTTTCGATGTTGCGAGGAGGAGCAGAGTGTGACCACCGGATATCAGCAGTGTGAGGAATGGAAACTCTGGTATTTGGTCAACTGGCGCGGTCAGTAATGGCGTCAAAGCATGCGCTTGCTGACAGGTATTAAAATGAGATACTTGGTGATAATGGTCAACGATTCACGGACTGACCATGTGATGAACACCAACCATTGGTTTGTTAAGGGCAGCAGCAAGGGACTTCGCTGCATTGGACCCAACGCTGAGGCAACCTCCGATCCCTGAAAGCTGAACGTAAGCTCTTCGTTAAGATAGTCCGGTTCCCATGGCTGCTTGCCTGGTCCCCTGGTAAATGCAATCCCATCCACATCCTGCATTGTAAGTTTCGCATTCTCGAGTGCCCTGCGTACGGCGCCCGGCTGTAAACTGTGTTCATATCAACGAAGCGCTTTTAAATTATGAGTACTCTGACCATGTTACGTTGGTGTGCTTCGATCGCAACAGTAGGATGGATTCCACCGAAACCCTCGTGTCTTGTAGAATACCAACCTTCAGCGCGAACAAAATTTTGAACGAACAACATACAAATCATGCTGTTTCACGACAATGTTCGAGAGTATCTGACGGGACGAGGTAACCACTGCAGCACAGGTATCGTCGGCTGAGCTTTCCAGAGCTAATACCGTGAACAATGTACGCCTGCATAGTCGGAACGCTGTCCAAGGTTTCAGATGAATTTGCCCGAACGAACGGAGCTACACTGTGCACGTACACTGACTCAGGTGTAATCCACGCTGGTGCCACGGAGCCAGCCCAATGACCGTCGTCATAACTTGACCAACACCGAAATTTTGCACCGCCACCGTGTCACATCACTGTACTCACCGCCAGCCACGCACGATGAACGTTCGCAATTTGGCCGTGTCAGCCTTGCAAGCCGCCAAATTCACAGCCAGGCGCACAAGGGCGTCGCCATTTTCACCTGGAATTGTTGCGGGCGCCGTCGTCGCACGGCATGCTAGCTCATCTGCAGACAGAGAAACTCTTGCAAAGTCCGCAGAATTGCTTGATGCACTCGTGGGCTCGACTACGGGTCTTAACCTCAGTGACATACCCTATGGAGAACCAGCCCCGCAGGCATCACAGACATCGGGACAGTCGACAAGCCCGGCTCTCCCTTCTGGCACCGTGGATGACCCTCTCGCTCAAATGTTTATTCCCCCCGCCAACGACCCCCTGCTCGACTACCTCACGTCCGCACTCCTGAAAAACGGTCGCCGTGCAAAAGCCGCACGCCTTGTCTCACGGACACTGCTTCATATCCACACCTCGACGAGGGCACCGCCCCTGCCCATCGTACGAGAAGCGATATTGACTGCATCACCAGCAGTGAAGCTCGGCTCTCACAAATACGGGACGAAATCACTGCAAGTTCCCTACGCCTTGACCGAGAAACAACGTGTACACGCAGGAGTTAAGGCTGTTTTGGCAGCGAGCGAATCGAGGCCTGGAAAGTCTGTGGACATCAGATTGGCTAGGGAACTGATCGGAGTACTACAGGGTGAAAGCAAAGCGATCGTGGAGAAGGAGAGGTTGCACAAGCTAGCCATGGTAAACAGGTGAGTTGACCTACCCGACCGTCTGTTGTCTTAGTTTCTCATATTCTGTGAAGGGGTAACGTAGGTTTGAGACGATAGACACGATGCCATCTTTCCCCGCTGTCACTATACCATAATTCCTCCTCTGCTGCATCATTATTTCATACTGCTTGACGTACAGCGCTCGCTCTGGTGGTGAGGGTAGTAGACGATATATCCGTATACATGGGTGGCTATTAATTAATGAGGGCATATCGTATACTCGGGTATCAATCGAGGGTCAACCCTCTTGCAAAATTCACGTTCAAAAGACCCATGGAATCATCCTCCACCTCACTCGCTGGCTCCACTCTTCCCAATCTCTTCCAAAAGTCGTGTGTAGTGCGCGGTCCTCGCGAAGACACCTCTCCCCCATCATTATGCACGAGACGATCACTAAGGCACTCCAGAACGGTGCCCACAGTTTATATCCAATAGGGCAATGGTACATCATGGACCCTTGCGTGCCGTAGACGAGCGTAATTCCAGCAAGTGAGAACATAGCGCCCGTGTATGAGGGGTGCCGCACGAGGGCATATGGGCCAGACGTGACCAGTTTGTGATTTGGAAGAATTGCGAACTCGAACGTGAATAGTCGTCCAAGTGTCCGGTAGCACGATATACGAATGTACATCCCGATGCCAGCCAGGACGCACCCAAGAAATGCGAGGGGGGTAAGCTCGAGTTTTTCGACACACGTACTGGCGAGTAACGTGCTTTCCGCCATCCGTGCGGTAAGTCGCACGACGATCAGAGCTATTTCAGCGACGCCGGCGAACATATAAGAAAACTTTGTTTATTGCGCTTGTCAACCGCGAAGAAAAATTTAGCGGGGAAGGGGAGAACATACCTGCATCGTGAACTTCATGATGCCAACTGCCTTCTTCTCTACCACAGATACCCTACGCCTTTCTTCCTCGGTAGGAGGGGGGTTAGGTGGGGTAATGGTGACGCGTTGAGCGCATGTTGCACCTAATACCCCTACAAGCCGGAGAAGTAGTCCAGTTGTGGTGGCAGACCTCACCATATCTTGGAGAAATCCTCAGCACTTTGGGAAGGAAGAAAAGAAGGGTGACGATCAGATATTTTCGGTCCACGGCTTACGGGTATTTAAGCACGAATCCGCGGATGGCACTCACCGTTTGCAATTGAGGAGGACAACTCAAAAGGACCGTCCACGGATGTCCCACACTTGGCCGTCCCTAGTTTATGGTGAGACATGTACGCCCACACACTAGAACGAAGTTGAGATTTACAAAGTCATTTCACCACACTTGGGAAGTTAACGGCACATATTTGATTAGACGTCTGACCTTCATCTGTACAGCCGAGGGCTGCCGCCATCAGTGACGATTCCGCCTGGAGAAAGCCAAAGTTAGGTTTTTCTCCGCCCCGACAGGTTTGGTTTAAGTTGGGACCTATACACATGGTCAGCCAGGTCAACATGTTTTAAATTTGACATGCGGCCTACTAATAGTAATAGTTAAATTTTCGATCGCAGCTAGTGTCGGATTGGTTGTTATTTCCATGGAACAACTATCTCTTCTCAGGGCCAAATGGCTTGTTTAAGTACTATTTTTCGCTGTCAAGGACCACGTGGTGACTTGCAGCAATGACAAGCGGCGTCGTATTTAGTTAGATACTGATGCTTGGAACTTTACCAGAAGAATCAGGTGTTCTAATACGCAACAGATGATTGCCACTGTGTAATGAGGTACATACATGGGCAGTAACTTTACACATTCCACTCTTTTAAATGCTTCCTCGAAGGTAAATGCCCACGAACCTACAACTTGGAGCCGCCAACAGCCTCAAGGTATCGCCTCTCAGCTTCCTCGAAGTTGATGACGTTCCAAATGGCCTTCAGATACTTTGCACGGAGGCCGTGAGTTTATACAGACTTAAGGTAGGGTAAATGTACTCACGTCAACCTTCACATTGAGATATTGGAGGTAGAAGGCGTGCTCCCAAATGTCAACACCGATGATAGGTACGTGGGAAAGGAGGGGGTCTTGGTTCGCCGTGGTGACAACCTCGAGACGCTTGGAAGATGGGTTCAATCCCTGCCGAGACAACCAGATAATAAACGTATGATCGACTTGTCAAAGTGGGTGGGAACGTACAAGCCAACCCCAACCTGAACCTTGAATCGCAGCGGTGGTGGTGTTGAACTCGGTTATTAAGGTCTCAAGAGAACCAAAGGTGGAAATGATGGCCTCCTTCAGGGGACCCTCTCTCAAGACACCACCGACACCCTTGCCCTCGACGGCAGAGGGAGCGAGGTTCGTCCAAAAGAGCGAGTGGTTGATGTGACCTGTGGCAACCGATTACGGGAGATGATAAGACGGCAAGATCAGCCCATCGTTTACTCGTCACGATCGGAGGACGGATACGTACCACCACCATTGAAACGAAGCGCAGCCTGGAGGGCAATGCGCTCCTTGGGGGTCGATGCCTTTGTGTAGGCAGCCTCTGCTGCGTTGAGCGCGTTGACGTAGGTCTGGTGATGCTTGGTGTGGTGGAGTGTCATGATCTGGCTCGAGATGTAGGGCTCGAGGGCATCGTAAGCGTAGGGGAGAGGGGGCAGAGTGTGAGTCATGTCGATCGTCAACGAGCTGTTGCTGATGATTGCGAAGAAGAGAGAAGAGCGATGGGCGCACAGAAAGTCACATCATAACTGATATCATTCGTTTATCTGAGTTGTCTCTTATTTTGCCTTGGATGTCTACCCATCACACGATATCTGCGTGATCATTCGTGCTCATATACGCCGCCGCTGCCGCCGTACAAAACAATATACAACCATCCAGTACACAGGTATTCCTTACAACGCAGTCGCTATCAGTATTCGGACAATGGTAACACTTTCCCTGGTGTCATGACCGTGAGCCTGACTCAGCTCCTGGGGTATCAGATTAGAAAGACGAACCAATATTAGCATGAGCGCTCCGCTTGCGGCCGCCAAGGAGTTCTATATCTCCGGTGTCAAAGAAAGAATATCCCGCTGGAGTACACCACTGTGAGAGATCGCCACCACACAGCATCACTACGGCCGGACGTACCCATGGTGTCTTCATAGTCACCGTCGGCCGCATCTTCCGAATCCTTAGTTGCACCATTGATAGGCCTGCCGGTCTTCGAATCTCGGAGCACTCCAGAGTGGTCGACAAACGGCGCTGGACGTTCGTTGGCAGACAAATACAACTGAACAAGCACACGCTGAATTTCCAACAGGTAACTTTGCAGCGTGTCTAAGAACCTCCGGGTCTGCAGATGCTTCGAAGCTGCGACGCTTTCCGTGGTGTTGGAGAGAGCCTATATAACAATCGCGAGTGTGACTTACACGCTTATTCCATTCTCCTTGATGATGTACCCAATACCATATCCATCCGCAGCAACGGGGCCGAAGCCAAACAAGCGGAGCGCCGGGTTTCCGCAGTTCGAAGTGGAAAGTATAGACGTACTTAGAAGACTCCAGCCAGGGTCTGCAAAGATGGAAGGCAGCGGTGGGGTTGGCACCTCGTCCTCAATCACGTCACCATCTGGAACCGGGTCCTCAGGGCGCAGATTAAGATCTCCGTCGTGTTGGCGTTGGTGCAAGCAGTATAGTGCGTAAAGGTGCCTAAAACGGAAGTCTGATCCCACTGCTTATCACTAAGAGGAGGAACTAACCTATCTTGACCTAGACCCTGACTACATTCCTTGGTCAGAGCAACATGACCCTCGCAAGCTTTGCGTAAGGCATTGACTTTCTCCTCATTCGACGCCTCGGAGTAGAATACCTGACAGAAGAGCAACCCGTGAGAATTACATGATGATAATCAAATTCTACAGACCTTGGTAAATTCTACGCTAAGCGGCTGTACTGTTCGAATGGCTTCCGTACGTCCGTGCAGGAAAGCCTTGGTCATGGCAGCCTCGTAAATACATTCTGTTCTCCCTTTCAAACTTGTCAGCGTGGTTTCGTAGGGTGAAAGAACTGGCTGCGCCTACCATAGAGCCCAAAATAAGCAGCTTGAAATGCCATTTGTACAAATGCGTCAGGACTGAAACCGTGGCTAGGTAATAAAATTCTTCCCGTATCCCCTGAATTCCAACGCTTGGCAATCATTCTGGCAAATCAAATCACTCAAACGAGTCTCCGCAAAGCGGATGCCAACACGAATAGGTGGGGTCATCGTCCATATGAGCTTGACCGGCGCCGTGTCGTACTCATGAGCAGGCGATTGAATGGGGCTTGTAGTGGCATGTTTGCCGTCGGTAGCCAGTTTCTCCGGCTTATATGATCTAGCATGAGGAGACAGGGGAGCATGGAAGAGGGTCGGTGCTGAAGGGTTGATTGATCGGGCAAGCAACATCAGGCCTTCCGTAAAGACGTCAGCAGCAAACCTGAAACAGATTGTGTCAGTACACTGAAATTGTGTCCGCCAGCGAACCAAGACCTGAGGACGGTATGGCCATCAACACCAGTGTGCTCAAAGTTAATACCCGCTGCACCGTCAGCGCAAACAATTATCTGAAGCTGTGTGCCGCATTGGATCAGCAGGAGTTTCTCAGATCAAGCTAGCAGCAGACCTTGTCATACCACCTGTTAGTACACGTCCCAACTTGAACTCCCTCCCTCAAATCATATGTCCCGCACAGGAAATTCGAGCACAGCGCTGCAAGATCTTCGTTTGATCCGGGCTTATTGGCTTGCGCTCCACCATCAGTGCGAGCAGGCGCAGCATCATCAAGGCAGACGACAAATAAGGCATCATCTACGAGACTCAGGCACGCGGCGTTAGTTCGGTCTTCTGCAAGGGTGTGCCGCAACGTTGACCATGTTTTCCTGTTCTCCGTAGTCAGAACGCCAATAGCGTTGCGAGCAACCTGCGGCACGAGTTAGAAGGGAATTTCCTCGTAGGATAGCTACAGGAGGCACCTCAGTGATGGGGGTCTTGTCCGCGTCTCTCACGATAGCCTGAAGGTTTCGGAGCACTTCTCTTTCTGTTAGCAGTGGACGATTATCGTCGTCGAGAACGTCGAACCAGTCTACGTTTCCAGAACTCAGAAATACTTCAAAACTGTGATTTGTTACGGGGGCTCACAGAACTGTCCTCGCCGGAGTACTACAATGTGACGTGCCTCCTCGTTAACGACCATTTTACATCCCTTCTGTAACAGCATCAATGACGCACGTCTAACGGTGATGAGAGGAGCATTACGTCTGTGGGTATCCTGGCAGTGCCAAACAGCCGAGTATATTGATCCATGTCAAGTGGACGACCGCGAACGGTGTCAGGGTTCAGCAATTCGTGTCGGAGATCATGTATGAAGCCGAGCGATGAGATGATAAGTGCTGCCGCGCGAGGCAACTGGGATCCGCGGTCCGGCATGGGGTCGTTCCTGCCAAAGACATTGTTCAGATCACAGTATTAAGTGAGGGTATTATAGTATCTTACTCTAACACGAAGAAGGGGTTAAGCGAGAGGACGACTGGGTCACTCTGCAATAGGTAGCTCTCATACCTGAGCGACAGACACAGCAACAGCGATCAGCTTCAACCAGGACCATGAAGCCATTTGAAACCTCACCAAAAGTCCTCAATATAGCTGTTGCGGGGAAACAGGGGGGTTAAGTCGTGATGAAATTTCTGATACTCTGAGCCTTCTGACACACCTTGCTCGACTCGCTGCCCACTGTATCAGACGCTCCTGGAGTTGCGGACCTTCTCCTTCGAGGAAGCGTTGTACCGCGCGAGTAGTTGCAGCATGTTCACGATCGTCTTGTAATCCGCGCAGTGCTTTCAAGTAACGCTTGCAGGTATCTTCCAGCGGTGGAATGGGGAGCTTTGGTAGCTTGTCCTGGTTGGCAAATGTCCGACCTGGGGATGGGGTTGTTGGGTGGAATGTCGTCCCTGAGTTGGCCAACATGGTTGCGGATCATGCAATGAGGATGATTTGAGGAGGGGGTAGCTATGTCATATTGAATCCCCTTATATTGCTGCCCTGTGGCCCGGCCGCTGAGCAAGCTGGGATTGGAAGGTGCGGATCTAAGTGACTGGTAGTAGGAGTGACGATTGTCCACATGAGCTCCACTTCAAGTTGAATGGACATACAGCGGAATAGTGGGCTGCTCTTTCTACGCTCAATCTCCGGCTTTTGCATTGTCTTAGTGAGCGTGAATCGTACTTGAACTAGTTATACGACCGCTGAATTTTCTGTCGATCTTCTGAGTGTTAGAAGTTCGATGACTGCTGGCATGTGATTCAGTCATCTCTGACCGTCAGTCCGATCTGCAATCCTTGCGATCTTTGTTTGCCAATTAGAGTATGGCTGGTTGCCAGCTTGGCAATGGTGACTAGTCCACGGGGATCCCACAGTTTGATAAAATCATCACATTCGACCTCTTGGCAGCTATTAGCAAAGTAGTTGGGTAAGGAAGTAGACCGGGATATTTGAGGGATGAAACAGCCCAAGTCTACGTATACAGATAGCTATCATTCGCCGTAGTTACCGACGTCCATCCCTGCGACTGTGTCTGTTGCGGTCGCTATCTTCGCGGTAGTCTTTCCGCCGTCGCGACTCATAATCTCGTTCATCCCGCTCCCTCCTCTCGCGGTCGCGGTACCCATTGCCCCCCCGTTTATCCTTCTCCCGGTCGTCATAATCTCTCCTTCCGTCACGGTCACTTCTCTCACTATAATCCCTGTCGTACCGACTCCGACTCCTCGCGTATTCGTCTCCGGCTCTCCCAGGTGGAGATCTGGAAGCCCTTCTGGAAACCGTGCCAGACCTACTGCTACCACTCTCTTCTCGTCCGTCCTTCCTCACAACTGGAATATAACGTCTATCCTTGGATTTCCTCTGGTGCTTTCCCGATCCGTCGTTAAGACTCTCTTGCTCCTTAGCACCAATACCGAGCAGAGCGGGTCGTGCTTGAGGTAGATATGGCTCTACAAGGCCATGTTTTTTCCCCTTGTCCGACTTCGATGCTGCTGTTCCCTCCGTCCAACCCATACCACGGAGCATGGCAACTCCGAAAGCGGACACAGGAACCCGAGCGTAGTCTTCTGCAGTTGCACAATCTGGCAATGCATCAACGTCTTGGAGGAGTGCGTCGGTTTCAGTGACGGCTGGAATAGGGATGGCATCAATATCAACTGAAGAACCGTCCTCTCCAGCAAGGAGTGCTCGGATCGCCCTTTGATCTTCTGTCTCTTCTACCTCCATGCTATGTTCGTCTGTGCTTTCCGTAACTGCCGTAGTCGTGGTTCCTGTCTGTTCCACGACCCCTTCGCTAGGCCCTATTTTTTCCCGTTTGCTAACTTGCAGTCCGACCAACTGTGGTCCTGAGTTGATAGTATCCCTCGTTCCAAGCCCTCCTACACTTCCATCTGCACCAGTGGTAGCACGGGCTGAATCTGGAACAAAGATAGAGCGAGAACGTAGGGTGTTTGACTGGGCAGCAGCGCGGCGCTTTCGAGCTGCCTCCCGCCAGTCCGGGTTTGGCAAAGAGGGTATGACTAGCGACGCAGGTACTGGAGCCTTGCTTTTCTTGTTACTTGCACTATAGGAGGACCCAATGCAGAACAGACCGATTTGTGCGCATGTGAACACTTTCGTGAGCTCAATCTCACGGGAACATAGAGTAGGATGAGAGCCAACGCACCGCTGGACACTGAACTGATCGAACTCGGTAATAAGGTCCTCCTCGACACTTGTACCATCATCGTCACTTGCATCGTCGAGTTCTCCTCCACCATTACCACGAGTAGTTCCATCTTTTGAAAACACTATGCCAGTTTCACCGTCATCGTCCGACCCCTCTCGTGAAGTTGCCAGCGGGCTTCCTGTGGCAGAACTTGCACCGGCTAGAAGACGGGGGAGAGCCGGCACCTTGAACTGGCCATCAGACTCTGGTCCCGTTGATGAAGGCCGAGACAGATCTGGGGTTGGCCGCCGAACTGTAAACGAGACCTTGGATGTTGCAGACATACAGTCGCTAGCAAGTCCAACGGGAGACACACATCCTCACTGCCAAGTCACGTGCCTCTCTCTGACTGATCCCCTCCCTCCAGCCTCCGTTGAATTATTTCAACGTCAACCAAATGGCGGTCACCAGTGCACTGACTCGGTTGACTCGGCATACGCAGTGCTGGAGGCAGGCAACCCGTGCCTACCTTTGCACGTCGGCATTTTACCCGGACATTCTCAAATATCCTGTTCCACGACGTCGGACACCTTCGTACGTCTTTCGACTGCCTCGAAAAATGAATGGAATGCCCGGTACATGCACTCGCCCGATGTCCTCACAAGCTCCAAAAATCCCTGCATCTCGCGCAGAAGTTCAGACATTACCGACGCCGCAGGAACTAGAAGATGCTGAAATGGAGGCTGATATAATACCCGAAGATCAAGTGCAGCTCATGCTCACGGATCGTGCTGCGCAGGTACGTAGGTGTTTACAACGTCATACACATCGAAGGTAGTTACGTCCGCTTCAGCAATTAAGATTAATTTCCTCTCGGGAAGGGAATTCACAGGCGGCTGTTCGCATTTCCGTCGACTCGGGAGGGTGTCACGGATTTCAGTATAAAATTGAACTTGCAACTCAACGCGACCCTGGAGATTAGTGAGTGTCTTTGTACACCTGTACACACGGTTTCGTGCGACCGCATTACCCTGTTTTTAGTCATTTAGTCCATCCCAGCATTCAACCTTCCAACGTGTACATCGACCCAATATCCCTTTCTATGATCAATGGTTCGACCGTTGACTTTGCTACGGAACTCATAGGTAGCTCCTTTCGAGTAGTTGATAACCCTCGTGCAAAGGGCGGGTGTGGGTGCGGGGTAAGCTGGGAGATGAAATAGTCGTCGGTGGAGTTCTGTATCAAATCCACTTGGTCGTGGAGCGCACCGTGCTACTACCCTAGTTCAAATTCGTAAGTAATCGATTTGAATCACTGTTTGTAATTTGAGTTTGTAATGTTTGTCGCATACAGCTACCCATGTCATATAGTCGTTGGTACGTTTCTTAATCCCACACTACCAGCGTAGTAGTGTCGCAGACCAACGGTGTGCGAAACCGCTGGGGTGTTTGGCACACGGTAGAGCCTAACTCCAGTCTTGTTCTCAATTATTAATTGTCAGAGATACACCGTTGCGCCGCCTACTTGCGGATTCGAATGCAAGATCTCGGGACTGGCTTATTCTTATCGGGAGCTCTGTGCCATTCAATTCCACCGGTCAGAAAGCTGAAACTTCCGCATCGAATTACATCTACTGGTGCCAGCCTGGAATCGTTTTCCCGCCCAGTCAGGTTAACACCTCTCAATAGATTTGGCTCGTATAAGTATCAGTGTTGGAGCCCGTCGCTCGGTCGCTTAGGTTCGCCAGAATGTCTTTCAAACTCAATCCACCCTTCGGTGCTGAGTAGTTGGGTTCCTCCTTCACCCCGACTATCTACTGCAAGTGAGGAAGCAATTCGACAAGAAAGAAATCACTAATGAGCAACTACGTGTGTTGGAAGATAAAGCCATTGCGGGGACTCTGCGCTTGCAGAGGGGTGTCGGTATCAAGGCCTTCACAGACGGCGGATACACCTCAGTGACGAGATGATATGTTGTCAGCTGTGTAACTGAGTGCTTTGCTGGCTTGTTTGGGCATCACATATCCGTCCTAAAAACTGCCATGGAAGAGTATTGCATTATCTTCTAGGTTCTATGACGAGTTCTTCGATCACCTTCAAGGCTTTACAGGTATGCAATGGCCAGATCTGGACATCGTCCAGCTGACTGTTGTACCGAAATCCACAATCCACCAGCTGAAAATTTCAAGGTAGGCCACTCAGAAGTACTGCAAGTGGTCCGCTGATAACAGCATTCTCGTAGACATACGTTCCCTATACTAAGGCCTTCCTCGCCAATAGTTTATTGAGAATTATTACAGTGGTTCAGCACTTACTCTTCTGTGCTCTGCTAAATGTCGAGCCTGCGAGCATGACACTGTACGAGCAAGATCAAGTACGTCGAATCAGGCTACCTGCATCAATTTGAATCCCTGAAGGCCGTTGTGCAACCAAGTACAGAACAGCAAGCTTATCTTGACTTCTCCGGAGTGGCTCCACCTGCGTCGCGGTCCGTCCGTCACATTTAATTCATGATTCGCTTGGTGTAACAGGGGAACACCCCTTCAGACCGAGTGTGTACGCCAGTCAAGATCAATATTTCGATGATATTGTAGTAGCGTACCGTCGCGAACTTGAGGTTTTCCACGCTCTCGGGCTCCGCATCGTGCAGTTCGACGACCACCTTGGTGGCTCGCTTCTGCGTTGATCCAACGCTTAAAGGTATGAAGGAAGCTGGAGAAACCTTGCGAACAAGGTCACTCTGATTAATCCCACCGTCCAACGCTCTGGCAACGTGTACATCAACCCAATATCCCTTTCTGTGATTATGATTCCACTGTTGATTTTGTCACGGAACTGATGGGTAGCCCCTTTTGAGTAGTCGGCAGTTACTCCCATGCACGGGGCGGCTGTGGGTGTGGTAGGCTGGAGGATGCAATAGTCCCTACTGGAGCTCTGCATCAAACTCGCTTGGTCATGACGCGCACTTGATTACCTCAGCTCAAATCCGTTAGTAATCGCTGTCTGCAATTTGAGTTCGTTATCTTTGCTCCATACAGCTACTCATGGCCGTTGGTACATTTTCTATTCTCACACTTCTGTGGTAGTGTACGCAGACCAGCGGTGTTCACTCGCGAAGCCGCCTGAATTATTTGGCTCACGGTAGAGCCTATCTCCAATCCTGTTCTTAATCGTTTGTCGTCAAAGATACACTGTTGCGCCTATGGAAGATCTCTGGAGACATGCTTATCAGGAGCTCTTTGCCGTCCAAGTTCCGTGGATCAGAAAATTAAAGCTTCCGGTTGTATACATCTGCTGATGCAGTTTGGAATCGTTTTCCCGCTCCAGTCAGGATAGCACTTCTCTCAATAGATTTGGCTGGTATAAATATTGGTGTTAGAATGCTGGGTGCCTAGGCTTGTCAGGATGTCCTTCAAACACAACCCGCCTTTCCGTGCTGAACACTTAGGTTCCCTTCTTCGCCCTGATTATCTACTCCAAGCGAGGAAGCAATTCGACAAGAAAGAAATCACTTATGAGCAACTACGTGTGCTGGAAGACAAAGCCATTGCGGAAGCTCTGCGCCTGCAAAGGGAAGTCGGTATCAAGAGCTTCACAGATGGCGAATACAGGTCAGTGAAGAGATGTTATGTCGTCAGCTGTGTGATTGAGTGCTTTTGCTGGCTTGTTTAGGCGTCACATGTTCGTCCTAGAAACTGCCATGGATAAGCATTGCCTTATCTTCCTTCTAGGTTCTACGACGGGTTCTTCGATCACCTTCAAGGCTTTGAAGGTATGCCATGGTCAGACCTGGACATCATCCAACTGACCGTTGTACAGAAATCCAAAACCCACCAATTGAAATCTTCAAGGTAAGCCGCTCAGAGGTACTTCAAGTGGTCCGCCGATAACAGCCTTCTTGTAGACCTATGTTCCCGACATCAAGGCCTTCCTCGCCAATAGTGAGTTGAGAGTAATTAACGTGGTTGAGCACTTACTTTTCTTCACTCTGCTAGACATCAAGCCTGCGGGCACGACACTGTGTACGGGCAAGATCAAGCACGTCGAATCGGGCTATTTACCTCAATTTAAAGCCTTGAAGGCCCTTGTGCAACCTGAGGAAGTGAAGAATATCAAGCTTACCTTGGCTGCCCCAGAGTGGTTCCACCTGCGTCATGGTCCGTCTCTCACATTGTTTGACCTGCGATTTCCTTGACACACAACAGGGGAACATGCCTTCAAACCGGGTGTATACGCTAGTCAAGACGAGTACTTCAATGATATTGCAGCAGCGTACCGCCGCGAACTTCAGGTTCTCTACGCTGCTGGGCTCCGCAACGCGCAGTTCGATGACCCCCTGCTTGCTTATTTCTGTGCTGAGCCAATGCTTAAGGGCATGAAGGAAGCTGGCGAGGACTCAGAGACATTGTTGGATCGCTACATACAGCTGTACAATGACTTTCTTGTGGGTCGCCCCAGGAACCTGACAGTCGGCTTACACTTGTGCCGTGGCAACTTCCGGCACTCCATCCACTTCTCTGAGGGCGGATACGATGCCATTGCGGTGAAGTTGTTTAACGAGATTGACGTAGACTGCTATTATCTCGAATACGACACCGAACGTGCTGGTGAGTTGTTGCATTCGAGTTGGGATATCCGCGGGCTGACCACGACACAAAGGATCATTTGAACCTCTGCGGCACCTTCCGAAGAACAAGACGGTTGTTCTCGGCCTCGTGACAAGTAAATTTCCAGAACTGGAAGACATAGAAGCACTCAAGGGACGGGTGATGGAAGCAGCGAAAATTATGGCAACCGATACCGGAGAAAGTGAGGAAGAAGCGTTGAAACGGATATGTGTCTCCCCGCAGTGCGGTTTTGCCTCGCACTCGGAGGGCAATTTACTTGGTATGGATGATATGAGGAAGAAATTGGCGTTGATCAAAGATCTAGCGACTAGCATCTGGGCAGATGCTTGAAGCTGTGAAAGTGTATTGATAGCATTTGTAGCCTGTGTAAAACCACACAATCGAATCATATGTTTACCCCGGCAAATTTGCCCCGTACACGATATAAGCTCTAGTTATCAAACTAACCTCAAATCATTTTCTCCAATACCATTTCTCCGAATCCAGACGCCATCGTCCACTTCCAGAAGCAAGACTTGTGATTTCCTCACAACCTCTTGTAAGTCGCAACAAGTTGGGGGGCGCTAATTTCTACTTACTACTGATAGAGATGAAGAGCACATTGGTCCCACTGCAGTAAACTAGCCCGAACGTTACACTGTGGTTGACAAACGAGGTGCTCCTAATCAAATAGTGGTGGCCAGACGTTGACTTACTCTCACAGTAACGAATATGATCCCGACAGAACCAGGGTAGTACACCGGGTGATTCAAGCTCTGCAACATACAGGACACCTCCTTCTAACTGCAAGGTTTTGGTATACGTTCCCTAGTCTGGCACTTAGGGTCTTTCAGCCATTCGATCATCACTCACGATCTCTGTGCTGCCAATAGGTTGGAGAGCGACGACTGTCCTTTTCAGTACATCAGTACCAAATATCATCTACTGCACTTGTTTCTATGTCTGGCTTTTCTGTCGCGCATGATGATCAAGTAGGCGTTCCCCGGTGATGAATGCCTCACGACCCTTAAGCCTTGGAAGGAACGTGTTTCAAACTGGCGTCACGGCTTGCAAAATGCGTGTGGTCTAAAAGATGTGCTTCCATTCACTTGTCGAAGAGTGACCGCAAGGGTAGCTGTTAATGTCAGCACTTAGAGGCGGCAACGGGATTTCTAGAGCAACCCTGCTAGCCGACCTGTGCAGGCCGCGCAATCCGCGCTGTAGATGAATCGCCCTGCACCAGCTGGGGAGACCGAAACAGGGGTATTCAAAATAATTCCCATGGACCGTTAAGCATGGACTGTCATATTTCGGCCTTCCAGAGCTTGGGCTCAGAGGCAGAGTCTGTGGGGGAAGTATAGTACGGGCTCCACCCCCGCAAAAGAAGTTGGATAACGTTACGAAGACCTAAACAACACTGAGTAGAACGATCACAAATTCGAAACACGGCCGCCTCAGTGCTGGGATCATGGCAACGCGATAATGACCGACATTTATTTCGGGTTTCTAGGTTTACGAGTTGTGCACCGCCCTAGGGGCGCTGAAACAGATGCCGCCAACCTATAAATCGGAGAGAACAGCGATAGTGCGTAGGTATCATCGTTGATCGAAAAATCGCCTGCCTTGCACTTCCGATGCGCGTCGCTTTTGCCATTCCATACACTCTTCTCATTATCGCTCAGGCTGCATGTGCTTGGCCCCAGCGAGTCCCAGAAGGAGCAGTACCAGTCAGAAGAACACCCACCTTTGGACCTGGCCCTGAATGTCTGCAACAATGCTTTCCCGAGTGTTTGTGTTAAGAATGAAAACACACACCATTAGCGGGTGAGTTTGCATGCAGGGCTCAAGGACTGGGCATTTACAGCCATTTACCAGCATGGGATGGTGGTACAACATGCCGTTGGTTACTTTTAAGTATATTAGTAGGACGTCCGTCAGGGAGGAGGGGTCGCCTGGGATGGTTGAATTCTAGTTAGAGCCATGGTTACCACCCGAGACACAGACTGCAGCGTCAGATTCAAGCTTAGTCAGAATTTGGCTTAGTCAGCGCAATGGGGTGCTGTACAGATACACTTGGCCTAATACACAACGTCGTACCTGGTCGCTGAGTTGAACGTCCGTCATCATGGCCTCCAACAAACCCAATAAACTGGCATTCTTGTCAATGCCAGCACCTGCGTCTTATGTCGCTGGTCTTGGTCGAGGGTGTGTATGAGAACTTTTGTTTGCGAAATATCGGTGTGCTCATCTGTCCTTGTAGTGCTTCTGGTTTCACAACCCGTTCGGATATCGGTCCAGCGAGGGAGGGTCCATCAGCGGAGACTATTGCGTGCGTTTTCTTACTCGCTATTCCTATTTGCCCTGCTTACGCTTCCAACAGTGAAGCTCAAGCCAGACGTGGGGAGGAACCCGAGATCGACTCGGAGCAATTTCAGGATCCAGATAACGAATACGGCCTTTTTGCTGGGACGACTTACGAGGCTGACGATGAAGAGGCCGACAAAATATACGAGGCGGTGGACCGTAACATGGACGCACGGCGGCGGGCACGGAGGTGTGTGCTTCCTGGTTAGTTCGCGTCGCTTACTCTCATTCATGCATTTCACCCTCTTCTAGGGAGGCACACGAAAATGACGAGCTTGCAAAGTACCGTGCAGAACGTCCGAAGATTCAGCAACAGTTCGCAGATTTAAAGCGCGGATTGGCTGTCATAACCGATGAAGAATGGGAGAGTATCCCAGACGTAGGTAATCTTACAAGGAAGAAGAGGAGGAAAGATGAGCGTTTGTTCGTCGTTTCGGACAGCATTCTTGTCGGCGATAGAGCGCAAACCGAGTATGAAAGCTCTTTGGACATCAAGCAGCAGCAGGTAGGCTAGTTTTTACTGGGTTCCTTCCCGGCGCTAACAATTGCTTCGTGCACCCTAACAGGATGGCTTCGTGACATCTGCTGACGCAGGTGCAATGACGAACTTTGTTGAGATTGGACAAGCCCGAGACAAGATTCTCTCTCTCAAGTTAGATCAGGTGAGTTCGCGTCACGGTATATCATATTTTTACTCACCTTCGCTCAGATATCTGGCACATCCAGTGTCTCAGGTTCTGCCACTTCAGTTGACCCCAAGGGATACCTTACTTCTCTTAATTCGGTCGTTCTAAAAAGTGAGGCGGAAATTGGTGATATCAAGCGGGCTCGCATGCTGTTCGATTCCCTTGTGAAATCCAATCCAAAACACGCTCCTGGTTGGATAGCAGCAGCGTGTTTGGAGGAACATGCAGGTCGTATGGTAGCCGCTCGCAAACTGATCAAAGCTGGCTGCGAACATTGTCCTAAGAGCGAAGACGTTTGGCTTGAGGCCGCACGGCTACATGTAAGTGTTTTGAATAATACGAAATGGCGTGCATGGCAGTTGACTCGTGATCAGAATCAAGACGACGCGAAGGTTATTCTTGCCAATGCCGTACAACATGTCGGGCAAAGCGTCAAAGTCTGGCTTGCCGCAGCTGATCTAGAGCAGGATGTTCAAGCAAAGAAGCGGGTACTTCGCAAAGGTCAGTACCCTCACAACTTCCGCATGGTCAACTATTTCTGATACTCTTTTCAGCGCTTGAACACATCCCGAACTCGGTCCGCCTCTGGAAAGAAACAGTCAATCTCGAGACGTCACCTGCCGACGCGCGCATCCTCCTTTCTCGTGCTGTTGAGGTCATCCCCCTTTCCGTCGAACTTTGGCTTGCTCTTGCTCGACTCGAAACTCCCGATCGTGCTAAGACAGTTCTCAACAAAGCACGCAAGTCGGTACCAACCTCACATGAAATATGGATTGCTGCCGGACGTTTACTTGAGCAAGTAGCCACGGCAGACCCAGAGAAATCTTCTGAAGCACGTAACAAGGAACTCGAACCCGTCGATCGCACAATAGAGGCGGGAGTGCGTGAATTGCGGCGGCATCGGGTGCTATTAACGCGAGAGCAATGGCTAAAGGAGGCGGAGAAGTGCGAGTCGGAGGGCTCACCTAGGACGTGCGAAGCGATAGTGAAGGCTACGATCAGTATGGAAATCGAAGAGGAGGATCGATTGGACACATGGGTAGGAGATGCGGAAAGTGCGGAGTCAAGGGGTAAGGTTGGCACGGCACGGGCAATCTTGGCATATGCCTTGAAAGTGTTCCCTGATAAGCGGCACCTTTGGCGAAGAGCGGCAGACCTCGAAAAGGCTTACGGTGATCGGTGAGAATTCCGAGCATTATCTGCCGATCAACTCTCTAATCGAGTAATTAGTGAATCTTTGGATGCTGTATTATCACAAGCCGTACACTACTGCCCGCAGGCGGAAGTTCTATGGCTCATGGCAGCTAAAGAGAAGTGGCTAGCTGGCAATGTATCCGCGGCACGGGAAGTGCTCGAAAGAGCTTTCGTTGCAAACCCGGAGAGCGAACAGATATGGCTTGCTGCTGTCAAGTTGGAGGCAGAGAACGGCGAGCTGGGCGTCGCCAGAGAGCTCCTCGTTCGCGCGCGTACAGTTGCGGACACTGAAAGGGTAAGTCTATTGTGTTGGTTGGTGACTGCCGTTTGACGTCATGACAGATTTGGATGAAATCGGCTGTTTTCGAGCGCCAACAAGGGCAATACGCAGCTGCACTCGAGACAGTCTCTACTGCACTGTCGAGGTTCCCCAAATTTGCCAAATTATATATGATTCAGGGACAAATTCATCAGCTACAGAAAAATTTCGCAGCTGCTCGTGCATCGTATGCTGCTGGGATAAAGGCGTGTCCGAAGGACGTAACGCTTTGGGTACTTGCAAGTAGACTCGAGGAGCTCGACGGCAAGAGCATTAAAGCACGGGCCCTCCTGGAGAAGGCACGTCTACTCAACCCGGCTAATGAAACTCTCTGGGCCGAGTCTGTCGGTGTGGAAGAACGCGCGGGCGGGACAGGACAGGCAAAAACAATGCTCGCTCGGGGAATGCAGGAATGTCCCACCTCCGGCCTGCTGTGGTCAATGGCTATCTGGGCAGAACCACGTCCAGCGCGCAAGTCGCGTTCGGTTGACGCGTTGAAAAAGTCCAAGGATAACGCTCTGGTAACGTGTACGGTTGCCCGCCTCTTTTGGGCGGAGCGCAAGATCGAAAAAGCGCGTGATTGGTTCGCACGTTCAGTTGCTACTGAACAAGACAAGGATATCGGGGACCACTGGGGATGGTGGTTCAAGTTTGAGAAACAACATGGGACGCCGGTATGTCAGGCTTGCATATAACATGTAGATATCTTCTGACTGTCTTTTAGGAACATGTTGCTGAGGTAATTAAGCGATGCGTTGCTGCAGAACCTCACCACGGGCCTGTATGGCAATCAATGGCGAAAGACGACAAGAATGTTGGAAAGGGGACGAAGGAGATCCTGGAGTTGGTGGCCAGTGCGCTGCAGTAGTTAATTCAGTGTATCTTTCGAACGTCACTGTCTTTTATACTTTCAATTTGTAGTTTGTGCTGGGACGCAGCAACATAGGCTCCTTAGTGGGAACTGGTACTCCAGCCGCGCGAAATGCATCCCCTTGAAGACAATAACAAGGAAATCAAGTCGCTGGAGGACGGACGTGAAGAATAACCCTAGGCAGCTTCTTTCTACTACTGGCAGAAGCTACAAAGGCAGTACGCTGCGTCGAGCTGTCTTCAATCTTCGTCTCCGTCTCTGGCGTTGGAGAATATCCCCCACTAGGACCCTCAAGTGCAGAAGACGAAGTGTTCTTCGTGCTTCCAGATAACGTCGTACTCCCGGAATCACTTGGAGTGCCACCTGGATCCTTCTTTCGTTTACGAAGCGTCCGAACTGTTGGGGGGGCACGACTACTGCGAGAACTTGCAGGCGAAGAGGTGGGCTTTGGATCCAGGGTAGCAAGTATCTCCACAGTACGAGAAAGCCAATCCTCTGGAGCGGAAGGTACCGATGGACGAAGACCCTTTCGGGTCTTGATAACCTTTTCTAGCTGTGCACAGCGTAAGGATCGACCACCGTTAACTGCACTGAAGATAGATTGAACTTACTTTGTTTATGTTTTCCGTGTTCCACCATTCTTGGTCTACCCAGCTCCCATCCTCCCCTTCCAACTCCACTAAACCGCATACATGGGCCATAGCGCCACTTAAGAGGGCTTTGTCACTATATCCCCCTTCGAGTACACTAACTAGACGTCCTCGTGCGTACTGATCAGCAAGGGAGCGTGTATCACGAGTGAAGCGATGATAAAAAGATACAGGGACCCTGCGACCATGACGGGACATGGACGGGTATTCGTGTTCGCAAGCGTCGAAGCCGCAACTATCGGTTTTTAAAGTCAGCAACCAACTGCCCTGGTTAGCCGGAAACAAACCTAATGAATATAAGGACGTCGTCCCCGGGTCCTCCTGTACGATCAAGGAAGTCTCTCGCGCGGTGGATGAGATTAAGGTACTTAGGATAGAGTGTGCCCCAGAAGTGCTCGCTAGAATCATATTGCTGAAGATGAATGTTTTCAACATGTTGTCCGTGCGGACCGTGGATAGAAGTTGAAGCTGCCTGAACCATGTGCAGCTTGCCATCCTGCATTGGAATTAACACATTCCAATGTTGATCTTGTGGTTGTCTGGGACTCACCTCGCACGGGTACGAGAGGATGTCGTGAAGTGATCCGTAGTATATTTGAAGACCACTCTGCGTGGGAGGCATGTTGTTTTGTGAACCCTCAGACTCCAGTGACTTGAGATAGGTCTCTTCATTTATCTGCCACGCGAGTGATTGTGTACCATTACCTGCATGCATTCAACGAGTTAGCAAAGGTGCTACTTGGAACCGCCATGGACCAACCATGATGCAGGTCGATGTCAAGTATAATAACTCGTTTGATATTGTGCTTCAGATGCGCTACAGGGCGTCAGCACTCATGGATGTCCGTCACCCGCGAGCGTACCATGTGCAGCACCAATGACCACGTTGTTGACGAAACAAAAACCACTAGGAGTGTCCTCGCCGCAGTGATGACCTGGAGGTCGAATTGCCACGAAGGCCCGTTCGCAGCCCTTACTACCCCCTGCATCAGAGGTGAGTACGTTGTCGACGGCTTCGCATACCGCGCCAACAGCCCCTTGAATAGCGTCCATGGACGTTGGGCAGACTAAAGAACAACGTGGACGGATCGACGACTGGCAAGGGTAATGTGCACTTACGATACAAATCCAGCGGCGGGATCCCATCTGGGATTTCGAGACCCTTCTTTTGGATATTTTCTTGGCTGTCTCGTGCCCATGCAGTGAGGTTTTCGAGATACACGTCGCCCTCGACGTCCCCGTGAACATACTTCACGGCAGGGTGATCGAGTAAATCAACCTTCGCTGCAGTGCGGTAAAAAGTAACAGAGGAAGGCCATAATTGCTGATCTTGGGCCTGTCCGATATTCATACGCTCCAGGGCAGACACCAATGTGTCTGTTTCTGTAGAAGTGATTTTGCCAGTCGTGCTATCATTCCTGCGTGCAGTGTGTTTCGCGGAAACCTCGCCTGCGTGAGCAATCGCTGCTGAAAGACCTACTTTGACTGCGCGAAGGCGTTCGGGACGCTCCACGATACCCGAGGTATCCTTCGACCTTATGTAGCGGTGTTTAAGGCAGTCGTCCTGCAGATACACCGCAGTACGTTTGCTGGAACGCGAACTCTCGGGAAGCGGCCCTCCCTCCGACACAACAAGGTCGCGAGTGGAAACGTCTACGGCTCCGGCCTGTTCATGCCCACCGATCTCTGTGTGCATGTCGTCCTAATAGAAGTTATGATTCAGATTCTCATACAGGAACCAAACTGAAATGACCGTACAGGATACAAGTACAGGACGTCACGGCAGTGCTGCGCACGTACATAAAAAGACGCGTTGTGTACATGTGTTTATACCCCGCCTATGGTCCAAGCTCGTAGGTAACAAACACCTACCGTGCTTTGGGTTTTTCACTGAGATTAGAAGCCTTGCAGTTTATCCATCAAGATTGCCCACTCGAGCATCGTGACACCTTTCTTCAGCATCTCCTCTTTCATCTCGCGATCCCGGGTTTCTTCTCTTAGCCGCACCAATGCGCGGAGATGCTCACGCTGCTTGATGCCCAGACTGTAGAGTACTGGCGCGATGTGCAGTAGTGACGGCTGGCAGGACGCAAGTACCATTTCCACGGATGTCGTCGAGGTAGATCGAGTCCTTGCAATCGGAGGGCTCATTCTGGGCTCCGCTCTGGCATTGCGCGGAGATGAAGCGATGCTTGCACTTCTGTTGTAGTAAGTTCCATAATTCGTCAAGGGGTTGTTGCGCGGAGGAGAGTGCCTCTGTCCTGTGAGTGCACTAATTTCCGCCATGGTGTATATTCTCTCCGATCGCGTTGGGCTGGGAGATTTGACCCTTTTTGGACGCTTTGTGTTAATCACCTGCGGCTGCGGATGCTTGAGCGGGTGAAACGTGTTCAACTCTGATGAAGTGTACATCCGTTCGGATCGATAGGACGGCGATGCGTTGGACTGGCTTCGGCGAAGGGTCGCACTAACATTCTGCCGGGCATTCAATCAACGAGGGTAATGTCATATTCGCCTTTCCGTACCTGGATCTCCCTGGGCTTCAGGGTCCTCGTCTCTGTTGGACGTACCCTGCTGCACGTATGCTGTGCTGGGCTACTGACTTGCGAAGGCGAATCTCCAGGCTCTCCGGTACTGCCGCCATTACGCGCAACTTCTTCCCTCCACATGTGCACTCTCCCGGAACGTCCCCCTTCCATCACTGGTTGCGTTAATGGTTCCGGACCCCCCCCCGACCTTGGGGTAGCATTCTGTCTGTGAGAACCTTGTTCGACGGCGATTTCTTGGAGTCGCCTCGACACCTCATCCATATACATCCCATAATCCGTAGGGGGTGGTCCCTGACGATAATTGACTTCGTATTTTTCAGCCCATTCTCCGTACACACCGCTGAATCGTGGCTCCGTATCTTCCTCCAAGCCCACCCGTCTCACTGTTTGAACTTCGGTTACACCATCAAAAGGGTGCATTTCCGTTCCTCCAGTATCGAAATCCGCGTCATGTGTTACGGCATCGAAATCATCGCCAACTGCTTGTATTGTCGTCGGCGCACGAGGGTGCCGACGCGGAGGGATGGGGACCGGAACTATATCATACGACGAGTCTTTACATCGATGAACCATCAGCACACCTGACACACCCCACTAAACCAGCTCACCACTGTTTCCGTCTCTTTGTGGCATCATGGTTCAAGGGAAGTCCTGGATTGAAGTGAGAGATAACTTGTTACCCTTCTCCCTACCTTGTTGTGGGCCAGCCCTTTGAATCATTGAGCCACCCTCCGATTTTCCCTGGAACGCTCAAAACATGAGGTGCCAAATGGTTATCTAATGTATCCAGCCTATCACCACCGAGTTGGGGACGCATGTATGGGGGATGTGAACGGTGCGATTTACACGTGCATTGTGAGAAATGATCCTGGAAAGAATCCTAACTAATTGACTTGATGACCTTGGAGTCTCTGCGTGGATGCTGTATTTCAACAGCATGAAATCCTCAAACACCACGATCTGCTCCATTACCTCCTCGAGGTCTATGACTATATACATGCATACGCGGGTCTCGTGTGCCTAATCATTGGCATACATGACACATGCACAGGCTGGCTTCCGCTGTTGATGACACCTCCGGAAACCGTAATGTAGGCACGTTGCTAACGCATGTCGATGACAACTCCTCCCTCCGTCCCGATGTGCCCGTACCTAATTCTGGATTGTAGTTTTGGCACAGGGTCTTCACTTGAACAGCATCGTTGGATATATCCGCCCTCCCGAAAAGCTCGAGTCGATCAGCAAACAAAATTAAAAAATTATCACTTGTGTCCAGGGACACTGTGGACGTCGATTCTCCTTACGGTCTCAGATCCATCGCGAGTGACTGGACACATCAACGCTCGAGCGATGCTCTTCAAATCTGGGAGACAGCTACGCGACGCGGCGGTTAACAACCCCTTCTTGAACGAGCCCTCTCACTGGTCAATAAGTGATTTACTGAGCGCGAGGGGAGCCTTACGACAAGCCACTTCCAAACGGAGCTTGCTGTGGACTGGTGTTCCCTCAGGTAGTTTGCAGATAGGCTGATTCGAAATCGAGATTAGAGTAATCATCCCCAGTGAAAATTGGACAAATGCATAACTAGGTAGACAAATGTAGTACTATTTACCAACTATTGTTTATATGTATTGGTATGTGTTGCGATGTGCATAGGTTGTCCATAGCTACACCTAGTTGGAACAGGATATTGATTGTGTGCAACCCATCCAATCTGAGCCATCGACTCCATGCAATGCAACATACTTGTGCTAGGTTGTTGAATCTATGCTATCTGGTGCAATCCATGCCATCCATTCCATATTCTTGCTGCACTCACTATGAGTACTACCTACTCCTCATCATGCTGCCTGCTCCAAACCTGTGGTGTGTATGTCGCAAATACTGCAAAGGCATTTGCAGGCTCATTCATACACTGAGAACTTGGAAGAAGAAGAAGCATCTATGTGAGGTGGATGACAATGAGAAGGCATCTATAACACTGGCAACATGATCTGATACTTTCTGTTATGCCTGAGTGTGGTGACTTCTTCAAATGGAATAGGCATGAAGCATGCAAGGGGGAGACTATGGGCCGAACGTATTGTAACCCCTGTGGCTCAGTTATCTTGGAAGTCCAGTGAAGGTTCTGTCTACTGGTGAATCCCTTTGTGGGTATTTGTGCAGAGAGAGAGGGCAGACGAATGAGAAGGAAGTTAGCTGAGTCGCAAGCTCTCAAAAAACTGAGGATACAAGGTAAAGTACATGGGGTTATATACCTCTAAGTACAAGTACCGTACCAGTTGTGACAGACGTGTCGCAACATGTATCTGCAGTAGTTGATAGAACAATCAGTGAAATAAATAAGAGTCATACGGTGTCATCAGATGGGGTAGGGAGGCAACAAAGGCTATACCAGCTGGTGCAATCAATGCACAGTGAGGAGCCTGACACTGGAACTATAGTACAACATGGGAGCAACATAAATGAGTCAGAGATGAGTCAATGGAGCAGGAATAAAACAAGTCATCCATCAGAGAGGGTGGTGGAATACTGGATCACAGTGGCAATGTGGTCTTGACTGGTATTGGAAATACCTTGACAGTGGGAGATCCAAGCATTCCCTGGAGCATTCAAGCCCCTAGGATGGTGACAGTTATGAGGGATGCAACGAGGCATGTGATGCACATGACCACGAGAAGTCGAAAAAGGAAAGACCCCTGATGGAAGTGTAGCATCACCCCCCCTCTAAGGTCCTCAGACCCTTGAGGATGGGCCGGAAGTCGCATTGGCAGGGCAGGCAGAAAGGGGTCAGCAAGTAGTATACACATGGGAGCATGTGCAAGAGGCGATGGGCAATGATGGCGATGGAGATGGTGGTTCTTCGAGGGCCAGAGTATAGCAGGAGCCACATCCATTGCAGCATGACCAATGTCCCAGGTAATGACACTGGAAGCAGGTGTGAACTTGAAGGGGGTGTCCCTTGGGTACTGGGGACTGCCCTCCGAGGTAAAACCATAGTTGATCTGCAGGGATGGGGACGAAGGGAGCCAGAGGGAGAGGATCAGTAGAGTGGACAGCATTGTGATATTGCTTGTGCATTCCAGCCCATGACGCATCCTGGAGCAGAACCTCCCAAGCGGAGTTGTGAGTTCCTGTTCCCAGATGAGCACCGACCTCTTTAAACAATTCTCCCAAGTCAACATACCCTAACTCAACAGCATGCCACTCCTTCTCCTTCTCCTGATCCGAGACATCTTCTTTTAATTTTGCTGAAACTGATGGTTCCTCTTGTTTTGGTCTGATGTGCTCCAAGATCCGAGAAGCTGGAGAGGCCAGAAACTCTCCTATCTGTTGGTTACATAAATGATGATAAGCCCCTCCAGTTACTGCTTCAGTGAGATCTGAGGAAGCCTTCTCCAGCATGTCAATCATTATAATCTCTGACAGTGGCACAGTTCTGCTCATCTTCCAAGTATGGACCTTTGAGACTAGCCTGTTGATCACATCTGACACTCGGTAGATTTGAGACAACATCCCAAAATACTCAACCTGTTCTGGTGAGCACCCATCAATGTTGTCCCTGTTGTGGAAGACATCAAGTGCCCTAACAATGTCCAGGTAGTCACTTGCTGAGACTGGTAGTCACTGCTGGTCAAGCCAGGCAGTGGCAGCCATTGTGAGGAGGTCAAGGGCTGCACGATGAGTGCTGTTGGAGTAGGTGGTGAAGGCAGAGTGAAGGTTGGTAGGTTGGGGAGCATGGGAGGGACCCTCTCCAGTTGTTGTTCCATGGGAGTCATGGTCAGTGTGCACTTTACCTTTTCCCTGCTGGTTACTGTCTCCACTGAGGGAGACTCTGGCCTTTGGTGCTGGGATGTGTCTGACTGAGAAGCTCATGAGTGGATGCAGTCTGTGAGCCCTCCCAGAAGGTGGGGATAGCGAGCGGGGCTGAGACACTGGTGACGAGTATCCGGAGACATAAAAACTGGTGGGGGATGTTGGAGGACTGGTTGGGGCATAGACAGTGACTGGGGGAATGACCCCATCATTGTAGGTGTCATGAAAGGATTTGGTGGCGAGGGGGAGGTCAGCATAGTCATTCTCAGTGTTGACAGAGTGAGGAGAGTCCATTTAATTTTTGAGATGACAGGTGAGCTTGTACTGGTTGAGGGCTTCCGATGTGTGGTCTTTTATGTGTTCCTCAGGTTCCCAAGTGTTGGACGAATGCGGGAACCCTTTCCATTTAACCAAATAGTGCTGTCTTCCTCTTCATCTGTCTATCTTGTGATTAATTATTGACTTGACCTCCCACTCAATCTCATCGTCAACCAATTTGGGCAATGGTGCTGTGGGGGCAGCACCATAGGTGTCATTTTCAGTGAACAGGAAGATCCAAGAGGTGTGGAACACTGGATGGACCTTCCATGTTTCGGGGAGCTCCAATTGGAAGGCAACTGGAGAAACGACCTGAGTCACCTTGAATGGTCTGAGACGTTGTGGTGTGATTTTATTGCATTGGTTTTTGATGCAAAGATGCCCAGTATCCAGGAGTACTCGATCTCCTACCTTGGGCGCAACATAAGACCCTTTTGAGCACGAATGCATCAGGTCTTGGGCTTTTTTATGAGCGAGGATTGCAATATCCCAGTTTGAGGCCAGTCTTTCCAGCCTTTCATTGACCAAGGGTACCATGGTTAGCCATACTTCGGGGTAAGGGGACAGGTTGTATCCCAGAAGAAGCAAAAATGGGGTCATTTGATGGACTGAGTGGATGTGGGAGTTGTGGGTGAACTTGGCTGAAGGGAGCTTGGCAGTCCAGGAATTTGGTGCCTCTGCACAGTACAGGCGCAGATACCCTTCTACCTCTTGATTTATGCATTCACTCTCTCCATTAATCTGAGGATGGTAACCCATAGAGAGCTTGGTTTTGACCCCTATAGCCTTGTAAAGTTCTTTGGTGAACAAAGATGCGAACTGGGGTCCATGATTGGAGATTACTGACTCTGGGATTCCAAACTGGGAATATATGAATTGATGGAAGAGTCAGGCAATCCTGACGGAGTCAATAGTTTTGTGACAGGGAATGAAGAGTGTGACCTTAGTAAGGCCCTGATCAACAATCGTGAGAATAGAGTTGTATTTTTGTTCTCCCAAGATGGGGAGATCTGTGATGAGATCCATAGAGATTTGTTGGAAGGGAAACATCATTTTAGGGGCTTCATGGGGGATTACTGGGGGTGTTGGTGGGTGAGTGATGACCTTGGTTGTCTGGAAAACCAGGCATCCAGCCACATAAGCTTTTATATCCTTTACCATTCCTTCCCACCATACTTCTTTATGCATTTTTGCAGCCATAGCTTTCTGTCCAGGATGACCGGCAGACTCATGGTCATGGTAACTGCACATACAGTGTCAATGGTTTTCTGGGGGGATATACAGGTGTGTCGTTCCAAACCGTTTAGTTCCATCCTTTGCGATGGTGACATTGTCCCTGGGTTCTGGACTGGTAGAATCCTTTGGCGTTTCGTTCTTGATGCGTTCATACAGGTCTGAGGATATTGCATAAACTCCCCACACTCCTTTTACAGGATTCCTCAGAGGGCAAGTGTCAGGCAGCCTTTTCTCTTTTGGTGTTTCCTCAAGTGGGCAAGAATAAGGCTTTGAGTTTTTGCATGACCATGCTATCCATGCAGGGATATGTCCTACTCAGCAAAGATGGTTGATTTTTAGTTGTTTTTGTAATTTTGTAAGGGAAAAAGAGGGTGAAACAAGGCAAATTTGGGAATCCACCCCCTCCAAAAGCCAAAGGTCTGGGGGAAGGACTGTGGCCATGGGGGCAGGCTCTGCCGTGTCGCTCTTGTGAGAAAGAGTGTTGGCAGGAACCTGGAGGCAACCAGCCTGCCAGGAAAAACAGATGGGGTAAGATTGAATGGTAGCAGCCCATCAGGCCTGTCGTGGAGTGAGCTGTTGAGGCTTGTGATAGTACTCCAAGTTCTTGTGGTCGGTAAAGACCATGGTGAGTTTGACCAGGGAGAGGAGGTACAGGTGGAAAGCCTTGAGCACACAGATGATGGTGAGCATCTCGAGGTCATAAACTTGATAGCACTGCTTGGCTCTGACCAATGACTGGGAAAGGTAGGAACAGGGGTGCCATTCATTGTCCGCTCCTTTTTGTGCGAGTACTGCACCAGTACTGAGCTTCGAAGCATCTGTGAACAGGGTGAAAGGCTTTGAGAAGTCCAGAATAGTGAGGACTGGAGAGGAGCATAACAAAGATTTTAACTTTTCAAATGCAGCATTGCATTCTGCTGTCCATTGATAGGACACTCCTTTCTTTGTCAAATCATGTAGGGGGTGGGCAATGCTTGAAAAGGAAGGGATAAACTTGTGGTAGAAATTGCAAAACCCAAGGAATCTGCGAAGCCCAGTAAGGTTGTCAGGGGTTTCCCAGGTACTGATGGCATTGGTCTTCGTCAGCAAAGTCTCCATATGCCCTTTTCCTATTACCATTCCAAGGAATTCAACTTCTTCAGCCTCGAAGACACATTTGCTAATCTTGAGGCGCAGTTCTTCCTTTTCGCAGATCTTCAGGAACTCATGAACACAGCTCTGAAGTTCTTCTTTGGTTTTTCCATGGATTGCTACATTGTCCATGTACCCTACCTGTTTTCCTCTTTGCGATTCGAAGGTTTTATCCATGTACCTCTGAAAGGAAGGTGGTGAATTGCATTGGCCAAAGAACATTACCGTCAGCTTGAACAGCCCTCTAGGGGTAATGAAGGCCCCTTTCCACTCATCTCCTTCCTTGACACAGAGGTTGGTAAAACCCCAGCAAATGTCGAACTTGGTGTAATATTTGGATTCGACGAGTTCATCGAACAAGGCCTGCATGTTGGGCAGCGGATGCACATCTGGGACTGTAAACGAGTTGAGATAGCAGTAGTCTTGAATTAGCTGCTTTTTCCCATCTTTCTTAGCCACGAAAAACACCAGTGCTGCTTGTGGTGATGTTGATGGTTGAATCTTTTTGCATTTTAGGTTTTCTTCCAGGAATTTGTCTAGAACTTTTAGTTCGTCAGGAGACATGGGGTATACCATTGCCTTCTTAGGCTTGAAATCATCACGAAGTCTGATTTTGTGGTCCAACCCAGGTTGATGGGCTGGTAACAGAATGTTGTCTTCTGTGAACACCTTGGTGAATTCCTTGTACATATCAGGAAGCTTGACTTCCTCCTTGGCTGCTGCTAAGGCAGCTTCGAGCTCTGTGGAAAGAGTAGTTTTGTTAATAATCATGGGACTTACGCCTGTTTCTGGTTTTACCACCTCCGGAGGTGATCCAGAGTTTTCTGTTGCACTACCTTTGTAAGAAGGCACAACCTGTTTGATGTACTGGTCAGACTCTTTAGTAGGAACATACCCATCATCCCAACATGTGATTCTTCCTGTTTCCCAGTTCATTTGTGGTTTGAACTCTTTTAGGAACAGCATTCCAAGGAGGACATGTTCCTTTCCTACCAGCGGTCTGACATAACATTTGACATGAACAACCCTGTTTTTGATAATCATCTTCAAGGTTGCTTTTCATGTGACCCATTTGACATCCTTTCTGGTGAACAACATGGTCTTGAATTTATTTTTGACACAACATGTGGGTATCTGGAGTTTCTGGACCATTTGTTCCAATACAAGGGAGACCTTGGCTCCTGAGTCGATACAGGCCATGATTCCTGCATTGAAGTCCAGTAAAATGACCCTTCCCAATGGTGAACAGATTCGCATTGTCGATTCATCATCTATAGAAGTACATTTAGCAGACAAAATAGCAATGGGACTGACTGTAGCAGGAGATTCATCAGTCCCCTTTAAAAATCCAACCCAAAGACCCTTCTCTCTTCTGCAGTCGCTTCATGATCTCCGACATAGGCGGTCTTTGTGCCATCCTCCTTGAGGATGATGCAGATTCCTGAGAGCTGCTTGGCCTTGGACTTGCAGTCATGTTGGTAGTGACCGGCAGCTCCACATTTGAAGCAAGTAATTTCCAAACTGGAACGTCTTACGTTCTGTTTATGTTTGTCAACATCCATTGCATCAGGATCTTGGGAACCTCCACAGTAATGAATGAACTTTTGTTCATACTGAGATTCCTTCCCTTCTAGGATATGCTTTGTAGTGATCACAGTTCAGGCTTCTCCCGCACACTGTATCCACTCAATGACTGTGGAAGGTGCGCATCCAGAGTTAAGAACCCAGTCTCGATACTCCTTGTTTAAGCCTTTTCCACAGAAGATCCCTGCTTTGCATGACTCTTCTTTAAGTTGAGCCTTGTTGACAAGCCCCATGAATTCGGTGATATATGCCTCAAGTTCATGTTTGCCTTGTGAAATATCCAAAAGGCGTAGGATTGTGAGAGTGGTCTGATCACCTGACTCGAAAGTAGCTTTAAGACGTTCTACGAACCTCTGGAAAGTGTTGGTATAGTAGATGGTGCCATCAAGAAGCTTGTTTTCATTTTGATAGTTTTCGGTGAAGGAGACTGCTGCACCTTTGGTCATATACGTGAGTGTGAATGAGATCTTGAGGGCCTCAGTGTTATACACATGCTTGTTCAGGTTCAAATATCCTTCAACCTGTGTTACCCAGGTCTGAAGCCCATTGTGGCTTCTGTCATATTCTCTGGGATGCCCGACATTAAACTCCCTCCATTGGGTGGGCAGCAATTGTATGCGTCATCAGGATCGGCTGGGGCCTTACCCTTACTGGACCCTCCAGTGGGGACCTCTGGGGGAATTACCTTTCCAAAGTTCCTGGCATACCACTCATGTAATGCTGAGTCAGCAGGCATTCCTGTTGGAAATGGGTCGCTATTCCAGGCATGCATCACCTTGTGAAGCTCTTCTGCCATAGCGATTCTTTGTTCTTCCAACCTCTGTCTCAGCTCCTCTTCAGTGATGGTCCTTGAAGGCATCTCAGGGGCTGATTCTCTGTGACTGAGTGTCATGGACATAACGGGTGATTTGCATGCTTCCTGTTCTTCTTTGAGGACTGATCCAAGAGAAGTATTGGACTTCTGATTGTCTTCTTCTTCTGAACTAAGCACAACTTCCAAATCCCTAAATCAGGATAGATAAGACAAGCAGGGGTTTGTGGTGGTAACTGAGGGGCCTAATCTTCCTAGCAGGATGGGCAGTAAAGGAGGATTCCTTCTGAGCCCAAGGGGTTTAGGTCGAGGAGGGATTGGTGGTCTCGATTTCTGTGGATTAGACACTTTAACAAGAAGTGATAACAAGGGCTGAGGGAGGATTTATTTCTCGAAAGAAACCTGTCAGTGTAGAGAGGTATTTGTAGGTGCACGAGTGGCTTTACATGTAGGGCGACACAAGTGCCAATCTCTAGGGAGGTGATCTATTAAAGCCTAATGGCTGCCTGTAGAGCAGTGGATTTGATTAAGGGTTGCAGGGTGTTTCTCAATCTTGTTATGCCTGTGAAGGCAGTTGAGAATGAAGTTGGTTTATTGAAGTTCAGTAACCAAGGACAAGTAGGCTTTGCGTGAAGAGGTCAACTAGTCCCAAAAAGCTGCATGAGTTTTTCGATTTTGTTATGCCTGAGCATGGTGACTTCTTCAAATGGAATAGGCACAAAGCACATGAGGGGGAGACTATGGGCCAAATGTATCGTAACCCCTGTGGCTCAGTTATCTTGGAAGTCCGGCAAAGGTTCTGTCTACTGGTGAATCCCTTTGTGGGTATTTGCACAGAGAGAGAGGGCAGACGAACGAGAAGGAAGTTAGCTGAGTTGCAAGCTCTTGAAAAACTGAGGATACAAGGTAAAGTACATGGGGTTATATACCTCTAAGTACGAGTACCATACCAGTCACGACAGATGCGTTGCGACACATATCCGCAGTAGTCGACAGAACAATCAGTGAATAAATAAGAGTCATACGGTGTCATCAGATGGGGTAGGGAGGCAATGAAGGCTATACTGGCTGGCACAATCAATGCACAGCAAGGAGCCTGACACTGGAACTATAGTACAACATGTGAGCAACATAAACGAGTCAGAGACAAGTCAATGGAGCAGGAATAAAACAAGTCATCCATCAGAGAGGGCAGTGGAATACTGGATCACAGTGGCAATGCAGTCTCAACTGGTATTGGAAATACCTTGACAGTGGGAGATCTGAGCATTCCCTGGAGCATTCAAGCCCCTAGGATGGCGATGGTTATGAGGGATGCAACAAGGCATGCAATGCACGTGACCACAAGAAGTTGAAAAAGGAAAGACCCCTGATGGAAGCGTAACACTTTCTGTGCATTCATTGCTACATCTGCTGTGAATACCAGCACTTCTAACAAATCTGGTACTGCTGGACATGCATGCCTGGTAAGACCACATTAATAACCATTCTTCTCTTTGGTTTAAAAATCCTCTTAGACACTAGAGGCAGAGGATTTCCCTCAACTACCTTCCCAGGGGAGATGCCCATCAAAATCAGATGGATGACCACATGCATATGGACAAGGTTGCAGATCAGCAAGATGCTGATGAATGTAAGTCCTTCAATATGCTTGTTTTTTTCAAGGTAATCATCAACACCCTGCAGATGTTGATGATGGGCTTGGAGATTTTTGCAGTGACAATGGGGCTGGAGATTTTTGTGGTGATGATGGTCCTGGAGATGTTCATGGTGACAATGGGGCTGGAGATGTTTGTGGTGATGATGGAGATAGAGATTTTCATGGTGACAATGGGGTGGTATCAGTGCAGCTGCACAGCTGATTAAGAACCCCCTGTAAGTAACCTCACATGCATGTATCCTTGCTAACACTGCCTATAGATCCTCTTTGCATCCACCTCCTGTTGTCAGAGATTCACCAGAGCCAACCATGACCATATCTGAGTCTGTGTGAACTAAATGAAAACTCAAACTCATCCAATGAGTGCATGAGCACTATTGATGAAGGGGAGTCTCAAGTCGAAAGCCCCAAGTACAAGTAAGTGATGCCAACTGACCAACATCCATCCTGACATGGAGAGTAGGTGTAACACTGAGCATATCACAACTGTCAGTGCAGCAAATGGCCCCACAACCCACAGATGGAATGAAGAAGAAGGTGTGGCATCCTCATTCAAACAAGAGTGGCAGGTATGTGTGCCATGTTTGTATCTTGTCAGTTGCTAACTATCCCATCAGAACACTTGTGCATGCACTGTTATCAGAAACAGGTTGGCAGATTGCTAGAGGAGTTCAACAAGTACTTTGATGAGTTGCCTTCTGAAGCAAAGGCAGTATGTATTCTCCTGATCAAGTAGTCATTTGGCTACTCTAACTGCCATGCATATACAGAAATACAAAGACGAAGGCAAACAATCTGGTATGTGTCATATACCTGATATAACCACATCTCTCATGAAGAGTCTTGCAGGTAGAGTGCAAGATCTGGATTAACAGGATGGCTGCCATTGTGGCCAAGTTTTCAGGCAGCACTATGTACTAGGAGGCATGTTTTGGCAGACAGGCAAGCAGGAGCAGTGCGGGCAAGGGCAGTGTGGATGAGAGGGAGTGCAGGCAGTGCAAAGGGCAGGTGGGCAGGCATCATCACAACTGTACTTCTACATAGCATGGCATAGACAAATGCAATTTGTTAATTCACAAATTTATGGCATTGTCTGACATAGATTGTCATAGGAGAATCAAGCAGAATAAGAGACAAAAGGCCATCTATGTAGATCTATGGAAAACTACATCAGGAAATTAACACTTTACTATTTTTGACCTTTTTGTGACTTTTTTTGACTTTTTTGTGACTATTGTGACTATTTGTGACTTTTTGGGAAGGAACCCACTATCTGTACCTTTTTTTTGACCATATACAGCATTTTGAAGAATGAAAAGAGAACAGAATCTATTGAGACAACTAAGTGATGATATATCTAAGCCAAGAAGACTAGAAAATGTCTGAAAATTCAGAGATATTGAGCCATTGGTGTGATGCACACTGTCTGAGAGAAAAATCATAATATCTCTTTGGAACCTCCTATCAATTTGAATGTATGTGGTATCTACTGAAAGCTATGGAATTAGGTGGTTTGAACAAGACCAAAATAAGCAAGAACAATGCAGCCATGCCTGCAGGACATGGGTAATGATAGTAGATTCCTTCCCAAAAAGTCACAATAGTCACCAAAAGTCAAAAATAGTAAAGTGTTATTTTCCTGATGTATAGAGTAGCTACACATACTGTCAAGTAGCTTGAGCTAGCAAAAAAAGCTATGGAGCTGACCTATTTCATATGCAGGGCAATCTCTATCTATGGCATAGATCTAGCTACATGTACATTGTTCCACATATGTCCAATTCTCACTGGGAATCATCCGTCGTCGGCTGCGTGGTTTCTCCGCTTGGATTACATAAGAACCAATCTCCGCTTCAATGTATAACATGCCCTCCTTGTTTTTTTTTTTTTTCCACCTCCTTCCAGTGCACCCTCCAACTTCTTCCGCATCACTATGTTGGCCTCCCCGTAATCCATCCCTTATTCAGGTAAGTTAGTCCTTTTTTTTTATACCGTAAGCTCTGCGCTGGAACGTCTATGATTTCAAACAAAAATTACACTGATTTAATGAATACGACCTGCCGAAGGCGGGAATGACTCGTACTCGAGATTGCTGAGACTTCCTACAGACATGACGGCTAGTTATAATACCTACCGTATACTGAAACCCCGATCCTTTTTAGATGTCGTTGAAGTTTTCCTGTCTTCAAATTTGCTGGTGATCCAATTGGTTGAGTCGACGGCTTGGAGTTGAGGAGAGCTTTTTTAAGTTGGTTTGTTGTGTAGGCCAATGTTCGATGTCTGGAGTATTCTTAGGAAATTCATGTAGTCACTCGTGGCATGTGCCCTCCCAACGTTTCGTCCAGACGCTCAGCGCTCATCAGTTACCACACGCCAAACGTTGCCAGGATATGATCGGCGATCTCCGGCGGGCGTTGGACGGCTCCCAAATATCGGAGGTCGACAGTGCCATGGAGGGTGCCGTTCAGAGAGCCCTCCAAGGGGCTCAGATGCATTCCCATATGTAGTAATATAAGGATGGCGCCAATACTCCCTCAGTGCAAGGTAAACGTGGCGGTCTTTCCTAACGTCCATACAGGAAGTGGCGAAGACTAACGGGGAGGGAGGGCAGAAGGTGAGCTATTGAGGTACAAGAATTGACGACCTGTTTAAATACGGCTACCCACAGAATCAGGATGTCTGACGTCCAGAGAGCGTTCCTGTGATGATGATGGCAGCATGTTGCTTGAATCTACGTCCTTGCCATCTCGATTTACCTCAAGACAGGACAGGCGTCGTGACGTTTACCATAGGTGATTCGATTGGTGCTCCTGCAAAAGACGTCCTCAGAGGAACACTAGTCGACCAGCCGTACGACGATGTGTCCGTGGAATTCCAGGGGGAGTGTATATCATTGTCTCTGCAGGTTAATGTGCTGCTGCTTGCATCGAGTTCGCGCGATTCTAATAATTTTGATAGTGGCCAGGTTACGAATCTGACCTGCTGCGAAAAGCTCGACAGAGTTTCGTTGAAAGCATGGTAGATGAAAAGCCTATCACCCGACAGGAGCTCGCAATACAAATATGCTTTCTTTTTTTCCGTTTCCATAAAATGGCTTCCGTGTGAGCTCTTCTCTCTACTCGCCTAGTCGACCTGACGCGGGATTTTTCAGAAACTTCAAACAAGCCACAGTGAAGGAAAATTTGGCCTCGGTGAGGATGACGTCCGTGCGACAGATGTTGTCCTCCTCTCCGTGCACTATTGCAGACACACGAATACATGGGTCCCAGAATTTGATGTCATTGATCGAGCAGGTCTCGAAAGATATAATTGGTTGCACCACATCTGATCATCAATTGTATTACACACTATCATTGTCCCGCAACACGCACTCATCCACTTACAAGTATGTACCACAAATAATGTATGATAACTACTGCACCATGGGCGAAATTGTCTGATCGTCACTCTGAACAAGTAACAATCTAAATATTCGGTCAACAGTTGCTCTTGTATGTGTGGAGAAGACCTGTGTTAGCTGATACTTACCAACTCAAGGGGGGTCGGGTGCCCATGTCCCCATTCACTCTCCAAACCGAGTGTTGGGGGCAGGGTCTGTTAGAGAGTTAGAGAGTTAATCATCCCTGTGTTCAGCTGACTTAGGTGTGACACTAGCTGCTTCCATAATCGCATTGGAGTGTATACTTCGTACACTTTTCTCCTAGTTCCCTTAGTAACTCATTCAGCACTGAGGGTAAGCACATGTTCATTCATAGTATATCTACTATACTGATGTCCTGTAGTTGCCTACAGGTACAGTGTTGTACATGCAGTAGCGCTGAGGTTACCTACAGGATTCCCCAGGGTCAGTATTTTGGGGGGCTAGTTGACGAAATTAATTAAAATACTATATACCGCGCAACAGTTAGTCGCCCAACCGGTATTAACAGCTATTGGCAGGATTACAAGTAAGTGATTCCTGCAAACGAAAGGTTCCGATTGTTCTGGGAAAACCGTAATGGTTACCTTGCGTGCCGATGAGGAGGAAGTTAAAAACGCGGGGAGGGGGGGGGTTACTACTAATACCACATGTACTACGGCTAAATCAACCACACCGTCACGCTGAGCGACACAATGGAAACAAACGGACTGTTAGGAGCCGAGTCCGTACGATCGAACTGCAGTAAATGTTGCGGCAAGTGTCTGACACAAGGCGCCAGTACACATCTACTTTTACTCGATTGCATAACGGTCGCTAGTCTAGACCAATGCAGCGCATCCTGCACTGGTGACCAGTCTGTCATGACAATTTGAATCCGTCACTGCGACTCTCGTTCGAGGCGTGAGGCCGCAGAGGATGTTGGTGGGTGAGGTATCGGGAGGGGACTGGGAAAGTCATCGAAAACGTGTGTATTATCAGTCCCCTGCAATTCCACCCTCACCAATGGCCTTCCTTTTTCTTTTACCATATTGTGAAATACATCCGCTAGTTTCATGGAACCTTCGCCATCCGATGCTATTCTTGCAGGTGCGGAAGATCGAGATCATGATATTTTCCAAGCTCCACAGGATCGCTGGACAAATTACGCCTTCAGAGCTCCAGGTGCCAGTGCCGGTACCGACCGTCTACAAATCCTTAAGATTCGTCCGACCCTCCAGTAGAGCGCAAGATGCACGTGAATGCTATGGCAAAGTATCATCCTTTCCAATTAGTGCTTATCACCCATGGACCATAGTTACTGGATCCACCTGCATGCCATGAATATCCTCATAACCATTCTGATGCCAGGAGCTGCTTACTGGTGGCATCAGAACCTGGAATGAGGCACTCGGAGAAATTCTCCGCACCGGGCTGGCGACCGCCCTTGATCCGCGCTGACTTACTGTACTGTACGTAGCGCCTCGCTGCTGCATTTTGCGACAGTCTTTCGGTTTGTCATAAATTCCTCGTCTATAACTGTTAGATCGCGTCATAAGTTTTGCCACGTGCAGAGGCTGGATTCTGAACTCGACGTGTTCCAATACCTCACGAAAATGGAATTCTAGTAGAATATCGCGCGGGCCAGAGGTACAAGGAGCGTGATGAAGCAATCACAATTTCCGGCCCGCTTGCGGGGATGCTCATCGCAGGGACGAGCGTTCTCCTTGTCATTGCCGCGTACGTCCGCGAACAACAGTGTACGGTGGACGATCTGCCGTTTATAGGCTGCTATACGGACGATAATGCTCGTTGCTTGTGGGTGCTCCGTTGCATCCAAGCGTGCCCCGGATCCCGGTCCTGGCATGTAACATTGCTCAGTTAGTAATATGACGAGGGTGAAATATATACCGGCTCTTGGTGCGTTTGTACCATACGTAGACCATTTCTTGTGAACAATGACCTGTAACAACGAGCTCGCTCCTCCCCTACTTAATGGCGGTGATTGCTCGGATAGCACAGGAACAACCTGGGTAAATGTAACCCTTTATACAACTCCACTTTGCGGCGATAACAAGAAAATCACAACGATGAGACTATCGTCCACACGTTGCAAGCCAATTAGTGTAATGAGCCCTCCGCGTTAGTGCGATCATGTAAAAACAGAGGGTTCCGTACAAGTATCGTTACATGACATCACCGTAAGTACGACGTGTTCTTGGTGTAGTGTAAAGCACTGCTCGCTTTCCCACGTTTTTTTTTTCCGGGTCGATCCTTGGTTTAGTAACAGGAGAACACTTGAACGTCCTCTCCTCCCCTCTCAAATCATCCGCCCCCGTGTGTGACATGGCACCCTCACATGCTGGCAATGGAAAAGAGTCTGGAACTGCTAGGGTGCTTGGCTCTGGTGCATCTGGTAACGTGGTAATTCAGTGCGCGTCAGGCTAGGTTATTCACCTAGCGTTTCTGCAGGCGTAGCAGAGCTTGTAGTCTTCCACCCTGTGGATACGGTCGCCAAGCGGCTTATGAGCAACAAGTCCAAGGTCTTTTTTTTTCATTCACTTGTGACGATCTGCCTTGCTGATTGAGCGAGACTACATAACCAAGGTGTCGATGTCAACACTCTCTCCAATCATTTTCAGAGACTATGCTAGTGCATCCGTTGGACGGAAGTTTCTATCTCTATTCCCTGGACTCGGCTATGCTGCAGGCTACAAGGTTTCTCAGCGTATATACAAATTTGGCGGTCAGCCGTGGTTCAACGACATTATTTCACGAAATTACAAGGATGACTTTACACGTCTCTTTGGGGAACGCAAGGGGAAAATGTTAATACAAGCAACGGCTGGAAGGTACAACACTCCATTCGTGCCCGCTATCCGTCCGACTCACGATATCAGTAGTTTGACTGGTATTGGTGAAGTGGTGTGTGATTCCAAAGTAGGAGATCACCCAATCAGTTAGTAAACACCCACACAAGGTCCTTCTGCCATTGGATGCGCTTAAGATCAAAAGGCAAGTTAATCCCGAGGCCTTCCGTGGACGAGGTGTTGTCCGGATATTCATGGAAGAGGGAACGACAGTTGTATCGTGGATGGGGCTGGACCATGGCTCGAAATGCTCCAGGTTCTTTTGCTGTGAGCACCATGTCCGTGCCGGTGTATCGAGGTAGTACCCACTAATCTGGCGATCCCAGCTCTTTGGTGCATCGGCTGCCACAAAGGAGATGCTGGGTGTCTCAGATTACTCGAAAGCCACTTGGACGCAAAATTTCATAGCCTCCGTCGCTGGTGCCTGTCGCATCGATTACCGTTGCCGCACCGCTCGACACTGTCAAGACTCGTATTCAAAATGCAAACTTTGAACACAAGGTTCCTGGCACAACGGTTGTGAAAGACCTTCTCCGCAATGAGGGCCTATTCGCCTTCTTCAAAGGATTGACCCCCAAGGTCCGTATCCTGCCGTGATCCTTATTTAAACTTTGCATCTCACTTGGCTGGCGCAGATCCTCGTTGTGGGCCCGAAGCTGGTCTTCAGCTATACCCTTGCTCAGTCACTAATACCCCTATTTTCCAATTACGTATAGGCATGAGGGGGTCGTTCGATGAACGTGACTACGTAAGACTACTCATGATATTCGGGCTTTAGCCGGCGATTTAATGGTACAACTGGGGATTCAACACGATAGAAAACTACATATTTGAACTGGAATAATACGACACCACTCATTCTCGTCGCTTGACGGTTAGCTTTTGAGTCGTACGCATCTCGTGAGGTAATTTGTTGGAGGTCTACTGCAAAATACGCTGGGGAACGCAACGGCGAGAGCGAGCCTCCTCAAGTAAATCCTTCATCAAGTCCAGTTCATCAATTGTTTTCGGGGAGAGAGATCTGTCCTTGACCGTGGACAACACGGTGGTGTTACAGACGATGTAAACCTTTTGATCTGGTAGGTCGGCTTCTTGCAGGTTTCGTTGGACGGTTACCCTTGTTTCTTTAATGTATTGCTCGCGTGCAGCGCTGTACAGCTCCGCACGCCGCGCCCGCCCATCGCTGCCACTCTCGTACCCCAGATCGCGCATGATATTGCGGATATGTGCGTCCGCTTTCGAGCGGACGATGTAGGTTGGGATTTGGAAGCGCTGGCAGTTTTTGAGGATGGCGATGTCTGTGGTAGTGAAACGAACGTCAAAGAGAACAATGATGCAGTCAAAGACAAAGAGCCCTTGGCTATTGAAGTATAGCCAGTCGGACTGCTGGAGTGTGCCCGCCCCCGGAATATCGTACCATACAAAGGGGTTCCTAGGGTTTGGGTCGGGGTAGCGGTCGACTGTGGACGTCATTTCAACGATGCCCGTTGGAGCTGCACCAACGTCCTTGTTACGCAAGCCACGGAAGGCATTGATCAAGGGATGATTTTCCGCTGCCAGAGACTCCTGCGACGGCGAAATGGAAAAGGTGGTCCTGATACTGCACTTTCGACTTGGCAGCTGCGACTTCCTCAGGGGTGGGTATGGTGATGGGTTGGACACCTTTCCTTAGGTTCGCTTCCATCTCTTCCTGAGCTTCCTTTGCAATCCTGGCCTTTTCTGCGGCAGTCTCTTGACACGCGTTCCGCCATATCTTGAGCAGCTCTTGCTCTTTCCCTCTCCTCTCTAATCATCTGTCTAGCTGCTTCAGCCTCTTCTTCAGCCCTCGCTATCGCACTCTCGATATCTCCCAGTGACCTCTCCTCGAATGACCTTGCCTCCTCACCAGCTTCTGTGAGTGTCGTATCGCTTGCCGAATCAAGATCGATCAGGCATCGCTGTTCCCATCCTTGCCTGCTCGAATGCGAAGCCGATGTTGCGTCCTGGCTAAGGGGATCGTAGCTGTCGCCGCCAGGGACTTGCCTACGAACCTGTTGTAACTGCAAGATCGCTTCCTCTGCTCGGCGCCTTGCTTCCTCTGCCTGGTGGAGAGCTGCCGCCGCCTGCCTCCGTGCACTAATCTGCTTCGAGGCGTGCCGCCTCCGCCTCCTGTCGTGCTGCTTGTGTCTCCCCCCCTCATGTACTCCCATCCATTCCTCGCATTGTTGATGTTTCGCAGTGTGGGGTTGTCGCGTATGGGGGAATGGGTGATAAGATGTATCATAGCCATGACGGCCCTAGCAGTTGCGACGAGCCCAGCGGTCACTGACTGGACGTTCCCCATATGTCGTAAGTCTAATCTGTCCTGAGTTCGATAGTCGGCGTCAATGAGTCGTCGATACCAGCGTTAATACGGCAGTAAGACGTACGGTGGTAGACTTGCCCGATAGGACGTTGGACGGGGAGGGGACGGCGAACCCTTCTCCAAACCACATGCCAGGACACGAGGCCATCTTCTATGTCCCGTTTTGTGGGTGACGATCATTCCTTTACTAGATGGCAGTATCCTCACCGGAAACTGGTATGCGAGAAGTAGAGAAATGTCAGTTGTGTTATTGAAAGTGTTAGTAAAAATGTATATGACGGGGAATAATGAACGATGATGTGCACCAAAATATAAGTACACGTGGAAACAGCAGAACAGCAGATGGTACAATGCCTGGGGAAATTTCGAGTTCATGGAAATACACTTCATAAACCTACGCACACACAACCACCAGTGCTTCATGCAACAACACTTTCAAAGACGTAAAACTCCGGTACCCACTGATCAGTATAATGGTGAATCGAGAGCAGGAAAATGTCGGAAATGCAAACGCGTTCGTGCTTAAGTGACCACCGTTCGTATTCAGGAGCTATGAGCTATTTTGGGGAGTATCAGCATAAATTCTTGGGAGAAGGGGCAAAAATCTATGCCTACCTGCTTAGGACTCAGCGAAACTGTGCAGAACCCCACAGACAGTCTTCGCCAGTTCCTGACGCGTGATCGGTTTCTGTTCTGGCCCCGTGTAGAATTCAAAGCACTGCAGATCACCGTGCCTCCAACGTGCGTATCCCGGCCACTGCGAAGATTCCTATAGGTCAGTCCTCCTGCCCGGAGTCAAAAATCCATCAAAGATGCAATACCCACCTCAAGCGAAATCTTGGTCGATCTCCATCCAAATCGCGAGAAAGGGGTATCATACGGTTCATCCTACCCAGATTGTCCCATTCAATATATCCCTAACCCTGCACACCGGGCCAGCCGTTTGTGCTGAATGTAACGGGTGGACGGGTTTGGTTGGAAGTCCTGTGCATTAGCGGACGTGGAACACGTATCAGCCGTCGCTGATGAGGCAGGAACCATCGCTCAGGCATTTCCTGATGCCACGAAGATGGGTGTGGGGGCGGGTTAGATGCAATAGCATGGTACTGGATGAGTGGAGGATGAGTTTAATTTTGTGGAAGAATGTGAATGGCAGGCATACTATCGACGTTCCCGGACCTACGGGATTGAGCATCAAGGAATTTGGGTTACTGGTGTAGGGCATAATCGCCAAGGTGCCAATAAGGACTCGAATGTGGATTGAAAGGAAACTGCTGGTCTTCGCCAATACCTACCATCAGGCCTTAAATAGCAAAGGAACAAAAGTGGCCCAACGGCAGGTGGACTGTTCGTGATATGCATGATATCGAGGAAATTGCGGAAAGGAAAAAGCTGAGATAGGTAACGTTGTCGACCACATCTTCATTGCCAACTTACTAGGTGACGTAAAAGTTTGCGAAGACAATATCAGCTGACCTGTGGACACCTACTTCTTTGCGCTTGGAAAAGCGTACGGTGGATTGAGTTCAAATGTCCAAAGGCAAAAAGAACAACGCTGAGGAGCAGCATCGTTGCACTGCGCAAACCTTCGTAGATTATGAGACATCGCCGTCAGTTCCATAGTAACATTAATGGAAGACCTTCAGAGAATTGTTTATCGTCGTCCGGTGGGTAACTAACAAAGGACAATCTCGGGTGTTTGACTCACCAGCACACTACCTACACTGGTGAAATGACTACAAGCGATGGGCTCTCACCAGACGTTGCGCTGCCAGACACGTAAATCATAGAAACTCAGCTAACAAGCATTTGTGCGGGACGTGGTCAGGAACCGGCGGGGATGCGGGGACTTGGCTAAAGGCACTCTATCGAGAAGTGGTGCTTGGGACTGCTTGGTGCCGTCACTGGACCATCTTCAGACGGCGGGGGTCAGGAACTTCGGTATAAACAATGATAAACACTTGGTGGGGAGAGTATGGAGATCTCATCAAACACCCACCTGTAGGAGAAAGTCAACTATGATGATGGAACTGGTGAACTTTAGGGGGGTCAAATGCGTCAATATTATGCAGTACTACATTTCAACTATAATAACTTGGCTACAGTGTGGGGGCCTAACAAAACAATGTAAGAGTACCAATAAGAAATTAAGTATATGAAGCTTCAACGTTCCAGGCCACCAATGCGATGGCGAGAAAAGAATGTGGCTTTGATTGTGACTGAAGGCTAGAGGAAGGAGGAAGGAAAGAAGACCGAAAAAAAAACAAGTAAATAAATAGAAATAGTCTCGTAGCAAGCGGGAACGGAGTAATTTCCCTGCTTCATTCAAAGACGTAGAACTCAGGAATCCACTGAGTCCTGTAGTAATGGATAGACAAAAGAACAACATCCGATGGACGAATGCCATCCTTGAGGGACCACTTTTCGAAACCTTGAGCGATGGTGGTGTTCTGCGCAAAGACGTTAGGAAACCCTGGTTTGGAACATAAACAAAAGGTTTATTCTTACCTGTGCACTGCGATGGAAGTGTTGGAGAGTCAAGGCAACTTCCTTCGCAAGACCTTGACGGGTCATTGGACCCTCTTCCCTTATGACATCAAACCTCGCAATCTGCGGGTCATGGTAGGTTCGCCGAGCGTAACCTGGCCACTAGATAATCCGGGCCAGCACATCAATAACTGCGCGGGGACCACAAAAAAAAGAAGAGAAAACTCACTTCAAGATTAATGACGGTCGCGCGCCAACCTAAATGTGCCAGGGGCGTGGCATTAGGATCATCAACTGTGACTTGGTTCTTCAAAAGGTCCTTGATGCGGACACCGGGCCACCCGCGTACGCTGAACGTGACGGGAGGGAAGGTCTCCATCGGCGGGCTATAATTGAGAGCACGGGGAAGATGTTCCACGCGTCGACGATCCGGAAGTACCCAATACTCTGGCATCTGGGAACGCATGATGGACGGATGGGGAGGCGGGTTGGATACGACAGAGTAATGCTGTACGACGAGCGTTGGCTCACCTCTTCAGAACAGGGAAAGGGGAACTCACATATACCGACCCAGGCCCGCTGGGGTCCACCATCAAACTGCCGGGGTTGACGTAGGCCATTCCTCAGGGAGTCTATAAGATTAGAAAATACAAGATGGAATTCTAGAGAGCGCTGCTCTGAGAGATTTCAAGGGCTGCGAGGTAATTTTCATCCTTGGTCAACAGTATCTGGTTTTATGCGTCCCATAGGATATGAATTGTCCACCAAATATTTCAGAATGTCTTTGGTGAACTTGAGGTGGATGCGCATTGAAGCGTCAATCACGGCTAGTAACTCAAAGCGACGCATTGATAGCGGTGGGACAACAAAGCATGAAACACCAATCTGTGTAACGGGTATCGTTTCAAAGGACAAAAAGAACTGTGGACTCAACTGTGGCCACTTGTCATTTTCTGTCATTTTGCACCTGGACCACCGACGGCGCAGGAAGAGCCGAGAAAACATTCTGCAGAGACAAAAATGGCGGAGCGGGATACATTGTTCCTTGTGTTTCTTCGCCACTCGGTAAAGCGCGCGCCATTGCTTAGTCCTCTAAGTACCCGCATTGACGAAAAACGACAAAGCGCCTTTGTGTGTCAAAGCGTGGAATCCCCGTCGGGCGACCCTGTAGAAATCGGGAAATGCACAGGAGGATGTGCTCTAGCTTGTGACCTGCGAAGGGTATTTGCTGTCAACGAAGGGAATGCTACTGTTCCAACGCGCCAATCGCTAGGCCTCCAGCTAGCTGGTGGTGGTGGTTCAGAAAATCAACTCGGAGAATGCCCACCGGCAAGAATTCCATCGAATTTCAATAAAGTTTTCGTCGAAGTCAGTTTCATTGTTGGTAACGAGACTTTCGTCCCCTTCACAGTCAAATTAACGGTCCGAGGCAATGAAAATGAAATGGAACAAGTCCTTTCAGCTGACCATCGATCGACCTGCGTCAACTTGCCTTTTGTGGAAATAGCAGGGGGTAATGGGAGCCCTGACGACCCTGCGCTCAAAATTGAGAGGCTCCACGGCGTAACGCTTGAGATACGACTTTGTGGCTCACGAAAGATATAAAGGAAGCGTGTCCCTCGAACGCCCACATAGGTAGCGTTGAACGCTGTGACAGTGCGACTAGCTCGGAGAGGGTGGCGCCAATACTGAATGAGAGCCGTGAATTACATGATATGTGCGCACCTCCGTCGTGTAGTGGATGATAATAATTCGATTGGAATGAAGTCACGTTAGTTGTCGAGTTTGAACCGATACAACTCCAATTAGGTCTCCCCTCGTTCAACCACTAGGAGTCTGAGACTGCAAGAAAGTTAGGGCAGCCCCGCTGATACGAGCTCTAGCAGTAGCATGAACTTTACACTAGCCAGAAAGACACTGCATGCATATAGTATGTATGGCAGTACACAACGCCAAAGTCCCAGCGTCCACTGTGCTAATCATCGTTTCATCTTCTCCCCTTGGCTTTCTGAAGCTATCCCATGGGTATCTTATCACCACTGCATGCGCTGCTATTATCATTGCACTACTCATGCAAGGGATTGATCCACCGGTTTTCCTCCCAGCTGCTGAAGATGAGGCCACATGAAAACGATTATCTTCCGTCGAGTCTTTGGTTTGCCTAGGGGAAACCAAGGACACGCCTATCTTAATTTACACTGGCAGTCTCGTCTCGTCGTCGTTATTGTACTCATCATTAGGAAAACAGGGGAACGTAGCAGTTAACTATGCAGGTTAATCGCGACGTCATAACACATTCATCCATATCGAAAGTCACGTCGTGTTATACTAGTGACGCTATGGACGAGAGTAATCCGCCCAGAGCAGTCAATTACATTCACGTACACTTTAACATCACGGTGCGATTACAATCGTAGGATGAGGACAAAGCACAGAAGCGGAAAGTGGGTATAAGCGAGACTAGATCTGGAGGCAACAGTAGTGGGAAACACTCAAAAACTGAATGTCCTTCTCCTCTCCGACCTCTCGTATTGACGCCGGGCGATCATTCCTATCGTCATCCTACGATGGCATCATCGTGGCCACCACCTTCCTCGAATGCAGCTTTATGCTTCTCGAAGTGAGCGGCGTGGTTTTCAGGTCCCACAATAGTAGTAATAACCACATAGGCAGCGACGACGCCGATCAAGATACCCTGGACAGTCGCATAATCATCAACGACTTCTGGCGTTCCGTTCTTGATGATGGTGGTCTTGATATGGGCTCCAGCAGCTGTGACGCACATAAGTATCTAATTCCGGTTTGAGTACGAGACAAAGAGTGCGTACTTGCTTCAATTTGCGCCGATGCCGAGGACACCATCTGTTACGGAATCGTGTAAGTATCAGCGAACACAAAGTAGAAAAAGAGAGGTCGGGCGCACATTACCGAGTTGGTAAGCAACTCCTGGGAAGGTTGCTCGGAACGCGGGTGGGGACATCTCAGCGAGTTGGATCGGAATCTGAGCACAATAAGTCCGGGCGTGCGGTGAAAATAGGATGGAATTACTTACAACACCCCATGCGCCTTGCACACCAAACTGGATCCAGAAAGCGCCAGCAGACAAGGCTGAGAATGATGAAGGAAGGATCCAGAGAGGGATAAACGCTACAAGAGTACAAGGGAGTGTTAACTTCAATGCAGTGGAATATGAGTGTGACACATGCCTCCGACAAGTAAGACGCAGATGATGATCGTAAGTCGACGGCCGATGTACTGACTACCCCAACCTGCAATGGCACCGCCACTGTATATTATAAAAATGCGGTCAATCTTCGCTACAAATGATTAGCCATAAACATACGCTATAGCACCCTAGAGAGAAGTTGCGATTAGAATAGAGATAAATGCATAGCAAATGGACGCACGCAGTTACCGATTATGGTTGCGATGGTAGCATCGTGCGAAGAGAAGCCTTTTGTCGTTTCGAGATATGTAGGATAGAGGTCCTGTGGTGGATAGATCAGAACGAGATATTTTACGAGCAATGGACTACGACTTACTTGTGAACCATGCGACAAGAAGTTGAAACCTTATAGCGTTAGGTGCATCAGACGCGTAATGAGGCGTGGGAGTAACTTATATACGCACCAGTCATAAGGATGACAGCGTAAATGCACAGCTTCCAGTGGATTTTCAACATTTCTTTGGTCTCGTGGATGAACACCTTGGTCTTCGAGGCAGTACTGGCACCTCTCTCTTTTTCGAGTTCTTTGGCTCTGATGAAGACCTCGGACTCGGGGACAAGCGAGCGAATGACAGCAGCGAAGAACGAAAAACAAGCGCCGAAATAGAAGAGGGTGCGCCAGCCGTGATGAGCAACGATGGTGAGGTTGATGACGGCAGCAAGGAGGTAGCCCACTGCGTATCCTTGCTGGAGTACGCCGCTGGCGAGACCGCGGAGTTCAACAGGAAGGTTTTCGAGGGCATTGGAAGACGAGAGACCCCAGATGCCACCCATGGCGATACCAAACAAGGAGCGGACAGCCAGGAATTGAGAGAAAGTATTAACGAACCCAGTTCCGAGTTCGAGCACGCAACAGATAATGAGGTTGATGACCAGGGGCCATTTACGACCGAATCGATCGGAGAGGACACCAAAGATCACCTTGAGGACAATTAAGATAAACGCAGGGAAAAACAGACACTAGAGCAGATACGTACAGCACCAACAGATCGAAACAGCAGGGTGAGGGTGATGGCGGTGGTCTATAAAGGGGAATCACGAGGGGTAAATGAAAAGGAATCGATGCAACTCACGACTGACTGCGAGCTTTCTCCGAACTGTGTCTCGAGGGCAGAGACAGTGAGTGACACGCTGAAGAAATCAAGGGCGTCACAGGTCCATGCCAACCAGCTATAGAATAGAGTTATCTTAGATGCAGCTGTCAAACAGCTGAGGGACAGAACCTCACCCTGACCAAAATTGGGCCCACTGAACCCAAGTGAGGCTTGCCATGGCAGGGACGATGCCAGAATTGTCAGTATTCCCCCTACGTGGGAGGAGGTTCTTTATGAAGTACGGCGCCATGGCTGAGATCCAGAAGCGTGGTCAACGCTGCAGTCAGACAGTGGAGAGAGTAAAACTGACAGGCGAAGAAAGAGCGCCTTACCTTTGAGAAATGAGGCCGAGAGCGTTAAGTACTTGCACGATTCCGGAGGTAATGAAGGAAAGATGTACCCTCGCAATCTGCAAATGATCAGGTACGGATGCACGCAGGGAGAAAAAGCAATAATTGGAGCCTGTCTGACAGGACCGCGTGTCAAGAAGTTGCTGCCCTGACCGGTTGCAATATAGTTCACGGACTCACCTAATCCTAATCAAGCGTGACGAAAAAAAGACAGCTCACCCTACGTCAATATCGTGAAATGGTATGGTTAACATACTGCCGGAAAGATCGTCCTAGGGGATGTTAGGAGAGATACGACTGACGTCACCTAAGATTCTAGGAGGCCGACGCCGGGGATTCAGAAAACGCCTGAGACTGGGACTTCTCCAGCGTTCCTGCGTGGAACTCGGATCGACAGGAAAGAGGCTGACTGTAGCGGTCCACTAGTCCCAGCCGCGCATTGGCATTTCCCCAACCCATTCCAGCCTATTCCCCAGAAACTTCATACGGCTTTCACTCGATTGTCAAACGTTAATGTGTTGTTTCAGGAGCACGAGACCGCTGGCGGAGTCAGTTGACGTGGAGGTGTCCAATGAACTTAGTGAGCGCAGACGGTGCTCCATGATGCTTCATCAGCCATTGCCTGACCCGTCTTCACCCCCATCAGCCCTCATCTTGCCACTGATCCGCAATTGCATCATCTGCCAGGGCGCCCCATCCGGAGGAAGTTGCCCCACCAACTCCTATCAGGTACTCAATCAACCCAACTGAATGATAAGTGTTAGTCTGAATTTCCATTTGATCCTTGTTTCCTTTTCCTTCGCATTGTCTCAGCGACTCAGTCTCGTCGCAGGTGCGGCCTCGCGACAGTGCCGATCATACCTCTCCCCGCATTTTTGCGCTTCAAGGTTTCCCTTTAACTCACCATGTTCCACTACTATCGTAGCAATAAACTATTGCACTCACACAGAACGCTGAAGAGAAACCAGGCAAGTCTTCGTCATTCCTCATGTTATAATACATCCCTTACATTCAACAGTCGCTTTGCCCATAATACGTTCCAGGCGATAGTCTTTACCGTTCCACCTTCCCCCAACTGAGAAACACCCTTCTGTGCCCCATGCACAGATTCGCTACCCGCGATACCAGGGAGACGGCCAGCGCGAACGATCGACGATTCCCTCATACGACCTCATCGTCGTCCTTTCCCTCCAGCTCGCGTATCGAACGGGGCTTTCCCATTCCGACGTCTTGCATCTCGTCCGCACCAGCACCACCTTCAAATGCCGTTTTGGCACTCTCGAAATGCGTGCCGTGGTTCCTATCCGAAATCATCATCTAAGTTTCCCGGAGCATCGCTAACTAACAAAAGAGACACACTCAGGCCCGAGGATAGTGACAATGATCAGATAGGCAGCAACGACACCAATGAGGATGCCTTGCACCTATTATTACGCGCAATCAGTGAGTCGATCTGCATTTGAAGAATCACCAAGTCCCCAGGAGACGCACCGTAGCATAGTCGGGCACATCCTTGGTCACCCCGTCCACAGTAATTGTCGTTCTAATGTTGCTTCCACCGACTGTTCGTTGTACCGCCATTTGTCAGTCGATGACGGGGAACACGTGACCGCCAACGTGTAGCGAAGCGGGAGACAACAGAGTCCGACAACGCGAAAAATTCCCCGATCATCGCGCCCAAATGCAACAGCGTGCACAGCAAATGCATTTCATATTACGAAGGCAACAGTGAAGAATCGCGATGGTCAGTATGGAACGTCTTATCTTTCCGGATACGATCACAAGTGACTAGTGACTCACCGGCTTCGATCTGTGCAGATGCCGCGGAAATCATCTGACGAACCGGTTCGTTGAGAGGTTTGAAATGGAAAAAAGACAAGGCATACGTTTCCAAGCTGGTACGCGACCCCCGGAAATGTAGCACGGAATGCCGGAGGTGACATCTCTGCGAGTTGAATGGGGACCTAAATTTACGTTGGTAAGCAGACGTCCTTTGGTCCTGAGTGCGGGAGGAAACTCACGACGCCCCAGGCACCTTGAACACCAACTTGCAGGAAGAACGCGCCAGCTGCAAGGGCCGAGAATGACGTAGGGAGGATCCAGAGCGGGATGAACGCGCCAACCAAGAGGATGAAGATTCTACAAAGGGACTGGTGAGCCGGCCTGCTCGTATAAGGGATCGACTTACACGATAGTCAACCGGCGGCCAATGTACTGACTTGCCCAACCTGCGATAGCGCCACCACTGTCGTTATACGCATGTCCCCGTCAGTATGTGGTTGCCCGACCCGAACGCCAGCAGAATTCAGAATGGGAAGATGCTCACGAAATCGCACCCTATTAATTACCCTGCAGGTAAGTTCTCTGTTCATCCCGACCAGGGAATCCAAAGAAAGGCACGTACGCAATTTGAGATCATGGTGGCAACTGTGGCAGAATGGGTGGAGAAACCTTTGGACGTTTCGAGATAGGTCGGGTAGAGATCCTGTCATCCCCCGAAGATGGGTGTTAGTGCCTGTCTTTCCCATCGATCAAGTTGCGGGGTTGCGAGGAAGCCGCGCGAAGCGAAGAAAGTACCACCGTACCTGCGAACCATGGGACAAGAAGTTGAAACCTAAAAGTGGTGACACGACCTCGTCAGTTCCGCTTCTTTCTATTCGAGGAGGACAGCCGCAGAAGACGACATACCGGTCATTAGAAGGATGGCGTAGATGCAGAGTTTCCAGTGCGCTTTGAGCATAGCCTTCGTCTCTTTGATGAAGATCTTGGTCTTATCGCCCGTTGCGTGGCCACCGTTTATTTTTTCAAGGGCTTTCGCGCGGAGGAAGACTGCACTCTCGGGTGTGAGTGCGCGCAGGATGGCCGTAGAGGATGACAGGCACGCTGCAGCGTAGAAGAGTGCACGCCATCCGTGCGAGGTATGGGGGATAACGGTGAGATTGACCATAGAAGCAAGGAGGTAGCCACATGCATAACCCTGTTGAACGATACCTGAACCGAGACCACGCAGCTCTACTGGCAGATTCTCCAGTGCTGTGGAGGCGGCGAGACCCCAAATACCACCCATGGCAACACCGAAGAGAGCACGGACGGCCAGGAATTGGGGGAAAGTCTTCACGAAACTCGTTCCGATCTCAATCGAGCACACGATGACCAAATTTGCGAAAAGGGGCCATTTGCGACCGAAGCGATCTGACAGAATACCGAAGACCACCTATATGCAAACACGTGACAAACTCCATTAGCACAGGCTGAGGATATGAGAGATGCTTGGATCAGGCGTACTGCACCGAGTGACCTGAAGAGGAGAGTCAACGTGATGGCGGTAGTCTGATTAACGATAAGTTCCCAGGAAGCACGTCCCGAGGTATTCATTGACTTACGATTTGCCCTGGTTTCTTATCAAAATCTTCAGCCAAGGTATTAACAGAAAGCGCGACGCAGAAGAAATCGAAGGCGTCGCATGTCCAGGCCAACCAACTAGGCGAGTAACATTGAATGCTTCCTTTGACAAGTAGCAGATGTCGGTGCCTACCCAGTAACGAATTGTAACAGTTGTATGAATGTCAAACTTCTGAGAGCGCGCAAAGTGCCACCATTATTGCGTTTCTCCCTGGGGGGAATAAGACTTCGGAGGAACCTCGGTGCCATGGAGCAGCTGAAGATGCAAGCTTCCAGGGATCTGGACGATTGCCAGAGGGAGGGGAGATATCATATCAGGAGTTTTATAGGTGGTTGGCCAATGCGGGGTTTACCGAACTGATCTTTCCGGACGAAGGTCCGTCTCTGCAAATGTTGCAGGCACATCGATCAATCAATATGCAAACAATGTGGTGCGTATACCACATGTTGTCAAATTTCTTTGCGAGCCACATACCCAGGCTAGTAACAAGTCATCACTACAAACGGCTAACCCGAGTAGAAGGACAGAATATACTCGATCACTAGTTTGGGCCCAAGGGCATGCCAGCACGCTTGTTTTTCCCTCCATGGAAAATGAGGATGAAAAACAATTTGTGTAGTTGATTTCGTTCGGTAAGCTCCACATCGTAAAGTAGACGTTTGATGCGCCGGGACCTAACTTATCGGCGCGCATTGGCATCTGGAGTGCTCTTCTCTACTTCGAACCCTAGCGTGTCAAGCGATATGAATGAACTCCAGGCTTCCCGCAACAGCCCGTACCACTCGGCACCATGACGCTTCTCCAGGGAGTGCTTCGGTATCGCTTCCGATGTTGCGATAGTGACCGCAGAGTGGGCTCCCTGAATTTTATCATATACGTCCGTCCTTCGTATGGCTGATTGTTGCTCAGTGCATCCCTAGTAATAATACAGAGAAGTCTAGACTCCAGAATCGTATCTGATGCGCCCCATGTGACCTCGCATGGAGTCCGAAATCTTTAATCCGAGTCTCGTGTATCCGTCATGATAGGTAGATAATTAATGCGTGCGAGGATAACGCGTCGCGGTTGCTTTCGTTCCAATGATTTGTCACAGAACAAACTGATCCGTGGAAGCCTTGGTTTGAAAGGCACGGGCTGGCACGGGACACCTCGCCTCCAACTCTGTTCCGAGTTGCACCTGGGCTACCGCTTATACATACTCGCTAGATCGGATGCTATCATATCATGGGTCCAATATTGAAGGCACGGTTATCCACCGGGAAATGTGCCAGTAGCGGTGCCCCGGCGCAGGAGCTGCCTTCCTTCTTTTAGGTATGTCGGGGAACTCCGGAGGAGTCCGCCTGGTAGTACACAATGATTATTAACTAGTTGACTAGGTTAGGCTGTGGGTCGCGCTAATAGTTATTAGCCAGATAACCAACATATGTAGTTTGTCTGGACGTGGGACGGAATGTGCACTGAGCTAATGAATGATTAGTGAGGCTTCCAGCAGGCATGGAGGGTCTGATATTGGTGTGGAAGAGGTTGAACAAGTTGTAAAGTAGTGTAAAGTGGGCTAAGTGGCAGATAATGAAAAAATGTGGACACTCTTCGTCCTCGTCTGCCTTCCCCCCCCCTCCACCATCTCGTCTGTATCCTCTCTATACTACCAGGGATCTTGGTCAAGGTGGGTGGTATGTACAGGTTCTAGTGGCTGTCTGCATGCTATCGGCAATATCCACCCTGAGTTTATCAGCGCAGCCACGTACGCTTCCCGGGTTATCCCGTCACACCTGTAAGCTATACAGGAATCATCACCGCAGTACAGTATATCCCACATTGTTGTCTTTGAGTAACAACCCCAGAACTCTGACCCGGACGCTATCTTAGACGATAAAAGGGCTTTCTCAAACTTGGACTACGAATGCATCCAGGAATACGCTCACCTCATGCTTATACTCAAGCTATCATCACATCGTCACAGAACGGATTCTACTTTCGTGACATGATGACGCAACAGACGTCCATTCGGGCATATGCGGACGCGGAACATGTTACAAAGTTCCGAATCTTTCCTCGAGTCGGGACACGTGGGGATGTCACGTATACCTTCCGACATGTATTATTAGCACACAAATCAATGAGCATCATTGCGAGTACCTCTGTCACCTGTCGGTTGCGGCCGACCACGCAGGTGACAGCTTCTCCCCCATAATCTGTCAGTCTAGCGTTTTTAACGTTCTGAGGTTTCTGAACTCCCTCCACATGGCATATATTATCCCGATGCGACGGGTCGTGGAGACCTTGTCCCGAGTGACAACCGGTCAGGACCGGGTACTCTCAACAATATTCTTCCGCCTCCCCACGAGTTCATCAGAAATGTTCGAGGAACCCCTCTATGACCGCTTCGTCTTCTTCCCCTTTCGAGATTTCTCCCCATTTCCCTCAATAAGTTCTGTCTTGCGCTTTTTACCTCCCGAGGCGGTGCTCCGAACGCTCACAACTGTCGATCCTTTCGTCCCCGTTGCCAGTCTCGTTGCTTGTGCTTCTGCCGCACTCCAGTCCTTTGCACTATCATCGATCGCATACCTATCAGAAGGCATACATTCCCGTCATGTACGTATCGGCGAGATGGGAAGGTCTCACTGGGATAGATCGAGGGCCTCGAACATGGCACGCTGCCGCTCTCGCAGGATACGTGTCGCTTCGTCGCCGGCTTCGTCTAGTTCATCTTCGATATTGGTGCTCATGGGCTTCCACATATCCCCGCCCGTCCCTTCTGTACGTTCTGCATCAATATTGGACGTAACGCGAGACACATTGCTGGATGCTACTAGTGGGATGTCGGCACCAACTGCTTCCCTTTGGATGTCCTGCAACTTCTTGGTGATCTTGCGGATGAGTTTCACGAAAAGGGCAAGAGTTTGTGAGACGGGTAGAGATAGCTCTTTCTGTGGGAGGTGGATGCCGTCCGTAGTAAGCGATCAGGTGTAAGGATAGGACAGTGGTTAGGCTGAATCCGCTCTGAAACCTCACCTCAAGTTCTTCGACACTTTTCCGCTGCAGTCCCATGCCAAGGAGAATGGATGCTTGAACAGCTGACAAGCTCACATCACCCAGTCGCTTCCCAAAGAAGAGCGCTGAGATTATGGGGAGGAGATCTAATATGACATGATAGTCAAGCATGTTGTTTGCATACGATTCGAGACGCTTGAGGTCATATGGCGTTATAAGAAGAGAAAGCTCCTGCGCAGCAAGTACTACGGTTGGGACATGATGAGTAGCCATTCACGATCCAGGAAGCGGCAAAGTCGATTCAATAAACGTACCGTGGGTGGCATGCCCATTGCCTTTAACACCAGCGTTCGCGGCTTCCAAAATGCTAAGCCCCATAACGCTCCCAAATTCCCTGAATTTATAAGACAGTAACGAGAGGAACCGCCGTCGAAAGTCTACCAGAGGGAGTACATTAGACTAGGACCCTTCATGGGTGAGACGACTGAAAGCATACCGTTTGCAAATTCTCCCAGCCACTCTAGTTCAGTCTCGGGTGAATTGTTCAAGCCTCGAACCATCACACACGTGTGCTCTCCAGTGAGTTCACTCTGTGTTTGTCTGATGTAAAGCGGAATATAGCCTGCCCTCTTCCAGAAGCTATCCCGCCGTTGGGAACCATCATAATCAGATAACGGGACACGATAAAGTCAGCAGGCGTAAGAATTGTGGTGTGAGCATACCCACCGGAGTAACTGAGGTGTTAAACCGTATGAAACACCCAAGTAATCCAGACTCTCGGGCTTCCGCTCTGACAGGCGTTGAAGAAGGGGAGGCATCGCATTCGGTGACCGGACTGTAGGGAGATCGGTTTGAAGGTTTGTCGTCTATAACAAGTCAGGAGATGTGAGGAAAGAGTGAAACTCGAGTTTCCAAGGCAACTTACGGGGTCAACGACAGTGACATCAGGGTAAGAGGGTTCCACTTGTGCGGCTTCGTCAAGATTGAAATATTCGCCAGAGTAAAATTCATTCAGTGCTTTTAACGCACGGGACCCATACCCCATCTGTCAGACACCAGTCAGTGATAAGCACGGGCTTCTCCATATGAACGGAGATTATGGCACCTTTGCGTAGTCGGGGTGCGTCGCGATGCGCACTATTCGAGCCCCCGAAAGCTGTGCGAACTTGCTCTCTTGGAATTGTTGGCTCACCAACCACGGAATCATGTCACCACCTGCACGGAAGCCACGGGTAAGCCCCTCCATAATAACCCCCTTGCTAATGTTACCCTCCAGTGCAACCTGAAGGACAACGAGCGGTTCCGGCAGATGGCTCTCGTCATCTTTGAGCGGCGGTAGGAGGACGAACAGATGATGAGCCGGTGCATCAGACAATAATTGGAGATCATTTGGTTGATTTTTATAGTGCGACGCCACGTAAAGGGCCATCATACGCTGCAAAAAGAGTTCCGAAGCTGGGTGGAAGCTGAACAACGTATCTCGCGAAACATAGTAGAGTTCACACGTAGAAGGATGGGGACAACCCTGCAGGGCTGAGGAGGCCTTGGTTGGCAACGTTGCATCGAGACACAACAGTGAATGCAGCCATCGTTCAATCTTGTCTCCCGCAGCGTATCTGATGGGTGTTTCTAGTTTGATTTCATGCAGAGTTCTCGCGCGAGGGGCGCTGGCGTGAATAGGCTTCTTGGATTTCGTTGACGTAGAACCATCGTCTCCAACAACAGTTTCCTTAGTAACTGACGGGCGTGTGCTCTCGCGCAGCTGCTGAATAAGTTTCAAAGACAGAGAGCGCCCGGTACCCTCGTAGCCATTAATGGTGGACGCCATGAAAACGAGGTACGGCCCCATTAAATTTCTTACTAGTGGAAGAGGGATCGCAGCGGCCTCGTCGATTATGACAAGTTCGGCCTGACCGAGGACATGTGCATCTTCGGGTTGAATGTACTGCGTACGGTCCAATGTATCGTGAGTAAATGATGCGAGATGGCCACAGCTACTTACTTGTATTGTTTGTCGATGTTGCCGGAACACGTTCACGCGTACGATGGCCTTGTTGAAGTCGGGATTTGTGCTCTGGGCGATGTCGTAATCAAGATGTTCTTCATATCCCAGGGCATCAAGGCCCAAGAATACGAAGTCAAACAACGTCTTCAAATTTTCTGGACTAGGGCTCGTTACGAATATATTGGCGTACCCGTGCCCCATTGCAGCGGCAATCGCAAGGCCAAGCGCTGCAGACTTTCCTCGTCCACGAGCGGCCGTTAGGACGACCGTGCTCGACAAAGTCTTTTCTGCGATCGCTTCGACGAACGTCAGTAGCGCCTGTGCCTGGTCACGCGTCCGTGTGAGTTTCACCAGTTCGCCTACGTGAGGTGTTTCCGCTAGGCTATCTTGTAGCTCCTTTAATTCTGCTGTGCCTGGATCCGGTGGGAGTGCATCTTCTATAGGCGTTATGTCTTTGGCTTTGGATATCGGGAGGACGTTGAGTTCATCGTCGAGAACGAGGCAATCGGAGCATGCGCCGAGGGAAAGTATAAAGCGCTCATTAAACCGTGCGACTACCGCGTCGTGCGATGAAGTTCGATAGCGTGCATGAACGTCCTACAGTGAGGATTTAGCATTGGCGCAATGGATATAAGAAAAAAAGTACCATAGTCAGGGTGTATAACTGCCGCAAAGATGTCATGGTTTTGAGAAGTAAAACAACAAGACCACCACCCTCCACGGTCTCTATGGTGCGTGCTAGGAGATTGGGCGTAACAGCTTCGAAATCTTGTAGTACACACATGCCAAAGGTGTTGCCCAAAATCTTATGAGACTCCTTATAGTATCTATGGAGGATGGTCGAGTGAGCAGACAATCAGGGAGTTGGCCTGGCTTACGTGTAGCGGATATCGGTGACAGTGACGAAGATCTCAAAAGGGCTTTGCTCGTTAGGCTCGCGAATGCCGCGTTTGACATCGCGTTTTATCTTGGCTTCCCGTTTTTTTCGATGGCTGAAAGACCAATATTAGCATCCGACTGGGTGGATACGGCACACATAAAAGGATGCGCATTAAAGCTTCGAACCGTCAGCGGCACGACACATAGGAGATTGTTGCAGACGAGCGGGAAGGATCCGGCGTTTTGACCAAGGTATCCGCATATCACAGACCAAAGACTCACGTTGTGAACCCCAGTTCTTTTTTGTAGCACCACAGCACAGAGGGACGGGCGGATACCCTTGCTTGAGACAGCAAGAAATGCAAGTTCACAATCTAGAACCAGAGCGACACGCATCGTCAGCCCCGTGACATGCTCGGAGGGTTGTAACGACACACCTGGTCACGTCCCTTGTCCCCGACCAAGACAATAAATGAGCGATGATTTTCGTTTACATTGTTGTTGATAAGGATTGGTATACGTGGGTCGAGCTGCTTGCGCATCTTGAACTTGATGATCCCACAAGGGGCTGAGCTTGTCAAAAGATTCGAAAGAAGGTGAAAAAGCAGGTAGGCTATATATGGAAGTTATGTCTCACGATGTTGGTTCCCGCTTCCGGCCCGCGCTGCCCCGGTCCATGCTCAACGAACAAACCAGCATTTTCGTTTCCCCGGAGTTGGAATATCTGATTCTCATCGGACCCACAACGTGGCGCGAACGCCTTTCTCAGGTGAGCACATAGTATCTGTGAACAGTCGTGACTGCGGCGGTTACTAGGCCCCATTGGCATTAGCTTTGCTTTAAAACTTGAACCAAAGCAAGCGGCAGATATCACGGAGCTTTATCATCCATCTGCGCCTTATTGTGCGATTTCGCGTGATTCTAGTGATTGTGGAATGTCACTGAATAAATCCACCAATGTGGTCCACCTCACCGAAAGTCGTCATTATGCTTATGGGATGCTTTTCATCCTAGATCGAGATATAAACTTGCTTTGTCCCTATGGCACGTACCAAGGTATGTTTTGTGAAGTCCGCTTTGACCTAAATATTTCGTCGGGCTCATGTTGAACATTCTAGCGATCACTATTGTCGTGGTTAGGCACAAGCGATACCACCGGCCATTTAGGAGTCCCGTTTGGTTCTCCTCATTTCGATTGTATTGACTATGATGTCCACAGACGTGCGTGCCACAGGAACGCAGGAGGTGAGATAAAAAGCTCGTCCTCGGGACACCTCTCAGTTGTACCCTCACCCAAGCTCGTTTGCTCGAAAGCTATCCGTGCTTTCCAAACGTGTGCGTGCTATACCCTGCGATTACTCTTCTATCTCCAATTTCTTCGTGAAAATGGCCGAGATCTATCAACCTTTTGCACTCGAACGACTTCGTGGAAGCCTTTGTTCCTGCGGAGCACCAACCATAGCAGAACACGAATTTTGTTTCTGTTCCCCTCGATGTGCTCGTGAAGATGCCCTCCGTGCTCTTGGCGCCTCTGAATCCCATTATCGAAACGTCTTCAAACGTGCTTGTGTACCCCCGGAGCCGAGCCTCCGTCGGTTGGCATCCTCCGGGGTGCTTCGCCCCGGCCCGTCCATCCAACCGGAATGGACGACGAAGTCCAAAACCGCAAAGCCAGAGCTGCGGACAGGGAATTCTCAACCATATAGAAACAATGTTGCACATGGGACTCTTCCGACACTTGAACAGGTCACCGAAGCTGTGCTAGCGAAGAACGCTAGGAATGGGGGGCATCTTGGCTCGGATCGTGATCGCGCCAGGTGGGGCGGTCCCGGAAGCGGTCAGAGAGGGGATGTGTGGCAATCTACGGTGCACCAAGAAAAACCACGCGGAAACGTTCATGCAATACCTACACAGATATCTCTATACCCGATACCTATGCCCCAAGATGTCCAGTTTCGACCCGTGCTGAGGGAACAGCCATTGACGACAGGACTGAGGGACGCTACCAACAAGTCGGCCGTGCAGTATTCCAATAAAGGGAAAATGAAGGCCCAAGGGAACACAGCCGAGTTTGGTTCCCAGAAACATTCAAATGCATCAAAGGGAAATCAAATGTTCGGACATCCTGTTAACCCCAGTTATGCTCCTGCGACTTATTCGAAACCTCCCCCTCGGCTACTTCCTCAAGCACCTCCTGTCATCCGCCCCCTTCCCCCCCTTCCTCCTCCAAATCCCGTCATTCTCGCTCCGGCTGAGAAGCGAAGGTCACAAACTCTGCGGAGGTCCGCTTCGTTTGCGGGGTGGGATATTCCTACTGGAAGTCCGCACATTGGTGGCGACGAGGCCCTCATGCGCGCATTTGCTCAAGTGAGAGCAGAGTTGAGAGCTGTTGGAGATGAAGAGTTCGATATCAGTGACTATTTTAGGGATGAGGAAGACGACTATTGATCACACTAGCCAGGTTCCCTCGTGACGTTCATATAATTCCAGAAGTTTTATTAGCAATTTTATTCGGCCCAACTCGTAGTATGAACGGTCGTTGACGTGTCTATGATATTTAAATAATGTAACCTTCGATACAGTCCTTACCAGCGTTCAAATCATAGTTTCGAATTTCGGGGTCGCCGGTTGAGGAAAGTCTCCTAAGTTTGCGGCCGGCACTAGTACAACCGAGCTCTTAAATGCTACGTCAATTGGAAGCAGCGCCCTGCTAACGACTGCCACCATCATCCTCCACTGTCACTAAGATGTCCACTAACGACGCACTGTTGGAACAAATCCTTGCCCGACTCAACTCACTGCAGGTGTCTCAGCAGGCACTCCAGGCAAAGGTATGGGTCATGTCCTGTCGCGAACCGAACTGGTCTTCTTACCCCGTCGTCCATCGTTCTGATTTGGGTCTCGCCTTCAGTTGGACTCACTAACCACACCTACGTCGCCTGTATCACCTTCCCGTATCGAGCCTTCAACTCCAGGTCGACAACCGGGCTCGCCAACACCTCAGAGTCTTCTCTTATCACCATCTACGTCTCTAGCTCAGATTGTATCTTCTCCACCCGTCGGGACTTCTGCAGAACAGATAATTTCTGACAAAGACCGCGAGAGGGCACTATATCCTGGTCGTGTGCTCCTGACGAGTGAGCATCTCCCATCCTTTTGATATGTTATCTCCTTGCCTTCGGTAGCATTGAGCACGATACGGGCACGTGCATATCGCATGCTCCGGATCTTAGCCAGTACTTAGTAGCTGCGGTGACCTTGCTTCCTTTGTACATAAAGTTGACGCTTAAGAAGTGTCATCGAAGAAGCGATGAAATTACTAACCCCTGTGTCATTTAGCCTACCCGGACCAGCACGGCATCAAGCCGTATCCTCTTCAATGGGGAACCTCCGACCCTTCAAACCGGGGCCCCGTCATTTGCTCCCGGTTACCCACCTCCATCAAGCAACGTAATGCGATTGGAGCGCATTCTGGCTCTTACTCGATTTACCGCGCGCTTTCTATTGCAATGGGCACGTTATCTCCATCTCACAAGCCCGACTATTCTAAGACCGAACCGCCGGTGCCAATTCCTCCTCAACCTGCATGGTCCGACCCTCACAAAATTGTATCATTTGACCCATGGGGTCACCTTGTTCCCCAAGTGTTCAAGCGTGAAATAGAGGAACTCGGTCTAGATGTGCGCCCCAGTATTGCTGTTACCAAGGCACATATCAAACTGAGCGAGATGGACGAGTCCGCGAGGCGGGGTGATATCGTAGTCGATGGACACATTGTTCTCCGTACAAGACCTCTGAAGAATCCAGATGGTACTGACAGCGACATGGACCCCGGTGTAGAGGTCACGACAAGTAAGGCGGCTGTCGAGCCAGTTTGGTACCTTCCTGGTGTTGCAGAGCGCTTTGGCATGTGAGTGACGATTGGGGTTCGCTTAACTTTTGGTTTATCAGGCACCTAGTTCTGAGAGTCTCCTCCGCCGTGCTCTTTTTGAGGACACTGGAGGAATGTACCCCGAGCTCATCACTCGCCCTGACATCAAAGTTTTCCTTCCTCCCATCGGCAACCTCACCGTGTACATCTGTGCGTGCGATGGTCATTGTTTGTACTATTCAGACTGACTCGCTTTTAGTTGGAAACCCTGAATACCTGATGGATGAGAGCAAAGAACTTACACTGCGTGTTCACGACGAATGTACATATTCGTTCCCCGAGGACTTGTTTGTGGTACTGATGTTCGATGTTTCAGGCAATGGGTCGGATGTATTCGGCTCGGATATATGCACGTGTAAGCCTTACCTTGTCTTCGCTATCGAGGAATGCGTTCGCTGTGCGCAACGCGGGGGTGTCGGTGTAGTGGTATATTTCCGCAAGGAAGGAAGAGCTCTGGGTGAAGTTACCAAGTAAGTAACTTTGACCTTGAGCTACTCATTTTCCTGCTAATCCTGATATGCTAGATACCTCGTGTATAATCTCCGCAAGCGCGGTGGTGACACCGCCGACAAATACTTCAGGGCTACGGAACTCATCGCCGGCGTGAAGGATATGCGGTTCCAAGCACTTATGCCCGACGTTCTTCACTGGCTCGGTATCAAGAAGATCGACAATATGGTGTCTATGAGTGACATGTGAGGTTGACTTTCCTTTGACCAGTACTATATATCTGACAAAATGTAGGAAATACAATGCGATCGTTCAGTCTGGAATACCCATCCTCAAACGATACGATTTACCTGGTAATTTCTTTTCGAATGTATCAAGGACGTTCTCACACCTTACCTTGTTACAGAGCACCTTATTCCCCCAGACTCACGGGTCGAGATTGATGCGAAAATCGCAGCTGGCTATTTCACCAGCGGAAAGAAGATTACTGAGGCAGATTTGATCAAAACTGTAGGAAGGACTTGGGAAGAAGCAGAGCACTAGGCCGGATGCCTTGCAGTCCAGATCGTGAACCATGTCATTTGTTTGGCGTTTTCTTTTTGTTCTATTCCCTACATGCATAGCAGAGTAGCAAGAATGACAAAGCTTCCTTCCTTACAAGTACAGGTTGAGTACGTATTGCGGAGTCTGGTATGTCTTCCTTTTCTACGACCCCCGATCTAGATGACGCTTCACAACTTCGATATGCTCCACATATCACCAACACCCCATTCTGACATCGCTTTCTCCGCCGCTGCAAACCTAGCTTCTTCTTGGCTGGCACGTCCTCTCTTCTCCGCCTCTGCCTGGACAGATTCCAGGCCCTCGACCTTAATGGTACAGACCACATTACCCTTCTCATTTTTGAACTCGTAATTAATCTGCTTATGTTGTTGGGAAACCCAAATGCCAAGGCGCGAGACGGGATGCAGGACATCGACCTTCTCCCTAACGACCCGTTCTAGACAATCCATAATTCCCAGCGTCCGAAGTAGCGTCCGAACGGTCTCGATGTTACCACCCGAATCGAGGTATACAGCACCAATAATGCTTTCAATCATGTCACTGAGGAATTTGGGTGGTTGCAAACGTGTGAGTGCGGCCCACGGGAAGACTTTGCCCACACTGAGCGCCTCCTCGATCTCCGCGCTGTAGTTCTCAAAACGTCTGAATGACAACTTTTGGTCCTCCAGGACGACTGTGGAAGAATGCAGGAGACACTGGTACAGATGGACACGGTTTGTCTTGTGCTGTAAAGTGATTCGACCTCTCGCATCCGGCATAGGCATGCTGGCGTCCACCTCGACAGAGAGCTGCAGACAACGATAGGCAAGAGAGTACGTGTTAACCGTCGCAGCCTTGAAAATGTGCATTTGACCAGGGGTGAACGCACGTCCGGGGAAGTGGTACAAATAGTCAATGACGAACATGTCGAGAAGTGCGTCACCCAGGAATTCCATACGCTCGTATGACACGGTTTGGGTATCGAAGTGGTAGCTTGCATGGGTGAGTGCCTCAACTAGCAGAAGTTTGCGTTGGAAAGTATACCCAATCATCCGTTCTACGTGGACGAGCTGACCAGAGAGATCGGCCGAAGGTTCAACGCGGTCGAGGATCTTTTCAACGTTGCCCTCAAGCCCGGTGAGGCTCAAACCAAGTTGAAACAGCCGAGCGCACTCGATGCCGAGGTTAAATCCTCCATGAAGGTACGCGGCACCGATCAAAGATTCGACCACGTCAGCTAGCATCTTCGTAGATAATTGTTCAGTTTCATTATTGGGCTTTCCGCTCTCTGCAACGGGTTCCTCGCTTGGGGGTACCTCCATGCGGCTGACATCTATAGGTTCCGTGAGGTATAGGGGTGTGTATTTCCTGGGGGTAAACTTGGTTCGGATGATCCATTTGTAAAGTGCGACTTTGGTTGCTGCCTTGGCGAGGCGTCCATTATTCACAGTTTGGTCTTTACGCTGGGTGAGATAGCCCTCCGGCCACAGTGGGTACTGTGCCATAAGATTTACGGCAACAACGAACTTGAGGACGGCATCTCCAAGGGACTCTAACCTCTGATAATTTATGTGATCATCCGCAGCAGGAGCAGTGATTGCCGGAATAAGGAGAGAGGTAGGTATGCTGGCTAGTCCAGGAGTTTTCACGAACAAGGTGCGCCGAAGTGACTCAACGGTCATAACGACTGTAAGGTGACGAAGGATTGAGGGAAGCATGTAGGAATATTCACATTCTGCAGGCGAACAGAGTTCGACGCAGCAATACTTGGGTATAACGATTGTGTGCTTTCCGGGTTTTGCGACAGATCGTTGGAGTAGAAGGTCGATCTTGTTAGGGAGGGGTTCCGCGATGAGGAGTGGGTATGTCACTTGCAAATCTTCGATCCGCGAGTACTTTCGCGAAGTGCGCAATTCTTCTTCGTCTTCAGGTGACAGTTTTTCGAACTGCCATCCGATGAAACGACACGCCTTTCCATGTTGACCTTCACGGACGTAGGCAATGTCGGTTGGATAATTATAGACCTTGCCGAAGAACTCAGCATTGACTAAGAGAACCCTCTCGGAGTCAACATCTCCGTTCTCACTCTTGCACCATTCACGACGTCCTTCCCAGACAGCGGCATTTGGGTCAGCGAAGGACATGAAAAGATACGCGAAGTCGAGGTGTTCCCATGTCATCCGAGAGCCAACCCGAGTCCAAAAAAGTCTTCTAGTGTAATGGCGGGCCATTTCCCCGTCTTCCGCAGCGAGTTCAACCAGTTTTGCCGGAGAAATGGTGACTTTCAGTGGCCCCTTTATAGGATGGTAAAGGGTAAGCCGAGTGTCGTTGTTGAGGGTTGGCACTTCTACTTGCGTGAACAATGTGAGGGAAGGGAGGCCGTGGACAGTTATGTCCGCTGACCACCAGGTATCCCGAACTTCAGTTGGCTGCCAGGGATTGAGCTGCCTCGCGACAGAAGCCAGACCTGCACGCTTGTCAATAAGGGCGCGCAATAACTGTTCATCTTCATCTAAGATGCGCTCCTTTACGCACACCAAGGGGAGGAGATGATCATTAAGGAGACCGGCCCTATACAAAGCCACATAAGCCTGAAATGCAGCGTGCTGGTAGGCTGAACGTTTTGAAAGATGCACCCGCTCGACAACGTGAACGCGGAGTTTAGCATCTATGACCTTCGGTAGCGTCAGAGTGCAGCCGAAGGGTCCCTGCCAAGGTAAGATATCCCTGCGGCGCGGTTCAAAGGAGTGCCAGCCTTCAGGCATGTCCGGCGGATCTATGTCATAGAGAGGTTGGTAATTCTCATGTCGAGTAGCTGGTAGGATTGAACAGAAATGATTCAAATGACTGATGGCTGCTGAAAGAGTGAGCACCGCTCTGAGCGAGTTTATGTTAGCGTGCGCAGCAATGATATAGGACTCTCGCTTACCCTGTCGATTCCACTCTGAACACGGTGTCGGTGTCTTCACCATCGACTACCAGTCCAAGCTGATGCGCTGTCGCACCAATTTTTTCGCGTTCCTTGTTATACATCTCTTCCATTGCCCTCTCCTGTGCCTCGAACTCCCCAACGCGGCTATCATCGAACCCAGCCTCAAACATGAGCACAAAGGAGCTGCGCTTCCTTCTCGCCCGACCTCTGCTCTGAACCCAACTTGCCATGTTGGACGGGAGGTCCCAACGGATCACGTTTCCGCAGGCCTGAATGTCCAGGCCTTCTTCTGCAACCGCGGTCGCCACCACCAGATTTACGTCACCAGACCGAAATTCGGTCAAAGTATCGCTTTGTGACTTCGAAACCATTTTCCGGGTAATATCAAGAAGGGCAGTTCGGTAGGAGCTTTCGGAGGTTCCAACAAGGGTACCAATCCTAAAAACATCCCGCGTACGTGGGTGGCATTTCAAAATGCCGGACAATGCAAGGACAGCGTCGCGGCGGGTAACAAAAAGGAGGCCACTATATGGTTCGTTGGAGCTTTCGGAGCGAGCTTTCTCCTCCGCAAGTGTCCGAAGCAGCGCTTGCACTTTGTCAGAGATGCGAAAATCGATGGTTTCAGGGTCAGGGGGCACAAGGGAGAGCTTGATCTTGTTGAGGTGCTCGATGAGATAGGCTTTCTCTTTGTGCTGCCAAGCCGAGATGATTTCGCTGTATGGAGAGGCACTTTGCAAGGCGTGATCTACGACCTCTTGAACGAACCAATCAGAAGCCCAGGGTCCTAGATCATAGCAGATGTCATGTGCCGTCTTTTCGAGGTTCCGTAGTCCTTTGTGAGTGTAAGAATCCTCCTTATGTATGACTTTGGACAACTTTTGGTCCAAGCGTTGCCGCTCAGGTTCCTGAGGTCGTTTACGAAGATTCTCGCGGAGCCCGAGAACATAGGGATCTTGTTCAATGTCCATCGCGTCCACAACTCCTTTAAGGGCCTGCAGATTTGGCGAAGCTAAATGGCACGTGAAGTAATGTTCGTGCTGGCTGTACGTGACGTATCGAAAGGTCGGCCGATGAACGTAATCAGCAAGGTTTTCTAGGTGTCGCCTTGGCCTCCGAATGACGCTGTCGAGATTCATCTCCAGTTTTCTAAGGAGGTATATGAGGGAGCAAAAACCACGCGATCAGTCGGACAAAACTCCACCTGAAAGCTTCAGCTACGTCATCACCACCAAACATGGGGCTGGCAGTAAGGCCTAAAACCATAGGTCTTTCCTCCCTGACAGGCCCATGGCCGGAGGACATTGCAGGTTGGCGCACCGGGAGAGAGAAGTAATGGTCCCTCATGATACAATTCATAGGGTGATTATCGACGGCGTGGTGTGCCTCATCGAAGACCAGAAGAGCGATTTGTTTACCGAGGCTAACGTATCCGTGGCTGAGAGCATCTAGGAGAACTTGCGGGGTGGAAACGATCACACGATTGTTCTTCATAACTGTGTTCCAGAGCTCTGGGTCCGTCCATTGCTTTGGTTCAAGACCGCCATGGATCAACCCCACTAACCCAATGGCCTTGGAGATAACGTCGTGCTGTTGTTCGCAGAGAGTGACAGTAGGGGCCACAAACCATGAGACCTGTGCTCGAGGTGTTACAAGAAGGATACACAAAGAAAAGTGTGGTCAACCTTGTGAGGCTGGCGCTCGCACTCGGTTTTTATCCTGAGCACTGCGATATGCGTCTTGCCAGATCCCGTATCTTGAGCAACGATGATGTTTTCAATGAGGCTAGCTTCAAGCATTTCTAGTTGATAGCTGCGTGTCACTACGTTGTCGGAGGGAGGTGTTGATGTGGGTTCCGGCACATGTTCCATACTTGCAAGCGGATGACAGTGTGTCGATCTGAGCAACGGTTCCATCAGCCCAAGTACCTAATCAAAAGAAAAAAAGTGGTGTGGGAAGGTCCAGAAAGGTCGGGCCTCTGGCTTGGGGGCGATGGGTCAGGAATCGAGATGACTTACATGGAGATGTGGGAGCGATAACGATGAAGTGTCAGACGCTCGCAGCTCAATCGTAACCTCTTAAATAGCCATCGAGGGCGCTCCTTTGATGGTCGACTGCACCCGACCCGGGACAGGAATCCCCTAATTCGTGCATGGGACCGCAGTCCGGAGGGCCTCTGAGATCGCCGTAGTCTGAAAGAGTTTAGGGAATACATAGAAACAGACTGTCAATTTCAATTCTACAAGAACCCTAGGCTGGAAGTTCCAATCAAGTTGTTGGCAGAATTGATTGCTTCCGAATTCTATAGCCAATACTGTTTCGGCGCAGTAGATACCCTGCGGATTTTGCCTGAAATTTCCATCTTAGTCTCTTGCTACTTACATACATGTCGCAACCAATCCCGCTTCCTCGCATTCGGTCACCCATATCCAATCGGTTTCTTACTGAAGACCCTCCTTCGTCGCCTCGGAACATCGATGATGTTTTTCCCAACTCCACCTCGTTTGATGAGCCTCCTGATCCAATCAAATCACCTCACAAGCGCGCTGCCTTCGACCTGCTCGAGAGGCCCACTTCGTCTTCCTCCGCGTTCCTGGTCCACTTCGCTTCGACATCTTTAATTGTCTTTTCTGCGATAGTCACGATATTAGAAACAGTCCCAAGTTTCCACACAATCTCCCCTCGTGTGTGGTTTGGACTGGAAACGAGTCTCGTCGCATTATTCACCGTGGAATACAGTGCCCGTCTCTTTGCTTGGAGTTCTTCGTGGATAACTCTCGTCAAATGGATGTTTTGTACGTTCCATCTCATTACCCCTGGTCAGTATTCATGACGACCCATGCAGCGTTTTACGGCGTGATCGATGCTTTGGGAATACTACCTTATTATATAGAAGTAATGCTGCACCAAGATACCGTATGCTGCCAGCTCTATACATCGCAACCCAATACCAATAAAACCTCTCCCAGACTGTTATGTTCCGTTTCTCCATTCTTAGGATGTTTCGGCTGCTACGGGTTTTCAGACCCTTCAGATACAGCAGCACCATACTCTTGTGAGCCAATCTAAGTTAACCCGTGAAGAAAATTCCTCTCACACAAATCTCTCCAAGAACCATTGAAGTCATGTATTTGGCCGTCAGGAGATCGCACCATGCATTACTTGCTCTGAGTTTCTTCATAGCTATGGTACTCACTGTGTTCAGTACTCTACTGTGAGAACCTACACCTCTTCCTATACTTGGTTTGACCACCTCACAGATACTTTGCTGAGCGAGGCACCTGGGATGACACCCTAGAGACATTCATCAATCCCGACGGAGATCCATCTCAATTCCCTGTAAGCATTTGCTGGATGTTGCAATACACCTACTGACCCGTTGCAGTCCATCCCAGCTGCAGCTTGGTAAGTGCACCTAGTTGCTCAGAATACTCTATCTCACCAACTTTGAAATAACAAGGTTCGTCCTCGTTAGTAAGTCTGACCTGTGCATCTTGGGGAACGATCTCGCTTGATGACATCCCGGTATTACATAGCCATCACCACCGTTGGATATGGAGAGATCACCCCACGCTCTTTTTTGGGTCGATTGATCACGGTGCCGTTGCTCGTGTTCGGGCTTCTGCTTATCGCCTTGCCATCTTTCGTGTTGGGGAGGGAGTTTAGCATTGTGTGGGAGTCAATGACGAAGCACGAAGTAGGCCCTGTTTATCATGTCACAATCACTTCAATCACTTATCATATCTTTGGTTACTTTAGAGTGACCCACAGGTCTCGGCTTCCGTCCTTACACCTTTCATGTCACATCGCCTCGACTCTCAACTGGAGCCGCGAGATCTCTCGAACAGAAAATTGGCCCAGAATCAGACGGAGCTGAGCCGACAGATTTCCGAGTTGCGCATGACGGTGGAGCTGCAGAGCCAAATGATGAAACAGTTACTGACCATATTAGAAGGACAAGACGAGGGTAAACGAAGAGAGAGTGTCAGCACGACAAGGAATTCCATCAGCTAAACAAAAACCATCATTTCGATTAGATTTTTTTTTAGGTTCATCGGGTGCGGATACATAGGTCTCTCTACACATCCCTATCTCGTGGCTCTGTTACATGATTATGTAATAATTGAGTGCCCTGCCGTGGCGGACTGTCGAGAACTACAAAATACAGAACCGACATGGCTGATTCTTTTGCTGATCTGTGGACTTCATCTGCGCCTGTGAAACAAACGCAACAGCCCCAAAGGCTAGGCGCGTCTTCCGCTCAAAAACCCAACCCGCCGAGTCAACGCCCGCAGTGGGATGCGTTCTCCGCCCTTTCGGCATCACAACCAACATCACGGACACATCTACCCCTTCAGGCGCAGATACAACAGAAGCCAGTGACGGTTTCACAAAGACAGAATGTCTCCTCTGACGCTTTCAGTGGGCTTTTCGATGCTTCCATGGGTTTCGGGAGCGGGAGTACTAAGGAAGCTACTAACATGTCTATGGCCGAGAAGGCCACTTTGGCACAGAAAGGAAAGGCGCAACAAGTACAGCTAGAGAACGGGAGGATATCTTCACAGTCAACTATACCATCGGCGTGGGATGGCCTCGATTCTCTTGCACAAACCACTATTCCCGTTATGTCCTCTGCGGTCAAGTCCCCACCGCAAGATGATTTTGATTTCACATTTGGATGCGCAAAAGCTACCCAGAAAGTTGACTCTGGTGTCGGTCAAGATGAAGATGACTGGGGATTGTCAGACTTTTCTTCTCCTCACTCATCTGCGCGTTTGAAAGCGCAGCCCAAGGTTCAGTCTTTATGGGATATAGACGATTTTGTTTCTCCTTCCCCTCAGCGCTCCCAGACAGACAGCTCTGTTTCCTCCAATCTCGCCGTTCGGAACGACCGCGAGAATGCTCTTCTTGACGGGAATGTACGCGAAGATGATATTCTTGGCGATCTCTGCAAGCCAGTCGTACGTACCATTTATTCATGTTTATATTTGCAAATTTCGGCTTCACATTCTTTCTGTCCATGTCTGGTGCTGTATTCTAACCATCGCTAAAACCTCAGCAGAACCATTCTATTCGCCCATCGCCTCCTCCACAACTTGCCCCCGTTCCTTCTACAGCTCAACAATTATCACGCACCCCCACCACTTCTCCACCGCCTCATATAACTGGTCAATTAGTTGAAATGGGATTTTCACCCCAAACAGCTCGGTCGGCCCTGGTATCTACCTGTACGGCCGATGGTTTCGACGTACAGGCAGCCTTGGACTGGCTTCTAGCTCATGGAGAAGCGTCATCTCCCTCCGAGTCAGACAACCACCGCTCTGGGGGCTTGGACTCGGAAACGGTGAATCGTACATTCAGGGGACCTCCGACTCGCGCGACCCGCAAACCGTCTCATTTAGGTTCTCGGAACGCTCAGCAGAGACAACCCAACTCTGACACTGCAGATTTTCCCGCTTCCACTGAGCGGTTCCTTTCCCAGGCAGGTGAAATTGGGCGTGGCATGTTTAGTCGCGCAAATGCCTTGTTTAAGGAAGGGAAAGAGCGGGCCGTGAAGATGTACGAGGAACGGACCGGTGCTTCCTCTGCTCGGGTTGCTGGCAGTGCCGATGGAAGACCCCGTTGGATGCGGGAAGGCTCTGGTGAGGGGGGATTACGGGAAAACAAGCCGCAAGGAGGTTTCAAAGATGAAAACCACGAATCCAAGTCATGCAAGTCCAGATCATTACGCAGCTCCCCTGGCGACATCCAATTCCAAGCATCACCGCCTGCGACCACTGAAGAAGTTGATTTGTTTGGCAACGATGCTTCTCAAATAGTACACCAATCTCACCCCCCCAAGGGGAAGCCGAACACGGAGCTAACGCCGTCCACCTCGAATTCAACATCCTCCCGCTTACTGACCCGCAGTCCACCACATGTCCCTCCGCGCAAATTGACTGCTACGATTTCCTCCGCCGTCTTTGGGACGTACCAATCTCAAAAGTCAGCAGGCACTGAAGCGTACAAGCTCGGTCAGTATCCTGCCGCTGCCGCTGCTTACTCGCGTGCACTCGCATCAGTGCCGGAAGGACACGTGCTGTGCCTTCCTCTTCTTACAAACCGTGCTGCAGCGCTATCCAAGGTCGGCGAACTTTCTGGTGTTGCAGAGGATTGTAGTGCAGCAATTGCACTCACGGAAAGATACATGAGTAAAGCGGATACTGCGTACGCAAAGATTGGCCGGATGCATGTTATCGTTGAGGCCACTAGTGGAACAGAGGAGGGTACGGAGGTCGATCTCGCTGGCGGGCTTACGAAGGCATATCAACGTCGTGCAGAAGCATATGAGGGTCTTGAAAAGTGGGCACGGGCGCTCGCAGATTGGAAGGTGTTGGTGGGTGCGGAGTGGGCTGGTGCAGCACGATCATTGGCCACAAGTGGTATAGCACGGTGCCGGCGAATAGGTGGATGGTGGGGATCAATCTGCACCAGACGGAACTAAGAGGAGGCCCGGAATCCGACCATCTGTCTCGTCCACCGTAGTGCCCCAGCTGTCGAAGCCGCGTCCCAAACATTCCATGGTTTCTGCTCCTATTGGGACGGGCGAATCATCGGCGGTTGCAGCACTCCGCGCAGCAGCGGACGTTGCGGCCTCTGAGGATGCCGAACGTTGCGCTCACAAAGATGCTGTCGACGCGCAGTTACTCGCTTGGCGGCAAGGAAAGGAAACGAACATCCGCGCGTTACTAACTACCTTGGATAGTGTGCTTTGGCCGGAACTTGGATGGAAGAAGGTGGGCATGGCTGAGGTCGTTGGCAAAGGACAGGTCAAGGTCGCATACATGCGCGCGATTGCTCGGGTGCATCCCGATAAGGTGAGTGTCGTCGAAAACGTGTTTACGAATACTGATCTATCGTTACATAACAGCTAAACGCGAATAATACCACCATTGAACAGCAGATGATTGCGAGCGGCGTATTCGGAACTCTCAACCAAGCGTGGAACTGCATTTCTACAGCAGTAGTGAATCCTAGCTTCGAACCATTCCTACGGGCCATTATGTGACGTTAATACCCCGTCGCTATTGTTATTTTGTAGAGTGAACCTGGCAGCGGCGCTAGGGTTCTGCTGGTCAGTAACCGTCACTTGTGGGAAAATCCGAGTAAACTTACATAAGTAACTGAATTTGACTTTCAATGAAGTATTGATTCCTTTACTCAAAGTTGCAACATTCAGTCTCCGTATTCCCGTACTCGTGTCTCACACCGTAATGGAAAACAATTTTTCGTGTGAACGTGAAAAGTCAACGCCACCACCATACGTTAAGTTACGTTTTAAGTATGGCATCCGATGACTGATTCCATCAAGCCCCCCAGAAATAGTTCATATTTCCATCACGGATTGGTGAGTTGCTCGGCTAAATGGCGGTCCCTTTTAACCATCCACTATCACAGCATTAGTCAATAGTACTGAGGACGTGCGGGGTGCTAAAAGGCGCCAGTCGTGACTGGTGATTCATGGCCCTGCTGAGCGTTGACGACTCAGGTATGAGAAGCATGCAAGTGTCTCCTGGTAACGAGGTTGATTGTAACAGAGATGTCATCTCAAATATATATGTTATTCGCCCAGCTGCTTTGCGCAATAGCCCTCACAGGCTCTCACCCGATGCGTTGAAGTATAATAATTCGTTCGCAAAATTTTACGGGACACAAATCTGGCCATACCTGCTACCCCGAGTCTGGGGATCCTGGAGTGTCCGATCACAGCTTTCGTACACGTAGAAGGTCTCCACGGGGAAGTGGTGTCTGTGTGGTGATATGAGGCACATAAGTTTATCCCGCAATATTTAATCTGGCTGGTCAGCCGGCCACATCCTTTCCAACCCAACCCTTCCGTTCGTTACCATGAATTCGTTCTCCAGGTTTATCCCTCTCGCGGCTCTCTTGCTGTCCACGCGCGCGCTGGGCAGCTCCGACGAAGCCAACTTCCAGGCCTGGTCAAAAAGAGGAGATGCCGTCCGCTCTGCCATGCAAGCCTCTATCAGAACAAGGTATGTTGCAAGTGTCGTCGTTTTCCCGTATCTTGCCTGAGCTCCCTACTCAGCTGGGAACAAGGGACTGCAGCCGGGGCTATTCTAGAGTGGAATGACCCAGAATATTCAGTTTTTGCGCCTAACCCATTCGTGTCGAATAGTCAATTCCCGTTGGACTCCCTTCAGTTTGCGTACAGCGCTGCCGTCCGTCAAACTCCGGATGGTAGGCTCAGTCAGAACATCAACGATGCCCTTGATGGTGCTGCTCTGGATGGAGCATCCGCGGGGTCCGTCGTTCTTATGGGTAAGGCGTCTAAACCACATTCTGTTCTAACCAAATAGCATTAATTGTACGTATCAGGCACTTTCACGGACACTGACCGTGCCACTTACTGGGAAAATGCCGCAGACGGGGAGCTCAATTATGTATAATCATACCCTCTCCAGAATATGGATGTAAGCATGCTAATGAGCTCCTGCAGGTTCTGAACGTCGCACCTAGAACCAGGACAGGTGCTATCTCAGCCAGGGATGATAGTGCCCAGTACTGGTAAGTGTGACATACACTTCTTTTCGTTCGACCTGAAGGATGTCCTTGGTAGGTCTGATGGGGTCTACATGGGCTTCCCATTCATCGCTTATTATGGTGCAGTGAAGAACAACGGAACGCTCTTACAGATCGCATATGATCAGTGCCGCCTCTATCGAGATGCTCTCTTGATTGATGGCCCCACTGGCAAACTTTGGGCTCACATCTACGACGACAGTACCTCTTCATGGATCGACGAAGGCATTTGGGCTACCGGTATTACGGGCAATTTTCAGCCTTCCGTGTGTGCTTCCTAACTATCACACAGGTAATGGATGGGCTGCTTTGGGAATGCTTCGTGTTGCCGTCACTATTCAGAAGAGTTCTTTCTGCTCCAGCATGACGTCGCAAGTATCAGATCTGCTCGCTTGGGTCAAGGAGATCTTAGATGGCGAATTTGCTGCCCTGGTGAGCTCGTCCTTATCGAGTAGGTGTGGACGTGTTACTGACGCCGGTCCTCCTGCTTCAGGGCAGCGATAATCTTCTTCCAGACTACTTAACTGGTGGGCCAAACTTTGGCGATGCATCCTCTTCAGCAGCCCTGGCATCCGTTGCGTACAGGGTTGCGAAATTATATCCTGACCAGTTCGGTTCTAACTACACTGACATCGCTGCGAACATTCGGGATGCCGTTCTAGGTGGTGTTACCAACCTTGGGACTGTTAGTCCCGTCGTAAATCCTTTGGTTTGGACCGAGACTGGACTGTTGTCGACAGAAGCGCAAGCGTTTACTCTGATGATGTTTTCTGCTTGGAGGGACTGGATCGGTGCCTGACCACACAATTTTCAAATAAGAAGAGCCACCTGATGCTACACGACGTTGGCGTTAACATTGCTCACCTCTAACCCTCGCTCCCTCACTTCACATTCGTTTGTGAGGCCCTCTCTTTTTTCTTTATTTATAATTATACCGCTCTCGAAGTACCTGCTTAGACTAGTGCGAGGCCACTTGAAATTAGTGTTATGGCGGAAGTGTCATTTCCGGTACGCATCACTTGGTCGTCACTTTTGTGCTTGACTCAGAACAATATAACTACTATAATTTTGACAGTTCCATTGAATGACAAATGAGACAGTCTGGACAGCATGTTATTTTCTGATGGCATACAGCATTCCATGTTCAACATCCAGACTGCGAATTCCACGCTGTCAACTGAGTGACTAGGTGACGCGCATCATCGACTCACGCGTAAATTAAACGCGTGACATCAGGCACGTGACCACGGAACGCGACGTTACTCGTGTTATCACCCTCGGGCCAACTGCTACCCGCACATACGACTCGTACGCATGTCAAGCCACAGCCGCCGCAAGGCTAGTATTTATTAACCTCTCTGCTGTTTTGGATGACGAGGAGATGCCTACCAATACGCCATACCATTCCTTTGCTCTCCCGTACCCAATACGTGTGGATAACTTCACCGACACCCTAAATGGCTTACCCTTGCCGTACAATAGGCCAGCCCTGCATTTATTAACTCATACACACTCAGACCATCTTATTGGTCTGGCCTCGAAGTCATTCGGTTATCAGATCATTTGTTCCTCAGATGCAAAAGAAATGCTCCTGCGCCACGAAGTATATGCGGAGCGCTCACTCTTCGATCACGAATATCGCGCACAGAAAACCAAGACATATAGTCACTTGAAGGTCGACCCCTGTGTGATGCCAAGTGGTGAAAAGTTCTACGCAGGGTCCAGGGACCTCCTCGTACGCCAGTCAACGACTCTTACCTTGCTCACATGCTGAGACTTCCTAGCGCGCAGTGCCTCTGCATACTCCCACTGAATTTGAACTATATGATAATGAAACTGTTACTATCACGTTAATTGACGCCAACCATTGCCCCGGCGCGGTAATGTATGCAATTCTGATACCTGACACGTTCGTTCTCCCATACTTATCTGTAGGTTCCTCATAGAAGGCCATCGCGGGTCAGTCTTGCATACAGGCGATGTGCGGGCGGAGCCCTGGTTTCTTTCCTCTCTTACGCGGAACCCTTTTCTTCAACGGTACCTCGCGGACTCGGCAGAGAACCTCAGTGTCCTCGTGGCTCGTAACGAGGTAATACACATGGAAGCAACGGGACTCGTAAAGACCCTCGAAGCTGTGTACCTTGACACAGCCAGCCTACTCTCAATGACCATAGTACCAAGCAAGGCGAGTCGTGTGCCGATTCTCTTTGTGGCGCAAACGTCGAGGGCGCTGATCATGATTGATAGGAGTATGCGGTGCAAGGCCTCGTAGAACTCATCGCTCTGTTCCCTTCGACTACCTTTTTCTTCATAAATTCTTGGACTTGGGGTTATGAGGACATCTTAAAAGGCATCGCGCTTGCCTTTCACTGTAAGGTAGGATCTACTTCACCTCGGCTATTTCCATAAATGCCGGTTTCTGTAAAAATTGGGTCTCAACAACTCACCTTAGATTCATTTCGACCGTTATAAGTATGCCATTTATATGAATACCTCCGACCCCCTGATGCGTGCTCTTGGCACTCGCGATCCTTCATCTACCCGATTCCATGCGTGCGAGCGTTTTGATCGTTGTTCTTTCGTTGATGTTCCCCCTCACGAATGCGGCGGAGAGGGATTTAATCACCCCCTCAGTGCGGAGGGGAAGAATGTTGTTTATATTAACCCTGTGACTATGGGAAGTGTGCAGTGGGACAATTACAAGGCTGAAGTGAAGCGACATCTCTTGCGAGGTAAAAATGTGGATTCACTGGTAAGGGTGACATCGTCCCGGGCAACTGGCATTTTTGCTGACAAGGTTTTTCTTCGGTGTGATCGCCAATGTGATAAACGCAAAATAAGCTTGTACCTCTCAGTCGCCACTCTCCATTGCCGGAACTGATGAATTTCGTCTCTCTCTTCCGCCCGCATCGTGTGATACCTAACACTTTGCATCCCCCTTTCAATGGACTCGACTGGGGTGCTATGAGTGCAATGTTTGAGAGTTGCGTCTCTCCACTGCCAGCCCCTCAAGTCCATTTCCGCTTCAACTCTGTCACGGCCCCTCCATGCTCGATGACTTCCAGCACAATCCCCGAAAACCTTCCCCAGCCTACAATCTTCTCGTTGACATTGAATTCAGGACCTCCTTTCATAAATCCGGCACTTGGGAATGATGAGATAGATGTTACTATCCAGAATCTTGTTGGACCTTCATCCGCAGCAGAAAGGTGGGCAGACATGGGGAGTAAGCAGTCAAAGCTAGAAGTGATAAAGACGTGGTTTCCCAGGGGGGAAAAGAGCAAAGTACGAGGGGTGAGGTGGAACTTGTCGGATAGACCGAGTGGAACTCCTGTTGCTGGGCCAAGTCGAATGGCAGGCTCGAATGCTTCCAACCAGTCAAGCCTATTTCCGGGTAGACTTATTGTGCCAAAGGTAAACGAGAGTCGTCATGCCGCTGACTCCGATGGCTCCTCGGACGAAGGCGCATCATATGATCATGCACGTACTGCATGGGTGCTATTCGGGTCAGGACTTCCCGACGGAGCACCTACGGGTGGGGCGCCACCTTCGCATAGTGGATCTCCACCGAGAGCGACGGATGAAATTGGGACACTCCCTACACCGGTTGCGTCGCCGGTTCCCCACTTGTCTGCGGGTATCTCGTGCACAACAAATATCGAATGTTCGACTACCGAGCTAATTATGCAATCGGATAATCCATCTACACCCTTATCATTGTCCTCTCCATTAGTCCAGGACCTCTCCAGCAGCTCTTCTCCTGTATCACTTGACAACCTTGGGTTCGTGAGCTCCAGTAACGCTCCTAGAGATGAATTTCAACGACAGCATTCTCAAGGTGACGTGGGGCCATTTGCCTGCATCGATAATGTGCTTGCCTCCCCGAAAGCCGCGGACCTTGACCCGCCGCCAAGCGACGTTCAGACCCGAACCACTCAGAGTCGGGATATTTCTGGTGGTCGGCAGCGAAAGCGGTCATTGGAGGAAGTGAGGAAATTATCTCTTCAGTCTGACTCTGAAAACAGTTCTCGGTGCACGAAGCATCCCAGGTTGGACCGAGAGCGACCACCCTCACAACTGGAGGCGGGGAAGGAGATCAAAAGAAAGGCATATAGCCAACTATCCAGTGGTTCCCCGATCGTGACCAGGAATCCCCAGAAACCAACCGACGTCAACGAGACTGCACTATTCGTTATGACATCGAAAGTCATAAAAAGCATGCCTACATTACCATCGTCGTCGTTCCCAATTAACAGCGCAGACGAATCAGGAGAGCTATTCCCCAATGCAACACGTCTCGCTCCTCGTCTCACCAAGGCAACTTCCACCTCTGCAAGTCTTCATTCGACTATCTCGCCAGCGAAGATCATTATGGCAGAGAGAACGTTTGGCACCATGTCAGCAGGAATCCACGATTATATCACCATTTCAAGTTCTATCAGCTCGAGGACCGCAGAGCATCATGCACGCCGCAGAGAGCGGCAAGTCCTGACGGATAAACTCCGTCTCGCGAGGCCAGATCTCGCTCAGGCTCCTAAACCCGCGAAGCAGCGGTCAAAGGGAGCAACGACCCAAACAGAATCAGTACCATCTTCGCATTCATCTTCGGTTCTTCCATCTGCTTTGGTAGGAGGTCCCACGTGTAACTTGGGATGCACTGACAGCGCGAACACGAATATTGACTGGGAAAGAAGCCTGAGATTGGCAGAGGAAGTGAGAGAAGTAGTGAAGAAGGGTGGAAGTGCAAGCCATGTTTTGCCACGATTGACGTGCTTAAGGCGTTGATGGTGGAGATGTTCTCCGTATGCATCGTTCAAGATACGTGGGCTTTAATACTGGTAATCCTCAGCCGCTTGCTAGAGCCGGGAGCTGTCGTGCGCCAAAGCGGGCTCCGTATTCGTGTGTACATCAATATGGTAGATCGGATCGTCCGTATGACGCACACCAATACGATATGCAATAGGCACTAGGTTCCACCACCGCGATGAGAACGATACCTGATGACAGGTTTAGTTAATTATAATGATAGGCGGGTAAGCGCCTGCCGGTGGACACTGGGGCCATCAGTGAGCGCTAATTGTATGCATTTTCAATCGCTACATGCATCATGTCAAGGGCTCTTCGACTTGGAGCCAACGTACCGTTACAACCTATGCAGCTCACAGAAGACGGTCCGTAAGACTGTTACGGGATAGAACTACGTTGTCCCAAAAATACTTACAGGTTCAATCCCGGCATGACTTATTGGAGCAACCATTGATGCCGACTAGTGAGGCTCCTACTTGCCACCGGATGGGTAAAATATCCTGACGTTGAGCCGCTACTCAAAACTGAAGATGTAAGCCTCAAAGTAGTGGAAGACCAACACATATACACACTACCCGTCATCGAAGACGCGATAACTGGTACCAGCCATGGACGACTCGTTCAATATCGATGGTCAACTCGATAAGACGTACCCCAAACGCATTCCCAACGTGATGCAGGCGGTCACGACGGCTTTTTCCTACGCAGTGACAAGTACTGAAGGATACCGTTCGTGTTACCAACGCACGAGAGTTGAAAGGTTCGGAAGGGTACGGACGACAGTGGGAGGAAAAATATCGAGAACAATTGGAAGTCATGCCGCACCATGGAGCATGGATGTTCCAAATTTTTCATCTTTGGGAACGGGCCCGGATTTTATGGTCCGTGGAAGGACGACGTGGAAGGTGCAGCGAGCTCAACTGCGGCCAGAGTCGTGCTTTGTAAGCACAACTGACTAGGGGTTAAGGTTACGCAAGCCGTTAGTGTATAGACTTATAACCCTTCTGGCACGACTACACTGAACTGCGGAGGCAACACGGGTCACCTGCAAGACCATCATAATGCTTCCTTTGTTTGGAGATGAACGTAGGAGACGCGCGATCAATTTGGGAGGGTCCTCGTCCGCAACCTCCCAAGCTGCGATTCTGGAGCAGGCAAGGGCGCGGAGAATTGAACGTGAGGCGTTGCGGAGGAGGGAAGACAGCGCGGTTAAGATTCAGTCTTGGTGGAGGGGCAAATTAGAGACTCGGAATGTCAGACGACATATGCGACAACTATTCTTGCAGGACGTGACAAGCCTCACAGGCCTCAGATGTCTTGTGTTCATCGGACAGGACGACGACCTTCTCCAGCAGTGGTCAGCAGCGATGTCCACGGATGATCGTAAGCGTCCTTATTTTAATTGCTTGGTGATGGTTTACTTTGCATGCAGAGCTGTTATTTGGAGGTGTAGCGAGTCAAGATAAAGCTCATTGGGTTACATTGCTTCGTCGAGTCTCAGTCCTCCTGATCAAATCCGTGGCGAAGGCACCCTCGTGAGTTCTGATAGTATATTCTTCTTCGTTTCGGCTTTGACTCTCCAAAGAACATCCTCCGCGCACACACACCTGCAAGTGCTGTGTAAGCTGCTAGACCCCTTGTATGCGGCAAGGGTACTTGGGCCGGCCGAATCTGACCCACCCCGCGCGTTGACCCAATATGTCATGCAACATGGCTTGTACCAGAACGTCCGCAGTTCCATAGAAGCAATTGTACGTTCTCCGCGCGTAGTGCTGAACTGTGACCACGCTCATATCATAATAGGCTTTGGATTCCAAGGATGACCCGGCAATTCCATACCTCGTCAAACTTGTTTATCTGCCATTTTCAAACGTTCTACCGTTGACGGAACTATTCACGCAGTACCTGCATGCCCTAGCTATTCACATATTGACAATTCCTCTCCTTCCATATCGCATTCCACTTATATCTCTGTCAGAACTTTCCTCGAAACTCCCACTTGCATACCTACAAGCTCTTTCATCGTGTATAACTGACATTGTCATGCAAACATCTCCATCGGCACAGATCAACATCATTGCAAACTTACTCGCTTTCACTCCTCCCCGATATGCCGTTCTCCCGCTGTCTTCACTCGCAGCATACATCCAACTTCTACGTGCATTGCTTTCGGCACTACCTGTACACGCTCTCGATCCTCCTTTTCCCGATTCAAAAGCCCAGTCCCTGTCCTGGGAGGATGATAGCGATAGGGACGATGACGACAACGGACACGTACCTGGAGGCTTAGTTGTGTCGCACTCCGTACTGCCCGTGTTGGACGCTAGAACACGAAAGAAACTACAGACTCTACCCTCTAGTTCCCACCTGAACACATTATTGAAACTTACTCGCCAACATCCCCAGCTATTACCGGACATAGTAGCTCTACTGATGGCTCTCAACATCGTTTGGCCCGCAGCCAAAGACAAGGTACTTGGAACGCTACTTCTGTATGGCGGCGGCGGCCTAGTACGTGAGATTTATCGTGACGAAGTCCGCCCCACGCCGCTGGGCCGCGATGAAAATATTGTTACCGTCATGGGTACGGATAACTTTTATCACCTGTATTATGCTACTGAAGGTGTGGACACGCAGACCCGTCTTTTCAAGACTGGTGGCCTCCACTACTACTCTTGACGGATCTGTACACGCACACGCTTCGCACGATGGGAGACGACGAGTTCTTTTCCAATTCACGCACTCTCCTCACCGTTAACGAACTTATCCCTTTCTCTCGTACTCTGTTTAACATTGCGTTCACCTTGTATTGGCGAGATGACCAATCGACGCTGCAAGATACCAATGTCCCAGGGCTTAACCTACGTTGGATCAACGTGCGTGAGAGGCTGACGAAATGTCTGCAGGCCATCCATGCTCGAGAGTAAGATTTTTGGTGTAGGTGCAAATTCATGCTAATTGTAGTCAAAAATAGCTCCCGGCGACCATTCATGCCCCAAAATCATTGGCACGTGGACACGCAGATCGACATGAGCTCATTCATCGATGCTGCTGTGTAAGACTTTTCTCCATTTCAAACTCTACGGCCGATTGACTGGAACTTTAGACACGAGGAGCAGGAGACGGATGAAGTTTCCGGGCTACATGCTACCTCAAAACGTCATCGGGCTTACTTTTCTCACCTTTCTCCGCGTCTAGGCATCCTTAGCAACATTCCGTTTGCGATACCGTTCGAGACCCGCGTACATATTTTCCGCCTTTTCGTCCAGACTGACATGGCGAAACGAGGTTTCAATCAATTTTCGCGCCATAACCGTGTGGAAGTGTCCATCCGCAGAGGCCATATTGCTCAAGATGGCTACGACAAGCTTTCAGGTGTAGATCTTCGAGCACCTATATTCATAACGTTCATCGATCAGTTCGGAGAGCCTGAGTAAGTCCAAGGAATCCCTTTCCGTCTGATTGGTTTTTTGTAATTGTTGCCGTTATAGGGCCGGTATCGACGGTGGTGGCGTATTCAAGGAATTCTTTACCTCCCTGTGTAAAGAAGTGTTTGACTCTGACCGCGGGTTATGGTTGGAGACCAAGAAAAACGAGATCTATCCGAATCCTCACTCGTACGCTTCGGAGGGTGAGTCGCCAGAGGCTGTCTTCCGTTGCTTGTGCTAAGCAGGATGTAGCATACAACCTCAGTTGGTACCGTTTCATCGGTCGCATCCTTGGCAAAGCACTGTACGAAGGAATTCTCGTCGAAGTTGCATTTGCTGGGTTTTTCCTTGCGAAGGTGGTTGCTGGTCAGTGAACGGCGCATGCGTTAGCTAACGGCTCTCGGCAGTGGCTTGACAAGCAGAGTTTCCTCGACGATTTGGCCTCTCTTGACCCAGATCTGTACCAAGGCCTGATCTTCCTTAAGAATTACACAGGGAACGTAGAAGACCTTTCCGTCAATTTCACAGTTGCTACCGAAGGTAACGGCTCTTATGCAATTCCCGATACGATTCTAAACTTTCCCTCTAGAGTTCGGAGTTGCCAAAGTCGTGGATCTTATTCCGAACGGAAGCAACGTTCCGGTGACGCGCGAGAACAGGCTGCGATACATATACCTCGTTTCGCACTATAGATTGACGAAACAAATTAAGCTGCAGAGTGAAGCTTTCTTCGAGGGATTATCTGTGATGATAGATCCGAAATGGCTTCGGTAGGGACACCATCCTGACAGAACCGCATCAAAAACCACTAAGCTTCGCATCAGCATGTTTAATCAACAGGAGTTACAAATACTCTTAGGTGGGGTCAACTCACCTATTGACCTCGGCGATCTTCGGCAACACACCCAATACGGGGGACTCTATAATGATCAGGACCCAACCATACGGGCTTTCTGGAAGGTGCGATAGAACTGCTTGGTTGCAGAAATGAAGAGTCACGTCTATGCCACAGGTCATGGAAAGCTTCGATCAGGAACAGAAGCGGGCATTTCTGCGCTTCGTCACGAGTTGTAGCAGGCCTCCGCTTTTGTGAGTGTTTCCCAATTCCGTGCTGTCCTGCGTTCCCAAAATATGTTGACCGGGCGCGATACAGAGGCTTTAAGCAACTCAACCCAAATTTTGCCATTCGCGATGCTGGAGATGACCAGCATCGTTTGCCCACTGCCGGCACGTGCGTCAATCTGCTGAAGGTGAGCAACCACTGGTTATCATACCCTCAGTTCTGAGGAGCGTTACAACAGCTTCCGAGGTACACAAACGAGCGCGTTTTGAGGGCGAAGCTTCTCCAAGCAATTTCATCTGGTGCAGGGTTCGATCTCTCGTGAGAGTTGCGACTTCACTTACATGCATTCGAACCATTCTTTCTACATGTAATAACATAGTACATTGTTGTTTCTCTTAGAAGTATGTAACACTTCGGGGGTTTCAAGCTACTTCGATTTTGATCCAAGAAGGGCCTCAAAGGTATCGTGGGCTTTCGCATTTCCACATCGCTCTTCCTTGAAATAGTTGGAAATTAAGAACGCAAGGTCTACGGTTGCGGGTAAGCGAACTACCCGGGGAATACTAACTGGACGCACCGAGCGACTGCTCAAAGTTGAGCCTGGGATCGCAAAAAGACTAAATCGAGAGATGTTAGTGAGAAACAACAAATAGTATACGACAAAGGGGCACACGCACTTGGTATCGCAGCTCGAGTTGATCCTCACTCAGTTCCATGCTACCACCGAGACACTCGGTGACACTGAACCCTTCCTCGTTCAATTCTCCCGTGAACTCGAGGCTTACCCCTCCGAGGCGTGAATGACACTCGGAGTGAACACTGATGCAGGATGTTAGCTCGCTTATAATCGTGCTAAAGTTACGCGTCTTCAGACCGCTCGCGGAGGTGAGTGTGCTGCAAGGGTGGGTGAGGAAAGCAGGTTGATGATCATGATCCTAAGCGGAATGCCTAACGTACTTGCCATGCATGGGATCACACACCCAGGCAACTGGGTGGCCGGAACCTCTGACTGCCTGAATGTGACCGGGGAGGTGGTCGCGGACCTTCAATCAAAAACACAATAAGCTGCAGCCAAAAAGGGAAGCACAAGAGCGCACCTTGCTAGCGCCATACCGCGTGATTAACGTGATCCGACCAGGTTCCTTTCCAGGATTGACAGCTATTAAACAGAAACACTGCGTAAAATGGAGGTTGAGGACAAAAGTAGACAAACATACTTTGCAACAGCTCAACGAGTTCCTCGTTGCCGAGGGATGGTCCTACTTTGATGCCTATTGGATTTCGGATTCCTCGGAAATATTCCACATGTGCTCCATCGAGTTGACGCGTACGATCGCCTATCCACAAGAAGTGGGCCGAGCTATTGTAGAACCCTGCCTTCTGTTTTTCGGGTCCTGCTGTATCCGCGTCGCCGTCAACAAGCGGGAACTCGCGCGTCATAGCCTGCTCATAGCCAAGCATGAGCCCTTCGTGGCTATGTACGACAGCCGACCAATTAGCCACTTGGCTAGCGCAGCATGAGAAAACAGAGAAGCAAACCTGGTATAGAAGTCTACTTCGCCGAGGACTCCACGATCGCCGCCACGTTCGAATGGAACGCTCTCTCGACCTGAATCCACCCCTATCGTGTGACTAAAGTCTAATGCGTCAGCTAGACCTTCCGTGATTCGCTCGTATTTGCGTCTATGAGAGAATCACATGTCAACAGGTTGCCACGGTTGAACAATCGGTGGGAAAGCGGGGCTAACCTGAGCGAACGGGAACGTACATGGGAGAGCGACCAATCCCGCGGATGATGCAGGGATGCAAAACCAGAGGTCAGCAGCCCCCGCACATAGTTGAGTGTGGCGCTGGAATGGAAATACGCCCTACGACACGCATGAATTACATGAGGATGCGGGGAATTGAGCCGCGAACCTAAGCAAGCGCTCCGGATCCGGAGTCCTGTCGTTCGGGTCCAAGCTTGGCAATATTGAGAATCTAGTTGTGGGGACAGGAAATGGAGGATGCCATACCCGTTCACATTGTCACCCCTGGATTCCCCGTATTAGTATGGGATAATGTAGCGCAATGCATGGGAGATAATGTGCACCGGAAACTCAAGACTTGTGTGTCCCCAATTTTCTCCGTTTGGCTGCTCCTCGGCTTTGCGTACTGGCCAGCAATGCGACCGATGCGCACCTATTAACCACATGACGTGGGTGTAATGTAAGATGCAAGGATGGAGGACAACGTACTACTGGGAGACGGGCGCCCCAAATGAGGATAAGAGAGAAAGAAAGGATAAGGCCGATTTTCGCAGAAATATTTTCCTATGGAAGGGTTAGGAACTACAACAAAGCCTTGCGGTGACAGTTTACCTGCGTACAGGCATCGAAGCTCTCGGCACAATCGCCAGCATGAAGGAGGAAAGCCTCGTTCCGCTGTACTGCACTGAGCTGATAACGGAGGCGCTCGATCTTGATATCAAGGATCAGCCAGGATCAGTATTAGATAGAACGCAACGAGGTGATATAAGACAAACTTCTGCTGGAGTCACAAGGGGAGGCAATGTGGCTATCTTTGCCAATACACTAGTGCGTTGATTAGCATTGGGTCGAGATAAGGAACGTCAACGGTTTGGACCTATCAAGGTGCTTTTGGTCAGGGTACTCTACAGACTGTTACAACGGTCGTTAGCTCCGTGACAGTGCCATCACAGGTTCTCCTACCTGGACAGCTGGTTTCGATGTCCAAGAAGAGGGTGACCACATTGTGCCCGTCACCATGGGATCCCACTACGGACCCACACAATAACCTCACTCGATAGGCTTCGAGATGGTAGTTTAACAGAATACTTACAAGCGCTGATGCGACTACTTGAGTGGAGTCTGGGTAAATATTTGGTGAGGGCTCTATCGTTGCGCAAGTACTACATAAGCGGGCCGACGGGTGAGCTGACCTCGCCAGCATTACTGTAACGCTGGCTAAGGGCCTACTAGTGGTTCGCAGTGTCCAAAAGTGTCCACCGCCGGCGGTGGCCCGCGTTGGCATGTAAGTCCCAACGGTTCGGAAACGCCGTTTCACATGTATTGAACCTCAAATATGTGACTGAACGGCGACGGGCAGGGTCGCATTTCTTTCTACGTGTGTGAGCGTGTCAAGACTTCCCATCCTTCCGCGGACAAGCAGGGCCACACGTCTCGGAATGGCTGTTCCTGCGGAGTCCCTTTCTGTGATGCTGGGTTGATACTTCCACGGTAATTTCAAAACAATAACCCCGTCCACGCGATGGCAATCCATTGAACGTGCGACGACCGCCAATCGGCAAGATTTCATTGAAACCGACAAGAATGCTAATCTCAGGGCTTTGAGTATTCGGGCAGGGCACCCCCAGCGACCTCCGCGGGTTCGCATTATGGTTCCAACTCCCTATTCTTATTTTTAACCGCCGGCAACCCTCCCGCCCAAGGGTCAAAGCTGAATTTGTCTCTCATAAAAGCCCATACTCATTATTCCCTTGCCTTCAAGCTTCACCCATCGCCTCCCAATTCCTCTCCAAGTGGCTCTCACTAACATGTCTGTATTCTTGCGTCCCGCTCTCGTCCTCGTCCAGGCAGTCTTCAACCAGGCAGCATATACTCCCCCCAATAAGACACAGGAAAAGTTCCGTTACCATACGGAGGAGCCCTTGCTCTTGCAAATCGCACCTTTGATCTTTAAGGTTTGTATACCATCAATCCTTTCCAATTACTACCCTGATCATTGTTTCGCAGCTTCACACTATTGCACTGTGGTGGATCGCTGCATTCGAGCTAGTAGCCGCACTCAACCATCACGTTGGCACTTCCCTATCGCCGTCCCTCTCAAACTATCTTGATGCAGCACTTTTCCCGGCGTCGCGGTCCCAAAATCTCATCACCCCAATTTTCGTTGCTGGTACTCTCCTTCTCGCAATAGGCTCTTGCATCCGCGTCCGCTGTTTCAATGAGCTCGGACAACTCTTCACGTTCGATCTTACCATGCATCCTGAACATAAACTGGTCACTTCCGGTCCATACGCATACGTCCGTCACCCATCATATTTGGGGTCAATACTCGTCGTCATAGGGTTCACTTTCTCGCATCTCACTTCTGGTAGCCTTCTTGTCGAATGTCTTCTAGGCCACGTCGGCTCGGCACTTGTGTGGGCAGTTTGGTGGATCTGGACGGCGGCGGTAGCCAAAAGCCGCGTATTGGCCGAAGACAATGAGCTTCAAAAGAAATTTGGTTCTGAATGGGATGCTTACGCCACTAACGTCAAGTGCCGGTTCGTCCCCGGTCTGCTATAACCGCGCCAGTGCTGGGGAGGCAGAAGGATGCTTGGTTTTGCCATTTCCTACAAATAACACCAACCAATTACCTCCCAGGTTCCGACACACGGCCTTTAGAACATGCATAATTAGGTTTTTAGACGTACATATTTCCAGAGCTTATTGCTTTGTATTCGCATTCCTACATCTACTCTCGACATTCCCGGAGTATACGTCCCTTGTTTACGTTTTCTCTAGTATGATTGCCTACTGTGTACTTACTGATTTCTCTCCCGCTGGAGGCCGGATTGTAATTGAAATTATCATATTTGACCGTCGGAGCACTTGGGGGAAACGATAGGGAATGACCACTTAGCGTTCAAGATCCGGAACAAGATTGTGCACGAATATCTTCAACCGGAACTAGTAGTACGATCTGCATTCCAATATTGCCCTGCCGCAAGAGTTCCGCGGGTGAATACATTTTCAGTTATCTCGCATGGGCGCGCCACGTCATATATTGCAGTCGTTCCTCGCATCGTGGCGCAGAGGCCTTGATTTTTTCCCAACAAGGTGGGTCCTTGAGGACGCGGTCATTTTTACGCCACCTTCGTGTCAATGCCTTTGAGCTGGACGGTCCGCGGCTAATACATACAACACCAGGAATCAGCCCTGCCTTTCGTTCGGTGATGTAATCACCACTCGCCGCATGGTCAGTCACAGCCCTAAAACTCGTTGCGGGACAATGCACTTTTTAGAACTTCATGTGAAGGTTGCAACTAGGTTACCACGCTAAAAAGAAGCATCGACGAGCGCAATTGCACCGCGGGGACAAATATGGCCCACAACGTTCCTCTCGCGGTTGGGAGCGGTACACGCCCACGCTCAGCAGAGATAAGATATCGTAAATTCCAACCAAGGTGGACGTCCTGATCACGAAATCGTACTCACCTTCCAGATGTTGGACTCTTTCACAGAAAGCCGGGTTTGTACGAATCCGATCGTCAATATTGAATGCGGCGCGTTATACCAATGCTTCACACCTCACAACGTCGATAGCGACGAGAAAGGGGGCTGATGAACTTCGTCTGCACTGATCGTGAGACTGGTACCAAGGCCATGGACAAATCAGCGAGATTCTCCTAGTTGTAGTAACGTGGCACACGTGCATGACATGACGACCTATAACGACACATCTCCGAAGTAGCGTTTTCTCGATTAATTTTCCCGCAGTGCTATTGGGACTCCCAGAAACTCGTACCCGCGAAAGAAGTATGCAACTCCGCAGTGCGCTTCCAATTCTCGCACTTCGATGAATCAGAACGGGATGAGTCTTGCGGGCCGTCTCGATCGATCAAGCATATTGCATTCATTTTTGACTCGGGGTTCCAGACAGACGCCTACCCGGGCAGTGTCCAGCTCCGTGTGGAGTGGAGTGCGTTTGAATTGGGAGGTTCTACGTCACCCGCCACATACGTGATGCAGAGAAACCTGTCCCATACACACTTCGCAGCGTACGAACGGTCTAATCGCTGGGTTCATGACGTTGACTTTCATAGATCACTGGTGGTGATGACGAATTGCTAGCAACCCTCAGGCACTTTATTACGTTGCTGATGTGAAGTACACCCTGATTTAATTGGTTTAGCGCGAAATCACCTCTGCCAAGCACAAGGTATCTACGGCTACCACGGCGACGATGTCTTCTTCGTCCTAGAAAAGAACGCACTCTTCCTGATAGTACGATTAAGGGCCCCTGAGCAATGAGTTGACACTCACTGTGTGTCCTTAATAGTGAGTGGTTATCCACTTGCATATGCCCAGCATAGGATACGTGGCGGACACGACGACTCGACAACCACGGAAGTCAGCAATTTGAGGTTCTTTCCCTCGAGATGTCGATTATCGACACTCGAGGAAACGCCAGGTACTGGCTTATGTTGATTCATGTGATGAATTCAATTAAGATAAACGCCACACGACACAGTCGCAGACAACACTTTTAGGTCAAGCTAGATGGCGGGTGGACAGAAGAACAACGGAGGAACATAGATTATAAGCCGACTATCTACAAGAGGAGGACGGAGGAACTTTGGAGGACCACGATTGAGGAGCGGGTCTGGCTTCGTCATCATCAGAGGGACAGGGAATGATGGAATTATGGCCATGGCCAGTCAGTAACAGGTTTAAACCATATATTCGCTTTTTGATGGTCGATGTGATCAGGCGAGGCGGAAGAATGGGGGGCTGTGCTTCGGATATGCAAGATAAGGCGGCAGCCGATAGTACTTGTTATGGCGAGGCCGACAGGGAGTACCCCGAGAAGCCATTCCGACTGTCAAAGATATCAGAGGTAAAGCTCGGATGACAAATTGCAACAAAAAACTTACAGGAAGAGTAAGTGACACCACAAAGTAGAAAATCGCATAAAGCGTGCTCCTACGACACGTGTCATTTCATCACTCCGTCCGGATAAGGTGTTCGAGTATGTACGTACGCGAAAAAGTACATGACATTGCCTTCGATGAGAATGTTCCTCAGGCGTTTTGCTTCGCTCCTGGCCAGGCGTAGTCCGCGTTTTTCTCGATACCGATGCACGGCAGCTGAGAGAGCAAGCGAAAAAAGTATGCTCTCGTACACTGCCATAGCGCCGTAGTTGATGTAGACTTTACGGGCCGCAGTAGGAAGTGCGCTGATCTTGGTTCCGAGGACTGGTAGGCCTTGGGCTTGTGGATATCGCCCGGATTTACATAAGTTTTCATTTGATAATGGATCGGAACATGACTGACCTGCGGAAATGCTGACGAGTGTTACACACACAATCATGACGATGGATTCCGCGATAAAGCCTAAGCTTATCATGAGTAGAACTTTTTTTGAACCGTTATAGAGAGCATAAAGCCGCAATCCCAGAATAACTAGAAGATTCGATTAGGTGTTTCCTCAGATCGCAAGGATAAACTCACCTTGCACAAACCAGACGCTCAAACAGCTGACCCACATGGAAAGGATGGGGAAACCATAAAAACTACGACAGAATTAGTACTGCGGAACTTCACTTTCATACCTATAGCTCACAACTGTTGGTTTCAGTCAGGTGCGAAGCAAGATATCATAAGCTGCAACGCATAGATAAGTAAAACCACATACAACTAATACAGTTATTATGAAGTTAGCACGATATTCGTCAAGCGGGGGAACACTTGCATTGCTGAAAGTATTTGTGTTCGCGACGAATTCTAATGGTAGAGGAGACATTAATGCGTAACACGGCCTGAACGCTCTATAACCCACCTGCCAATGAAAACCCACAGTGGTTCTGAGCTCTGCAATAATAGTCGCAACACATATGTGATGGACGCACACTAGATATACAATGCCGAAGTATCGGAACTGGCATTCGTATTTAGCCCAGGTTCAAAAACGAGTTTAAGAAACTCACTATCAGATAGGCGACTGAGACGTTTGACATTCGTTTCTTCTGCAATCACATACACATCAGCATTCTAGGATCAAAGCAAGGATATTCGCCATGTACCCAAATATAGTCGATCTTTTCAACGAAACTCGGGAGTTAGCTACTATGAACCCAAGGATCGAGAAGAGGTACCGATACCTCTTTGTCCAAATAAAGGACTGACCGCACACATAGTCAGTTTTCATCGTTGCGGGGCACGGTATACCTACCACAGTCGTACACCATGAAAGTGGTCGGTACAACTGATGTTTGGTACATTCTCAGCACCACGAGGATCGCGAAACCTTGAGGGCTAATACCTTGTAGAAACCTAATCTGTTGAGCATTTCGTTCTATATAGAGAAGTTAGTTAATGGTCGTCGCGTCCATCCCCTCGAGTGCTTGAGGGTGAAACGAATGCCAGACTGGTTGGTGTGCACCAACATATATGCCGCACTGTGTTCCTCCATCAGCTGTGCCACCTGATGGCAGATGGAGGACCTCAGCCATCAACAAGCAATGGAGCGGCTCCTCACCGACATACTGGGTCATACAGTGATGGACCATCGAGTTTCTATGATTTCTCCTTGAGAGCTCCTCAGGTGTCATGCTTTCAGGCTCATCAGCAAAACCCAAGTTTGCTTATGCAGGTCAGTGGAATGTGCTTGGCACTTGGTAGTTTCTCTGCATGATTGTTGGCACTGTGTACTCGAGTGGAATGAATGCTGGGCATCAGTAACACCTGCATCAGCAAAACGTCGGAAACCTTGTAATTGCCTGATAAGGGCCGTAAATCCTTATAAGGGTACTAAGGCCTGTAAGCACCTATAACTAACCTCCCTTTCGGGCGGGAGCCTGTAAGACTTATGTACCCCCGCATGACTGTCATAAGCCTTTCATGGGTTTATAAGCCCATTGTGAGGCTTATAAGGTTGCCATCTCTGACAATGTCTTGTGAGCTTTACAAGGCCCTATAAGGCATTATATTCAACTTACAATGTGACTATAAGTTTATTACTGCACTTCTTTTGCAGCTTTGCACCTTGCACCTTACACCACTTACAATGCTTACAAGCACATTATAAAGCACCACAATCATTGTATTAGTAGTACATTACATGCAAATCCAGTGATGACATTGGTCCATGAACAGTGAAAGCAGACAGTACAGGATGAAGCAGGCAATGGGACAGCAGAAATGAATGAGAGCACTTGCATGAGCAAGAGAAAAAGGTGGCAGAGAAAAGGTGACACTCAAGTGGGTAATGGCACAGATGTGGAAGATTGCAGCATCTGCTTGAGAAGTGATGGTCAATGAGGTAGGGAGTGAAAAGGGATCAGAAGATACCCATTCAAGCCCCCTGGCAAGCCCCCCTTCCATGGCCTCTTCCTCTTCCTTTTGGTCCCCCACAAGAAGCAGTGGAGTGGGGAGGAGGATGAGCCTCAGGCTCAGGACTGGAGAGGGGTGATGGGGCAAGGTGTGTTTTGTTGTGCACAGAGGAGAGGGCACTGTTGGTGTTGACAGTGGTCATGGTCTGCATTCCATTATGTGCAGAGGAGAAGGCACTGTTAGGTGTTGATGGTGGTTGCAGTCTGCATTCTGTTATGTGCAGAGGCTGAGAAGGCACTGTCAGTGTTGATGGTGGTTGTGGTCCTGCATTCCATTATGTGCAAAGGAGAGGGAAATGCCAGAGGAGACAGTGATTGTGGCCTGAATTCATTATGCACAGAGGAGGTGCTTGTGGTGGCCTGAAGCCCCTGTGGTGATGGTTTCAGTTGAAATTGGTCATGCAGGAAGACTGATGGGCTTACCTCTCAATACAGGATCAATGGATGCAGAGTTGACTCAGTTGAGCTGGTGATGAGCAGTACACTGTACAATGATGGCTTGCCACTCCTCCTTCAGAACCCAAATCACCATGTTCAAGGTCTTTGGAAGAATTATTGCTATAAATCTGCCTGTAAGATGATAGTAAGGTTGGAGGCAAAACAATTGGTGAATTGGAGTACTCACTGGTTCCACCAGGCCAAAGTTTCCTTCACCCACAGATTGGTCTCCTTCTCCTTGAAAAGCAAGATGATCATACAATAAAAGTCTCCATAAACAAGTCTTCCCACTGCCTTCCTGAACATTTCCTCTGATGATAAAGTAAAGTATGCCATTACCACTGCATAAGTGATTGTGAATTCTGAAACTTCTTTGATACTGTGGATCTTGTTCTTGGATGGTTTTGTTGCAATCATGGAGGTGCCAACAGCAATTGAGCAACCACAGAAGATGTGTTTATAAAACTGCCACCAACAGGATGTTAATGATCAATCAATGCAACATGGGTCAACTCAGCTTACACATACTAACACATGGCCATGGAAGAGACTGTCTTGGATGTCATCTGGATTATAAGGCTTCATTTGGTTGTATAGGAATGATGGTAGTGGCCAGACTTTGAAATTGAGGTCCCCATTCAAGATGTGGTCTATGTATCTGAGCAAGCATGTGACATAGTTAGTGTGTATGCTGTAAGATAGCAACTTGGAGTGACTTACTGGTTTGAATTCTGGTTGAATTCAGAAATGTACTTGTGCAGACACAAGAGACATGCCAGTTGGGGATGGTGGAAACTGTGCAATGACTTGGAAATGTCAGTTGGGGGAATGGAAGGCACAAGGGCAGATGTGTTGGGCAGAATGTAGTTACAGTAAGGCCAGGCCATTTGAGGGAGCCACAGTCATCAGTGCAGCAGCAGGTAACACCTTCCTGGACCTAAAACAATGTGCATATATGTGGTTAGATGAATGGAGAATGGAATGACTTATGATTTCAAGGGCTTCCTCAAGCTTTTGCCTGTTTGTGTTGTCAATTGCTTTGGACAAATCAGGGACTGCTTCAAGGACAGCTCAATATGTTTGGAGCAAGTGTTCTTTGTCATCTTCAGGCCATGAAACATCAATATGGTGAGTACTGGGGCATCATTGCCCATGCAATGAACTTACAATGGGAATCCAGGAGTTCCACCCTTATTGCAAGCTATACCAACTCCAAATGTTGTCACACACCAAAGGTGTTGTGGACATGATTACAGCTGACTCTGCCTAACTCATTGATGAGTTGTGCACAATGCCCATGCCATGTATGCAGATGAAGAATAGAGGCCTCATGCATAGAAAGACTGCTGGATGTGAGCAGTCATCCTTCACACAAGAACAAGTTGTCAGTGCTAAAGAGAAAAGAGGAAGTGAGTTAAGTGTGCATTAAAGGTTTTTAGCACCCATGTATGGCATTCCAGTTTTCATTGTATCTCCACCATTTCCAAAGATATCAACTCCATTCTCACACTCACTTAAAGTGCTCAGCCATGCAATTCTGCCTTCCAAATTTGGAGAGGATCCTCACACCCTATGCATTTCTACAGCATTCCATCCATCAGACACTCATTTCACTAAGTCCATCAATAATGGCTGCCTCTTCATCAATCATCTCACTTGTCTCATTTGCCAGAGACAGTGGTTACATATATCTGCCAGGTGTTCCCACCAGCTTCTGTCCTGAAGCCCCCTGGTTCATCCCACCATTGTCAGCCCTGTCTCATCCCATGCAGCTTGGTCAGCATGTTCTCCTTGTCAGTATGACTTCCAGAAGGACATTCTTTGGTCACCTCAGGTCTGTCACTCAGTTAGAAAGGTCTTATGTGGTCATTTTGGTCTCCCCAGTTGATGAAGCATATGGATTGTTCCTCCCTGCTCCCTGCACTGTCTTTATTCCAATCTCATCCATCATTCTTCCCACATTGTGACAGCTGCAGCATAGTCTATTGTTCTCCAGCCTCCCTGATCACATTCATGATGAGTATGGTGTGCATCTTGCCTTCTTACTGCAAGATCCAGCAGAAGACATCCCCCCTTCTCCTCCTCCATCAGAGCCCCATTCATGAAGTTTTTGTTAACTTTGCTGAGAGGATGAAAGGGTGGGAGATGTGATCACTTATGCTCCCATTGCCCCACAGACCCCCAATGCCCTAACCCCTTTGACACCTGACTCATGCCCTTCAATTCTGGAATTAATATTTCCCTATCTGGAAACACTGTCCATCTGTCATGCCATCTTTGGATCTAGAGATGTCTCTGCTGACATCTGACTTGCATCACCACCCCCTAATGTGATACCAGTGCACTTACTCAGTTTCTGACTCCATTTGACTCATTCTGTGAAATTTTGACTCTCCTTGACTTGTTCATTGCCAATACTTACCAATCTTCTTTGCTTGCTTACTTTTCATTTCTCACTTACTCATCATGATTACTCAGTCCTTACTCATTACTTACTAAGTGTTTATGCCTTGTTTGTCACAAGCTGTGTTCCCCCCACAATATATAAACCCTCATGTACTTAGCTACAACCCCCAAGTGAACAAGTGAAAAAGCAATCCAGAAGCATTCAGTCAGTCAGTTCAGTTCTTCTCAGCATAACTTGTCATTGACAGTTGAGGCTCCACAAAGGGGTTTATCTGTCATCATTTGTATACTTGGTAGTTGAGGCTCATTTGGAAGAGTCTATCTGCCATCCTTCATCATCTGCAGTCCACCCCACACTTAGTCAGTAGTCTTTGCTTAGTCATCCCACTACTCCTGCATAACTTGATGTCAACTTGCACTAGAAGTCCTTTTGGTTGAACACCCTTGCTCCATTCAGCATCCCCTTCTCAATCAGCATTCATTCATCTTCTCCTGCATAACTTGTCAATGACTTGTGCCAGGAGCACTCCACTTGAAGTCCCCCCCCACATTTGTATTTTTCTGCACTCCAGGTTCCATGGAGGCATTGGGTCATCTTTGATTCTTCTGGAGTCTCATGATACTATTATATGAGTAGCATGTACTAGTACTTACTTTCTTTTCTTGCTTCAATGGCCTTTGACAATGAGGGACTTGGAAGAATTTGGGTTTGGCAGCATGTCATCCATGGGAGAGAAGAACTAAGGGGGGGAGAAAATGCAAGCCCCTAAGGATGCAACTCATGTAGGTATAAGTATGTCTATGCATCATTGTCATGTGACCATGTCATTTGAGTTCTGCCTTACAGACCCTTCCAATAGCTTCTTGCAATTAGTAGCTGCTTGCAGGCCTTCAAAGGCTGCTACTACTGACATTTGACTGATGAAACTTCTTTGTGTAGGTTGTCACAGAACCAACTTCACTAGTCAAAGGGCACTTTCTGTGCATCAATCTAAAAGCACAAGTTTCCTCCCATCAACAATTCTTGCACTTCAAAAACAATGCCAATGGGATGAGGATCTCCAACTTGAGGCAGAAAAAGTGCAGCACCTTGCTGAGGAGAATGTAGATCTTGGATTGGAGAGCCTACAGAGAGGAGATGATGACTTTGCATGGCATGACAATGTACAAGGCAAGGTAAGTGTCTATCCATATTATGCAAAAGTGACCATCAAGAACTCCAGCTAATCCCTTCACCAGATCTCTTTTTCAGAACCTGAACCTGATTGGACCTTCTGATCTTCCCAATTGTGTATGCCATCTTCCTAGGCAATACTGTGATGAACTTCCTTCACTTCACAATCCTGTACCTCACATTACCCACCTCAACAATGGCACTGATGCAGGTCCATCCTCTGACTTACCATCTCATCCTGATTCACCTCCACCAATTGATCCTTGAAGATTTTGAGTCATTGTACATCAATACTGAACCTGACAGTTATGGCATCTTCTGCTTGTACTTGGGAAATGCTGACTGGTGTTGGTGGAAACCTTGCTTGTCCTCAGGCTGCAGTCCATGGAGCTCCATGCAACACAAACATGCAATTTTAATTTCAATGGGATATTTTACAGATGTGATTAGTAGATGTTAGTGGTCTTGTAAGCAAAATGTTCAAAGCAAAAACAATGAGTGTATGAGATTCCAGAGTATGAAAATGGTCAATTGTCAAAGTATGAAAACAATCAATAGAGAAACCTAAGTATGAAGGTGGTCAACAGAGATGTTCAAAGAACAGAACTATTACTAATTTTGGTGAAACTTCTTGTTTGGACTAGTGGAAGGGTCAATGAAAAGGCTAAGTTTTTGCTTCCTGGGAGTGCCTGCCACAGTAGAATGGGGTGGTGCTAAGACTTGGATCATAATAATTTCACCACCATAAACATTAGCAGCTATGCTACCCTTTTTCTTGGCAATGGCCCAATGAGAAAGTGCAAAGTATAACTCGACAAGGGCACCTTCAAGACAATGTCAATAAGCATGAGGTTTAATAAGTTTTCCTTCAACATCATAAGCTGGGATAGGGATGACATTGTGTGTTCCCACCTGAGGCTGTATCATCATAGTTACCTTCTGGATCATCTGCAACAGTTTCAGAGTAGCTGTTATCAGATTCACTGTTGGCACTGCAAGGCTGAAGTGAAGAAAAAATGTGTCAATGCATGTTATGCAGGTATTAGAGATCCATACCTCAAACAGTGTGTGACAAACTTTAAAATGCTTGCCTCCATGAAGGAGAAATCCCTTACTTTCACCATACCCTGGTGTTGCAATGGCATTTTGAAAGTAGGTAACATTTTCCAGGGCTGTCTTGGAGTAATCCTGAACAGGTGGAATGTCAGGTTGTTCAGTGGCACAGGATGCCTTGACATCAGCCAAGGACTTCCAAATCTTTGAATTCTTGTGATACCCAGCATCTGCAGTGAGCCAAAAGTCTGAAGCAGAAATTTGAACAATAGCACAAAGTGGTGCAATGTCCACAGTACCCTCAGGTGGTGGAGTGGCATATTTGGAAGAACCATCATCACCACTGCCAGTTGGCTTGATAGCCAAACAGTTGGCATGGCCATCCCAAACCCAATGGATGTTCTTTTGAACAGACTTATTGCCAAGGTAGAAACCAGTTTCCAGACAATTTTTGTGGGCAGTAATGAGGCATGCAGGCAATGTACAGAGTGTAGGCTGCATCAAGAGTGGGTGTGGAGGGGTTGTTGGGGTGGACATGGTCAGTGGGTAATGAGAGGCAGGAGGTGGTAAGTGCACAGATAAAAATGAGGGCTGAGAAGGAAGTGAGTGAGAGAAGTAAAAGATGAGTGAGTTGGGGGGAAAGACTGACTGGCAGGGTTATGAGTTTAAATTATTTTTGGGGTGGTCCATGTGTGAACATGAGAGCATTTTCACTTTATTAGTTAAAATGGAAGGTGCAGAAATCCAAACCTGGTATGGTGCCAGTGAGGCAAGAGCAAGGAAATTTGCTGTGTTGCTGTCATCTTCACCAGTAACTGATGGCTGATGAACTTGAACCAGGTGATTGCAAGCTTATATCAAAGCTGGGTGTCAGAGAAATACTTTCCCATCTTAAAGGCACCCTCACCTTCACACAAGAACAAAGGATGAACAAAGAACATCTTTTGGACCAGGTTATGCAGGATGCATCATGGCAACACATAGAATTTCTATGTGAAGCAGGTTGTCTGAAGTTGGGGGGGGGGGAAGGCACTCAAAAGGGAAAAGATAATAGGGGACAGAAAGAAAAATGTACAGAGGGCAATGCTGGTTGTTGCACAGCAAGACACCTCAATGACAATGCCAATCATGACAGCATCAGTGGTAGTGGTGAATCAAGCTCATCACAATTCCTCATGTTACCAACAGATGAGGAGTTGAAGGCCTGCTATGCCACCTTCTATCATGCAACCTCCAATGTTGCCCTCAAGACTGCTATCTGTGGTGTTTGTGCTTGTGAGTGCAGCATTGTTCATGATGGACTATCCTGCATACCTCTGAAAAACCTTCTGAATCCCAAACATCTTGTTCCAAAGAAGAAACATCCTGCACATGACCTTTTTGATGGGAAACTCTTTGTACCAGCTGGTGTCACATCAGTTGAAATGATATCTTCATCTCTGTTTGTTGATCTTGCCATGAGGAGCTGAAGAAGAACAGTACTGATCCCCCACCATGTTCACTTGCAAGCCAGCTCTGGATAGGATGCATACCATGGCAGCTCCAAGTGTTGACATTTCCTGAACAACTCCTAATCACTCTCCTATACCCTCATGTATATGTTTTCAAACTCTTCCCAAAGTGGCATGGAGGAGTGTTGAATACATCAACATGTCAGTGTGCAATGTGAGGGAATGTTAGCACATACAGTCTTGACATGGCTGGCATAGCAGCTATGGTTGAAGGGAAGTTGATGCCACATCCACCTGTAATCCTAGCATCACTCATATCCATGACATTCATTGGGATGGGAGATTTACCAAAGAACTGGATACACTCAATGTTCTGGGTGCAGCAGCATGTAGTCTTTGAAGCATTACATTGGCTGAAAGAGCACAATGTGAAACACTATGGTGATATTGAGATCAATGCACCATGGATTGAAAGCCTACCAGAAGATGACATACCTGAAGAAATTATGTCCATCATATGACACTCCAATGATGTAGGAGTTATTGATCAGGAAAGTGATGGATACATTCCTTGGGATGACAATGAAGGTTTGCATTGTAATCAGATTTCTTGAAGTTATGTTGCTAAATTTGACTTACAGTGTGTGAAGACACAGTGGAAGCTGGAGCTGGGACTACAAGTGAGATACCTGAAGGTGACTCAGAGGGTGAGAGTAAGTAGAGATGAGTTTGCAATTGATACAGATATGTCTACACTGACAGTGAATGAGCTGATGGCATGGGGGCTTGCCAACCTGTGGAAGGAGGGTAGAGAGGGTGGATATGCCATCTGACATAGTGCATGGCTTGTCAGTGATTTTGGAAGACCCTACCAACACAAGCAAACATCCCAAGAAGTGGAAAATGATATGCCAAACTTCTTTGAAAGGGCATTTCCTTCACCCATTCCATATGGCAAGGGTGGCATGGAGGGAAAACAAGATGTTCCAGTTGAGTTCCCTGTGCATATATGATGGGCACTTCAGTACCATGATCATTGCTTCTGAAAGCACAGGACATTCCCATTTGTTGCCTTTGGAATTCAACAATGCAATTCCACCAGGTCCTTCATTCAGCATGTCTTCAGATGCAGAGGAAGACATTTGATAGGGATGTGCACCTTCTGTCAACAATTACAATTGAGAAGATGTGATGAGCTCAGGAGGAAGAAGAACATGGCCACCCCATCTCTGATCCTGCAATTCACCTACTCCACCACCATATCCATGCAACTGGTGGGCATGTAACTGGTTCTGATCAGTCTCATTATCAGCTATGCAGTCAAATCTGGGCTATATCTATCATGCTCAACCCTCCAAGCCTCTGGATTACCATCAACCCATGTGATCTTCATGATCCTATTGCACAGGTCTTCACAGGCAAGAACATTGATCTTGACAACTTCAATGTGATGCTGGGACCCTCAAAAGAGTGCTGGGCAGAGAACATTGCTCTTGATCTGTATGCAGCTGCAAAATACTTCTACTTTACCATCAAGATGATCCTTGAGACACTATTTGGAATCAGTGTTAACCAAAGTGTTCGAAGTAAACCAGGCATTTTTGGCCATGTTGCAGCATACTTTGGTGTTGTAGAGTCATGGGGAAGGGGAAGTCTCCATTTGCACATGTTAATTTGGCTCCATGATGTGCCACTGACAGAGGAGATGGATCGCCTTCTCAAAGACAATAAGTTCTGGCAATGACTGAAAGTGTTTATCAAAGCAAATATTCATGCTTACCTGCTGGGTCTTGACTCAGTGGAATCCATCCAGAACATCCCCAACAATGTCAAGGTGGCATATTCATGTCCACCTCAACCATATTCCATGGACTACAACAAGAAAGTTACTGATCTCAAGCAGTGGGTTGCATGCTCAAAGAACCTGCACACTTGCAAGTATCATCATTGCCTGGTCCTGAATAAGAAAGGTGGAGGGTTTATTTGCAAGCAGAATGCACCATTCAAAAGGTCCATGGATGACTACATTCATGAGAATGGGGATTGGGGACCAAAATGGCTGTATGAATTTATGAATGCTTGGAACCCAGGAGTCACAGTCAATGTTCATTGCAACAACAACATCAAGTTACTGACAAAATCATGGGAAACAAACAACATATCATTCTATGTCACTGCCTACCAGACCAAAAAACAAGGGAGAAACTTCAATATGTCAGTGATTTTAGCAAAGGGCTTCACATATCATTCACAATGATCATCATACCTTGATAGCCTTTGTGATCAACAACAGCCTCTTCTTTTTTGTCTCATTCACACCATCAACTGGGAGCAGGAACTGGCAGTGCCCATGGTTATTTCATATCTCATGGGATGGGGTGACACTTACCAGTCACACCATTACACTCCCATTTATTGGTCTTCATTTAGCAGTAAAATTCTAGAGGTATACCTGACCTAAAGAGAAGAAAAGTAGGGGAAGATGATGACAGACATGACATGAGGTTAGTTATCTCTGTGGATGTGGTAACCAGAGATAAGCTGATTGTTGCAATCCATAGCAGCCATGATTCTAGAGAGGATTTAGTCACAGTGGGGGAAGACACTGAGAGAATGGTGAACAATGATGAGGTATGAACTGGACATCCTTTGGGCAGGGGGGTTGGTGACTGAAGCATTGATAGGACACACACAGTGAGATGGTGACACTTGAAGCAGATAAGTGTGGGAGGGTGTCTATGAGGCCTTGTCAAGTCACAGACTATTGCTTATGAGGCCATGTGCTTTTGATGTGGAATGTCATTGACTTTTCTGTCAATTCATATGAAGCTGATATGGACAAGAAATTGAAAGCCATGTCTGTTGTTGTGGGAGGCAACAAAGATAATGATACCATGTCAGACTGCTGTTGCATTCCAAAGCAATGTGGATGACCATGTCATGAATGAGTCCTCTACCTTGACTCACACCCAAAGTCCACATGAAAGCAACATATCATCTGTGCACATCATCACAACAATTTACCTAATTTTATTGGGCAATATTTCCCTCATCATGATGACCCAGATCAGTATCCATTCTACTGCATATCTATGCTGATACTTTTAAAGCCACGGAGAAATCTCAACACAGACCTTAAGGACAACACTGAGACTTGGGAATCAGCATTTGAAACATTCACCTCTACTGCACTCCCAAAGATCAAAAAATATTGTCTCAGGAATCCAATATTTTCATGAGTGTGAGTTGTCTGCTCATCATTCTGCTGGTATTTCCAACTTGCCATTTGCTGGAGCACATCAGGGTGAACATGGAGAGCTTGACCTGCCTGAAGATCATGAGGTGCAATCAGGATTGCAAACTGCATTGTCCAAAGAAGGCCTTGCATAACTGAACACATCTCAAGTTCCATGGCAAGAAGAACTACATGGGCATCTTGCTGTTGAGGCTGCCAAAATTGTGAACTTGTTTGAGGATTGTGATGAAGTTGCATTGTGGATGGAACATGTTTATTCTGAAACCCAGAACACCAGGGCTACTAGTACAGCACATTCATCAGGAAACCAGCCCAACCTTCCCAATATCCAGAATGTGGGGGAAGAGGATCTTTGGAAACTGTTGCTGTGGAAGCAGCAGATGACTGAAGACATCAATTGACAGAATCCTGGAATGGATGTAACACAAAGGACACCATGACATTGACAATAGAGGCAATGTTGCACAACTCATGCTCCCAAATGAAACCCACAGTGGCCATAGTGACAATGCCACTGTGCAGTACCTGGACCCTATGGAGGCTTTGGAAGCCTCACTGACTCCAGTGGATCTGTTGTTGCTGTGTAATGATCAGTTTCATGCATATGACATTGTTATGTGGCACCTTGATCAAACCCTGGCTGGCCACAAGCCACCTCCACTGAGAATGATGATTCACAGTGAGGGGGGGACTGGGAAGTCAAAAGTCATTCAAACCATTACCAAGTACTTCACACAGAGAGGTGCCAGACACAAGTTGTTGAAAGCTGCATATACTGGAGTTGCAGCATCATTGATAGATGGGAAGACCACTCACACAATTGGCATGATCTTGCATCATACTGAGGTGGCAATGAGCAATGAAACAAAAGGAAAATTACAAGGATTTTGGAAGCATCTTGAATACTTGATCATCAATGAGATATCTATGATCAGCAAGGCTTTTCTAGCAAAGCTATCAAGAAACATTAGTACTGGGAAGATGGTAGACAGCGAGACAGCTCTGCTGCACTCTTTTGGTGGAATCAATGTGATCATATGTGGTGATTTCTTTCAGTTTCCTCCTGTTGCCACAGGATCCTCTGAGGCTCTCTACTTCCCATCCAATCTCAAACATGAATCACATGATAGCCAACTTGTACATGCAATTTATGAAGAGTTCATGACAGTTGTGGTCTTAAAGGAGCAAATGCAGGTGGTGGATGAGGAGTGGCATGATTTTCTACAGCACCTATGCTATGGACAAGTCCAAGAATGTCACATTGACATGCTATCCACACTGGTGATCAGTAATCCTAACTGCATCAAAATGGATGTCTCCAGTAGTCTCTGGCACAGTGCTTCACTGGTTACACCACAACATGCAGTCTGAAGCCTGTGGAATGAAGCTGCACTCTCACAGCATGGTCAAAAAGAGCAACAAACCATTTTTCAATGTCAAGCTGAAGACACCATCAAAGGAGGGCAGCTTACATTGCCTGAGCAGTATGCACTCACTACTCAAGCTGCTGGGAGTCAAGGAAATAAAAGATGCAGACAAGAACTACCCAATGAGGTCAAGATTGCAATTGGAATGAAGGTGATGGTTATGCAAAACATGGAAACTGACCTTGATATTATGAACAGAGCCCATGGCACCATCATTGACATTCTGTTAAATCCTGATGAGCCAACTGTTGCAGAAATCAAGCCAGTCATCAAACTCAAACACCTACCTATCTGCCTTCTTGTCAAGCTGGACTGTACATCAGTAAATCACTTTTGCTGGCCAGAGCTGTCCAGAGCTGTCCAGCACTGGACAGATTCCCTAGGACTACCAGCTCACAAAGTGGTCTACTGATGTACATGAGCAACACAGCTAAAGGACCTGGAGGAGTCTGTTATACCAGTGGAACCTATAGTGAAGAGGTTACAAATCAAATTGAAGTCTGCTGAAGGGAAAGTAATAACACAGCCAAGTTGTGGACCTACCTGCAAATAACTCTTGGTGGTCAGGCTTTGGGCTTGGATCATGCCTAGAATCACTGCAGGACACTGCTCAGTTGTTTTTTGCACCATTCTTAAATCCCCCTATGTTCTGTCTCATGCAATGGTTCTACAATTCTTCTAATACAAAGTCACTCACCAATGTTGATTGCTTGGTGAATGAAGTAATCCTAGCTGAAGATTTCAATTGTGAGGATCTGTGGTTTCCATGCCACTTGTGAGGCCCAGCACATGGACAAGTATCCCAACAATGCCAATACACCTTCTGTACTTTCTACTG